TGCAGAGTAATAGCTCGATTACTTATAACTCGTTGATAGGATACATAATGACTTTCGAAGTCTAGGACAGAATCGATGACATACTGTACGTTGAATACTGAGTTTCAACTGGAATAACGTTACCTGACAGTCCGGATCACAGGTAAAGGTTAGCTGTCATGTAGTCATGAGATGGCATCACTTTTAGGCTTATATTAGGCAGTACAGTGGAGATATTCCATGATTCAAAATGACTCAATGTAACAAGGTGGTATATACTCGGATCCATTATACGAATATACGTACGGTAGACTCGAAAGCAAACGTATAGTTTTCAGCGTACAACATTGTACAGTATATGATGCGATTGAAGGGCATAACGTCTATTTTTAGCGAAACCACTTTAATTGTTGCATTAACCTTGTAGTTTATCCGACATAGAAGGATACACTATTCAAACTTCTATGTGGTCCGGCGTTGTTGTTCAGATAGAATAATCTCTCGCGGTTATATTGGAATAGAAGATAGTATCCTACTGTATTGTCGATTGGATATCTTGGGCTTGCGATCTTGAAATTGGCTTTCGATGATTAATTCTTCTTTGTTGTAGTCAAAAGCACTAGGGGGCTAACGTAGTTACTGCCAAGGTGTTAATCAAAGTGACTATCGTTGTCTTGCTACCACTATTCAATACAGTGTATACAAGCACTTTCGATACAGGCAATGGCTACGAAAGATTGGGATGGCAATCTGGATTACCTTGCTTTTTCAACCCAACAAACGCGGTAGAGACGCACAAAGCTATTGGCTGTCGAAGGCAGTTTTACTACTTTCAGTCCTTGAAGAATGGCGAGCGTAAAGCAGTCCGGGACGGCACGCCGCGCTATCAACCCACTACTAACCACAGTGTGTACTGTACAGTATACAGTACTGTACACTGTACAGTAATCTTTACTCAGTACTGTACAAGCGGTGAGCATGGCTCTGTCTGTACAGTGTACAGTACTTTACAGTTTCTAGTACAGTACTGTACACTGTACACTCAGTACGGCAGTTCACTGGTGACGGTCACCATGCTACCGGTGTCACGCGCTGTCGTTGACGTTGCCTTATCACTGTAACCTGATCTCAACTTCCTTTTCTTTTTTTTTTTAAATAAATAATACCTAAATAATATTATTACAGTAGATATCCCCGCCCCTTCAATGCTGCAACGTGAAGGGTACTCACTAAAATGACCCACACCTGGTGGCTGAAGCGGCTGGCTGTCGGACGTGCCAGGTGTACCGTGTACAGGCTGTAGTAAGACTACAGTATTGTACAGTACCTCACCGAAAGACGAGTTCACTCTGTACAGTACTGTACAGTATGGAGAGTAGAGTCCATTTGGAGTACAGTACTATACTGTACTGACTGATGGATGAAGAACTGATTTTTTTGATGCGCAGCATTATGAAAAATGGCCAAAGAAAGTTTCTTTTAGTGGTCGATACTAAATAGGAGCTCTCTTACTTCTTTAAGGTTAATGAAATGAATAAATGCCTCTAAATTCTAACTGCAATTACTAGTTCTAACTGTTGAACTTAAACAAATGTACTGAGTGAGTGAGTGAGTCTATGCTGGAGACGGAGTAAGAAATTGCAATTTCACACAAGTGACAGTGTATGTGAGAAAAATTGCAAACTCAAGACTGTTGAATATAGAAAAAAATGAGTTGAAAATTTTTCTTACTACAGTGCACTCCACTTTCTACTCAACTTAATTCTCATCGGGATAATAATGAATTAATTAGTGAATAACTGTCTACAACAACAGACCTTCATACATAGGAAGGTCCATATTGATTAGTATTTTTCAGGCGTTTATCCATAGTTTTTACTATTCACACACATCCAATGAAAAGGATCATATTGTATGCTGTAAGCAGTAAGCAATCATACTGCAGAATCGTGGCGTCCGCAGTCCGCCTGTAGCCTGTAGCTACTGGAAATCGGAATATTACCTCAACAGTATTTTCCAAGATTAAACTGGAAACTATAATAAAATAGCGTTATTGAAATTGATATTAGTGATTCATGTGTTCTAGTTATGATAAAACTGTGATATATCCATATACGACGTATATTGATATAGATAATTCACTGAGGTACGAAATCGATAGTGAAGTTTACTACAACAATATTATTGATAAGGCCTAGCTGGTATTCAGCACTATCCTGAACTGAGTGAAAATGAAAGAAATTAGTGTTAGAACGGAGAACAACAAGGTTAAGTTCTCCATACAATTTTAACGATATCAAGCATCTATCAATGTTCAAATAAGTTTTTATCATTGGCAAACTTAACTATCGATTTTGTACCTCAGTGATATACTGTATATAGATAATACGCGTACATAAGTAATTAAAACAGATGTGAGCAGGATAGTACCTTGATGCTGAACAAATTCAAGAAGTTGTGCCCTACACGTGACAGAAACGATTCAGAAATCACTGGAAATATTTTTCTTGTTACTCAATGTGACCTACAATATTTTTTGATAGAGTAAATACTAGTGTACAGCAGTGCTTTGCAACTTCCTTCATATCCAATCCGAAATCTAAAGTCATTACAGCTCACCCAATCTGACTCAAATCCTAGATACGGGCTTATAGTATTTTCACTATGAAGACATTTTAGAAATACTACTAGCCGAATCCGCACACCTCGCTGTGCATTAAATGTATAGGCACCATAAATGAGTAAATGTTATGCAGACTTAAGGTAACGTGCAGTATACATAGTACGTAACTAGATAGGGAAATATGGATGAAGGTTTTATCATAAAAAATAATCATTCATCAATACCATAATCCGTGTATACATCTTTTATACTATATAAAGTAATAAAAGCAAATCGATCGTTCGTCATTAGCCAAGTAAAATGGTGATGCAGGCATCGCCATAGAAACTAGCTTTATGAAAACTGTACGTCAATAGACAAGTTATGTTGAATGCTGACTTTGTGATAGAAAACACGTCAAATAATACTTGCTAATCAAGTGAATTGATTATAGCAATAAAGTCGTGATGGTTACTGATAATACCAACATTTTGTTGTAGATAGAGAATATCACCAAAATTGAAATTACGTTTTAATTCATAAATGAGTGAATAGATAAATAGTTTAGCATCAGGAAGAAAATGCAATTAATTTGTTGTTGATGGGGTATAAATCCGATAGCAATAGATGTAGAATAGGTAAGCCCCATCGTTTTATTTATAATTCTAGCGTAATTTCAAAGCCTTCAGCTGTGTTAAAGTGCTACGAGTATCTTTAGCCGAATTGATCAAGTCTGCTAGTGCTGCTTTTTCCTTCTCCTGCAGTTCTTGAGGAGCGTAATTCTGATATTTTAAATCAGAAATTTTTCGCTGCAATTTCTCAATCTTTTTCTCGACAGGTTTTAGCTGTTCGTTAAGCCGATGGATTAATCTGTTAAAGTCCACAATCGACTTGATATCTTTAAAAAAAGTTATTTATTGCAATACAATTAAATAGATAATATTAGAGAATGGCAAAACTGAAATCTAAGATCATCAATAATAACAATGATATCATTGTCATCAAATGTTAATTTTAATCTTTCTCTTACCAGCATACATACTGCAACTTTCGTCAATGCTATGACATATGTACGTTTCCTTATCGCGTAGGTCATCTAGGGATAAATAATTTATGAGTAGCGAACTAAGCTATCGCAATAATAATTTAAAATTATACTGAGGGAATAAAGCGATAACAAAAAATTGGCTTTATATTTTTTGCACTGTATTACTGAATTTACCGCGGTATTCATCCAAAAATCAACCATTCAACAACTATACATATTTGTAAAGATGACACTATATGGCACAGTAGCTATTCTAATCTAGCATGATATAATGAATCATAAAAAATTATTACTGTCTCAGTACCTATAGAGTTACTATCAGTAAAGTCATGACAATATCTTATTTACAATTGGTACAAGGTTAATACTGACTCTATTGCAAAGGTTTAAATAGATATGTTACATTGCATCAAGACCACTACGTTAATCTTCAATACATGCATATATACAAAATGGAAGCAGATTGAAAATTTATTGCAGCTTGTAAATTATAGTGTTCGATTATTGTATTAAGATGACTTATGAAGTATTCAATGCTAGTATTATAGAGTAAAACATACAGCGTACTTTATTAATACTTTACCTATAAATTCAATACTCGATATTTTCAATAATTTCGTTATAGTGTCAATATGTTCTTGTAGTATCGATTGAACAGAGCTGTCAGTAAAGTCACTATGAAATAATATTACCAACCATACGTAATTAGATAGATGGCCATTTCTAGCAAGTAATTCTATAATTCTACATACGTATGTAACTGTAGAGAGAGAAATACGGTACCACAACTAGTGTTATTACATAAAACTTTAATAAATACTACTATTATTTTAATGTTGCACGACAAAATCGGGAAGGCTGTAAAGGTAAAGCAATTCATTGAATCTACCGTATCTATAAACGGAATTGCGGTACATTGATACCTTAAAATAATTCTGAATGGAATTGACCACGGCAGCTCGTATTCGTTTCTAATATAACGTCCAGTTCTAATTAGAAATAAAACAGTACACAGATAGGAATTAATTTAATTATATCACACTAATCCGATGATAGAATGATTGCTGGAAGCCTAAAATTATCATTACAATGCCTACTTGAGAACATTTAATGCTAAGTATACATTCTTTTCTGCGATGTCATTTCTAGTAAAGTTAAAATTTTTCACATCCGGAAAGGGAGCCAAGGTAATAGATTCCTGATGCATCAAACAGTTAATTATTCGTCAATTACCGTGTCAGTATTGCATAAATAAGGCAATACAGCACTGTATATAGGTAAATCTTCCCTTGGATGCATAGATTTACCGCAGTATTAGTTTCGCTATAATCTATCATACTGAAAATACTAATTACAAACCGAGATATTACAAGCGTTAGGTAAGAAATGCCATAGTTCTTCCGTAATGTGAGGTATTGCTGGATGCGCTAAACGTAGGATATTGCTTAAGATGTGGTATAGAACGCATTTACTCCAGTAGCTACGTAGAGGAAAGTTAAACAATGGTGCAATATATAAATTAAAAAGTTAAATTTAAAACAAATATTTAATAGTGAAATCGTTACCTGGATTCAGAACTTGAATCCCTAATAATCGAATACTTCATAAATTCAATATATACATCACAAAGCTCATTTCTGACTAAGCGAATTAGACTTTCAGCATACAAGTCCTAAAATAATAGTGCTAGCATCAAGCAATGATATTATACAAGAATCAATAACAGAAAAGCGCCAATTACTGATCAAGGTATGATCGCACCATTTTAAAATTCTGTAAGCCATGTGTGCAGGCTTCCGTTGCTACTGTTAGCCGGCTAAGCATCCATAGATCGAGTTGGCTAAGATATTTCGAATTAGATTTTAGTTCCTGCAACAGAATCATTTCGTTTGACGGGCTGGCTTGATGTAGAAAATACAAAGCTTTGAGCTATATGAATTCTAAATTATGATAGAAACCTGAGGACGGAAATCATCTCCCCATAAACGACTAGCAAATTTGGCTGCATTCCATAACTTATTACAAAAATTTCTGTTCGAAATGAGTTGACTATTGGATAATTTTTAATCAGTTGTGGTCAGTTTCTAAGTTTCATCTAAGAAAATACGACGATATATTATAAATAAATAATTGTCTTACTTTATGTTTAGATTAATTCCTGACCCTTGTTTCTAGAAAAAATTTACAAATCAGTAAAATAAAGTCATCGTGTATTAATATAACAAATTATGCCGGATAACCTACCATATACAGTAGCAGAGTCAAACGTAAGGCATCAGCTCCACATGGAGCAATACCTTGGGGAAATGCTTGGCTTAGCTGTTGTTTAGATGTTCGAATTTCACTTGGAGGCAGGCTACTTTTGTCCAGGGCTGACTGTAAGGTATTAAGGCTGACTCCATTCTGAGTGGTACATAGTAAGACGAATTTTTATACATAAGATTTAAATTAAATTTTTTTGATATAGTTATAGTCTTACGATAACATGCAATGGATCGATTGCATTTCCAAGGCTTTTAGACATTTTACGGCCCTAACAGATACAGTAGCGATAAGTATGCTATGTAGATTTAAGTTTTAAACTAATAATGTTAGCATTGATAGAAATGTTACCAAATAGAGTTCTAAATTTATAAAGCTACGCACTCTAGAATCGCGCACGATAGGGTGTAAATAAACAGTAGGAAATGGGGAATCATTTCCATCAGTAAGTTCACTGCACAACATAACCATTCGAGCCACCCAGAAATATAAGATATCGGCTCCCGTTTCCATAACTGTATAAAAATATTATTTAAGATCTGATACATCCGTGGCAAGTAATAATTTTGAGTAATTATGATTATTACTAAGGCTTAGTAAAAGCAATTAACTTTATCGCAGGAATCAAATATTAAAATCTGCGCTTGTAAATACTGCACTTTCAGTATGGTATGTTGTAACAGATTAATAAAATAATTTACCGGAAAGAGGGTATTTGTTCATTCGCTTATTATTTGGCCAACCATCAGCCGATAGCGGAAGTAAAGCAGATGAAAACCAGGTATCTAAAACGTCTATGTCTTTCTCTAGCGTAAACTACAAAAAATACACGTAGCATTCCAATGAGAAGACTTATAAGATTAAATACAACCCTTCTTTGTATGCTATCAGGAACCTTAGAATTGTATCCCTTTTCCTGTAAAAACTCTTTAGCTTTGGTGTAAGCTTCACGTTCACTTCGCGCAATAAACCAAGATTGCTGATCTGAAATTTCAAGATCTGGAACTGTTAGCCTCCAAGCTGGAATTTCGTGTCCCCAACACAATTGACGAGAAATGCACCAATCTCGCGAGTCCTCTAACCATCTTTGCAGTCGGAAATTCAGGCAATAGTAAGTGGATATAAAACAAAGTAAGATATGTAAAAAAGTATTATTCTGCATACTTCGTAATGAACATTTAAAGATCTATTTCTAAATCTGTGTGATTAATTATATCGCACAAATTTGTTATTATTGTTCGTGTAAATAAAATACAAGGGGTAAGTTTATTAGGCTTAGTCTCTAATGTGCATTTTGTATCAGTTACATGTAAATGGGATTGTTTTAACCGAAAACGGTATGAAATGGTTAACCTGTTCCATTCGTTAACGTAATTTCTCGGTACAATATTTAAGAGGCCGTCCCTGACAAAGTTCAGTGCCCGAGTTGACATGGTATCACATTTAATGTACCACTGAGGTTTCAACATAGGTTCAATTATATCGCCAGATCTTGAGCATCTTTATAGTATATATAAGTGGTTCAAATGGATTAATTTGTTTAAAAATGCTTAGCATGATTATTAGCTTATTTTAAAATTTTTAGGAATTGAACTATATTAATCCAAGTACTGTTCATATTTACCTGAAGACAGTTGAAGGGTAAGATATACATTCAGCATATAAACCTTTTTCTTTTAACTCAGAAATAATTTTATTTCGTACTTTAAAACGGTGTTGGGCAATAAAATTTTCGCAACCACATTTATCATTCTACACCAGAAAATGCGAAGACATTCGATTATCTATTAGGTATTCCTGTATAAACAAAATGAAATATCCACCTATATGACACCATGAAACATCTGAAGCCTACCATAGTTCCGTCTTCATTCAAAATTTCAATAATTGGAAGATTATGTCGTTGACTACAGGCGTAGTCGATTGGATCATGAGCTGGTGTTATTTTTACCGCACCCGTACCTTTCAAGTCAGGTCATAATATAGATTTATATATAAGAAATAAATTATTTCACACATATATCTATCAGGCAGTAACAACCTTTGTTAATGTCGACAAGCTCGCGGTCGCATATGATAGGTAATCTTCTATGGTTGAACGGGTTTATTACAAACTTGCCGTGCAGGTTTCTAACAACAAATGTTATATTCTGCTTATTATCTGGTTTGTTAACTCAATCATGGAAATGTTAGCAATATCCTAGTATAGATTACGCAAGATACAACAGCATTTACTTATATCGATCATCGTCTGGGTGCACAGCTACAGCTACATCTCCAAGCATTGTTTCAATACGAGTAGTAGCAACTGGAATACTACATTGACCATCTGCAACTGGATAATGAAAGGTATGCATTTCACCGACGGTGACACTTTCTCCCAGTCCTGGAACTGCAATTTTGGTCGAACGTTCAACAATATCGTGGTCAACCTGTAATAGAATGATGAATATATAACGACGTAAAATCAATTATTACTGTATTATATGAGTGCTTATAAGAATTAAACCTCAATATCGGATAACGCAGTCTTTAAGTGGCAACTCCAATTAACAAAACGTAAATCCCGGTATATTAATTCTTTCTATAATTGAGAACAAGTATTGGCATAAATAGGACAGATATAGTGAGTTACAGTAAACTTTAACTCAGCACCAGTTTTAAATTATAAATATTATAACAGCTTTTAAGGCAAGTTTACTTCATAAAGTTGAACAAAAGCTTCAGTGACTGCTTCAGAATGATTATTATCCAGTGTAAAAATGAGTTGACTCCTAATTTCGTATAATTTTCAATTTGAATAACAGGTTATACTGTAGATTAAATTTTCACAAACAATTTCAGTATTTTCGTAACTAACCAATCTAGGGAGCCACCTAGGTGAGAAAGTTGCTCTAGAATAATATTTCTATGCTTATCTTTCCATTTTGTGATGGCTTCAACAGTATCTTGTCTTGTCTAAAAATGCATAAGAATTGATTAGAACTATGCTTTATGATTGAATAAATTAGTAGTTGTTATTATAGCAAAGAAATAAGAGTATCGTATTATTTCTCGTATGTATCTGCAATTCATTTTCGTGATGAGATCGTACAAACCATTTGGTGAAGATTTTTGCCCTGAAAGAGTAAAATAAAATGAGTACGAAATCAAATAACTATGTCAATGCTATCCGATATACGTAGATAACATAATCAGACAAGTTAGCATTGTTTTAGCATAGACGGAGTATCTTGTAAGTTCTATATTTACTACACACATACAACACGCGGTTGTAAATTGTGAATAGAATATACGTACGCATTTACTACAGTATAATAATGTAGAAGTGGTATCAAACTATTAGTTAAAGCAAACTTTGTTACAAAGTATTTATGTCAAAGCTAATAAGAAATGCCATATACTTGTGCGCAATCATATTTTAATACAAAGTTCCTAATAACAGAATCAGTGATATAATTTATACCTCTTTCATGAGATCTCTTTCAACTACACTTTGGGTAGCGATACCGGCATGATCGACGCCAGGAATCCATTGCGTTCGCTCGCCCTTCATTCTATGCCATCTGACGAGTGAATCCTGTATTGCTACTGTTAATGCATGGCCTACGTGTAATTTGCCGGTCACGTTGGGTGGAGGAAGCAACATGGTGAAAGATTCCTTACTTTCAGTTTCTATATAAATGTTTAATTGAAAACATGGCGTAGGATAATTTAATACTAGCTATTTGAGAATTGTAATCAAGGCTAAGAGCCTACAATCTAAAGCTACTCTTAGTTATCATATACTGGAATATTCATTGCAGTTATAATTTCCAATTAGTCAAGAATAATAATAATAATGTAAAGATGAATCATTTCTAGAAGAAATAACTAAATTATTAATTGATAATGTAATGTATCAGTAGGGCAGTCAGTAGGCCAGATTCAAAGCTTAGTAAACAAACATACGGGTACTTGCATGTACATGATGTCGATATGAAAGCAGCAAGGTGATACAAGTATGCATATGCGTATACCACTGCAGGCATTATTACATTTGGTTTAGCGGCATATTTTTTAAGTTTTGATTGTACTAACGTCGATATCAAGCTAGTACGAATACAAGTATACCCATGCAAGCTTTATTGCGGAAGAGAAACTTTTTAGTACACACTATGGCATCTAATGTTGATGTGATGGAAGTGTGCAAATGCATCATCGTCACGGCGGTCATAACTGCATGTTTAATTAATGAATATTGTGTATATGCATGCCTGAATGCTTGCATTTTAGGGATATACGAAAGCAGTATAAATACTCATAACCCACTACAGGTATTGCATATGAGCAATTCCTAGATTGCCTGCTATGGATATGATAACATCAATATTATGCAGATTGATCCTATAGTAATTATTTATTATTGGATTTTTAATATAATATTTCAGGACACTGACGTATTCCTAGAGGTAGAGTAAGTGCTGTACCATCAGCTCGCCGTTGCATATTACCTTTATCTTGAAATAAATTTTTCTTGATCCACCATTGGTACCAAAATTTATCCCTGCTAGTACTATCATATTTATCAGGTAAAGAACAGAGTAGTCTAGGATAAATTGTTCTCGATATTGACGACAAGGTAAATCTTTTGGCATAAGACAGCATCATCTTCATCTTGTTGTTAGCCAGTCATTCATTCTTGAAATTGGAATTTTTCTTGAGCTCGCGAGGATACAACCAGTATCAACATCGAACAAAATCCTACATATCAGTGGAAATACAGTAGACTAATTTTAGACCTATTAGCAAGATCTCATCAGGAAAGCAACTCGAAAACTAATTCTAATTCATTATATATAATTAAAATTAAATGAATGATGTTGGCTGAAAGCGTAAATTTCACAACACGGTTGAATGCATAAGCCTGATGCAGGCCTAATACCTCTATCTTTTCCTTCAAATGGCTACCCTTTGTGGCATATAGCCATGTAGTAGCTCTGTCTGCAAGGTTTTAAGCAAGAAAACCGCTACGAGAATAAAAGCTGGATGATTAGTGTTAGTTTAAAGCTGTTGACGGAACATGAATTGAAGTTTACCGAGAAGTCTCTGCTTTAAGGTTTAGTAGAAGTCCTCTAGCTTCTGCAGGCTGTTTTCGATCGCATGCTCCCATCCTGTACCAGTACGCTTATACCGCTCATTCATCCTACCCGTAGTAGCTAGTGAATGTATATTACCCTTCTCTAGCGTTTCAGCACTACTATCCCGTATGTATACATTAGTACCTGCTACCGCGCAGGTACATTTCAATCTGGATAGTCTTGCAGATTGTTGTCCATTTATCCACTTTATTATCATTTTAGCTACAGGATAGCAGGGGAAAATCGATATAAATATCAATATGATGGCGATAGCCAGCCGTATTTAGCATAAGAGTTCCCTTAGATCAACTTATACCTTTTGTTATTATAGTAGATCATATTTAATGACAGTAATTTTGATACATCAGTGCATTACAATTAATTATTATCCATGAGCAACGACGATACGAGGTAAGTAAAGAAACATTTCCAACAAGGATGTATTTCGCTCAGATGACATATATATATATATAGATATCAATTATAAGGGCGAAATAGAATTATTGGTGTTGCCATGATAGTAATTTATTTTATCAGCCTGTTTTTTTTTTCTATTTAACGTTGCTACAGTGAAAGGAAAGAGCTCCAATCGCAGTTTAATCGGTTTACACAACAATACAATTTCTTACATCGAGCAATTGTTGAAAAAGAACGAAACATCGCTCAACTTCTACAGGAGATTGATTTAGTCAACGAGGTAATAATATTACACACTTAATGTTTAAGCAATGCTATTAGTGATAAGGCATCTTAACTGAAGGATGGCTATCAGTTAACTCTTGTTTTAATTATTACCTAAAATTATCATGGAGAAGCCAATTGACATAGTGCATGATTTTATTATCATGCAATGGATCGAAAATCTTCAAGCCCATCAGGGCTATGAAGTTATATTATTATTATTATTTATATACTCTTGGTTATCATAGTAATTGAATACATATGAAGTTATTAGAAAATGATATAGATATTATATCGATAAAGAGTGCAGTAAGCTGTACAGTAAATAGTGATAAAACAATTCTATATTAACTTTAGTTAACGGACTAAAAATGAAACGCCTTCTTGGATAGGATAATCAGAATCTAGTAATTGAACACGTATGAAGTCATTAGAAAATGATATAGATATTGTATCGATAAAGAATGCAGTAAGATGTACAGTAAATAGTGATAAAATAATTCTATATTAACTTTAGTTAACGGACTAAAAATGAAATGCCTTCTTGGATAGGATAATCAGAATCTAACGGCTAAGAAGCAATGGCTGAGTCAAGGCAGGGATTTAGAAAGAGAAGCGAGAAACATTGCGGCAGAAATAGATGGCGATTATTTAAAGTCTAAAGGTATCATATAGCATTTTAGCCTCGCTTTTACTTCTGTATTGACATGTACGAATTTAGTAAGTACAATATTTAGAAAGTTATAACGTAGATTGTCGAAATTGCAATTAAAAAGCGAATCAGATGACTATACAGTTTCCATTTCATAGTTTATTGATTCAGTAATATCTTACTCATCTATAATTCTACAGTTTTTATTGCTGGGATCCATCAACTGACCTAGTAATCGCATATTAGTGTAACTGGCTAATTAAATTATTAACGGGGTATATTCGTTATGCTTTCTCGGGCCACATTAATAATGTAAGTAAATTATTTCATTTTCTTATAGACGTTATGGAAGAATTAAATCGTACCAAAACAGTTTTAACGCTGGAATCGAATATACTGATGGATAAATTACGACTGCAATTGAAATCACAAAATACCTAAGAAAAATACTACTGTGAATTATGCATTGTATTATAACCTTGCTACGTATGTCATTGCTACAACCTATAATTCATGCAAAATGGTACGTAGTCTTGTAATTTATTGAACAATAAAGAATATTCTCTTAATAACTTGTATCAAAATGAATGGGTCATTGCCCCTTCCACGAATTGAATAGTAATCCTCCGCTTATATCAGGGACTTCTTCTTGAAGTCCTTGCTCATACATATAGTGATAAACTATTAATTATTAATTGTTAGAACATGTTGGTATTTTTTTATCACATGCTAACTAAGACCAAAACTTTAGGCACAATCTTTAAATCATTTGCAAATTGATTCGGTATTTATTTAGCTCAAAATAAATGTATACAACAACGCTATTTTGCATAATACAATGCAATACAAGGATCGAATACAGTCCATTAACCTCATTCGTTTGAGTAAGTCTGCGCTATAATTCGTTGATAGAAACGATCCTTGATAAATTGTTGAGCTACTTAAATATTTTTCCCTGATTGAATTTTCTGCCACCGAAATCTCCTTCCCATAACAAATACTCGTTAATCAGCTTTTTGTCGTCTGACTTGTCAACATCCAGTTTAACGAATTCGTAAGAAGGAGCATCGATATTCCAATCTTCGTCGAGCTTCGCATTACAAATATTTAAAATACATTACGTTACAATAATGTAAGCTAAAACACAAAATTGTAACTCCTATTAAGATCGTATTTTATCGTAAGTAACTTACATTAAAGATTAATTCTTGTCCGCGCATTATCCAGATTCCTGAAATAGTGCTATCACCGTCTTTACCGAAAATGCAGACACTGCCAAACGCATGCTTCTTCAACTTTTCTATTCTTTGAAACATACCGCTAACTAAATTGCAAGACATAAATATCTTCTTGAGATCTTCTGGATATTTATATTCCCCCTTCCAAATTGAGAACCCTTCTTTGTCGAAATTTTCCCAAAAGTACGGAATCGCAACTTTTTCTGTGTCCTCGTTGGAATAAACTCGTTTGAAAGCATCAAGTACGAAGGCACTAGATAAGTATCAACATACGTTAATTACACCATTTCAAAACTTTTCGTCATATTGAAGTGATAATTTAGGCAGAGAAAAAATAAAAAGTATTATGATACCTTTTAGCAAGATTGGCAAAAGGATCAGGTTTCTTTGATTCTTTTGGTTTTTCGTCATCATCATCTGCTTGTGGCTTGGGTTTTGGTTTCGCGGCCTTTGTCTCCTCTTTCTGCTTTTTCTCTTTTTTTTGGTCCTTCTTATCTTTTCCTTGGTCCTTCTTGTCTTTTCCTTGGAGCTCTGCAAATCTTTTAGCTATGTAGTTTCGACGTTATTTTATGTAAGATAAAGAGTACGATTAAACAAGCAGAACTATTATCAGGGAGTCAAATTACGTATAATAGACTACCATCAAATTGTGCCATTTTTTCACAGAACTTGAATTCTCCAATCACGTTACGGAATTGAGGTTGATTTACAAGCGTAGTAAACCATCGGTTAACGTTGGGGTAAGGTGCTCTAAATGCAGGATCAAGGACCTACCAGTGTATAGCATATAACAATCAATTAGCGGTGTGTCCATTTTGTTTTTACTCGTTCTAAACATAAATGATGTTTCTAAATAACCTGTTTAAACAAGTGATACAGATTGCACGCCAAAGAGATATCAGCCAAGGTTACTCTTTCTCCGACCAAGAAAGTCCTTGTGGACAAGTCATTGTTGAGGACCTTTAAAATAGATGAGATCACTTCCTTGGCTTTTTCGGTATTCTAAAGAGATAAATCAAAAGTTGCTATTCAGCAAGATAGCATGAAATCTATAGACTTTATTTCATCATTAAAAGGTAGAGAGATGTTATTTTTTAATATAGCAGTCTCTAGCACACAACTACAACGATTACTTGAGTTAAATGATTACTGATATGAAGTGAACTACTAAGACTTGCCTGTTTATTATACTGCATTATCCCGTAAGTTGGAAAAACCCAAGAGCAAGCATGAGGCAAAACTTCATTGTCAGCTAGGCTTATATACTGCATAATTTTGGCAGCATCGGTTTTGGTTTTGCCATGTAGTTGTGCATTTGAAACTAGAATATACAAAATTGTTTCAATTTTTGGAATTATATACGAACATAACTTTTTAAAAAAGGACCCATCATCATGATCTACTTGAAATTTCGTTCCATGTCAAGATAAATCACTTTCCAATTATAGAGTTGTTGAGAAATTGAACTTGTACTACCATTGCCCTGCATCTGTAATGGCATTACTCGTATTAAGGAGAGGCTGTTACAGTAAAGTATGAACCTGGCAAACATGGCCAATACTGTACTAGCTCTTTATCAAAAGGTAAGTAGGTTAAGACGTTAACAAGCATCTGTTTAATTCAATTTAAATCTCCCTGGAATTGTCTTATTGAGGTCTATACAGCAGCATGAATAGTACAGCATGAATAGTACAGCACGAATAGTACAGTACAAAGTAAGTAAATAACAAAGTCCTATTAGGGGGTAATTCAAAAGTAGTCGCTGAAAGTAACAAATCCTATCAAGCTGATCGGTGAGAGATCGAATCGATCAAGTTGAATACTGTACACATACCATAGTAGGCAATAGCGTTAGTTTCGTAAATGCAAGTTCCATCTGAGCCTTCGAATGCAGGTACCTACGCAATGTATTTTAAGTTCAATGATTAGAAATGTTAAAGAATCGATTAATATGAAGTTGTAGATGACTGCTGTAATAGTAGCTCATTAATTCCATAGTTGCAGTGTAAAATATTGAATCATTATTGAGTATCAATACTATACGTCCATAGTGCTCGATGTCGCATCAATATCAGAAAATACTAAAGTAGAATAGCACTGAGGCATACATCTACAGAGATACTCGTATCATTTCTTTCAACTATCCCAACAAATTACAGTATATTACGATCTATAAAGATATACAGTAGGTCCAATGGGATAAGCACATGCGTCATTTGATCACCGTCTTGGGAGACGAGATTCGAGAGATGCAGACAGAATGAACTATGGCCTTTACGTAGCCGTATAGGCAGTTATCCAAATTATTCTTTCATTTTTGTATCTACACTATATCCCTAACTCTAAAATCATTTAATTGAACTACCTTTCCTAGGGGAAACTTTTCCAAGAATCCAGCGCTCTTATTAGTCTCGCCAAGGACAAATTCTGTAGGTTCGGAAATCACCTTGATATCTGTATTGCTGTATTGGGCAGCAACAAGAATTTTGTATGCACGGAAATTATCCGGATAGGTGTACAAAACCTATAAATATGATATAAACAGAAATTAATTTACACTCACTAGTATGCTGTACTGTATACTAAAATGTTAGGTAGTTGAAAAAAATAACAGTTTAATAGAATAATTTGCAGATGTAGACGATAATATCATGATTGGAGTCGTAGTTGAAAACTTACACCGGACGCCATTGTGATTTATCAGAAAAGGATCGTACATGCGCAAACATACGTGACAAATACTTTTGCTTGGCTATCCACTGACAGCCATGTAAGCGAATAGAACAGTTTGTACCAGTTTGATAGGACTGTACAGAACAGAGGTGTAAAAAGTATAGCCTACGGCATAACAGATATACTGTACAGCATAATAATCCCTAGTAAACGCTATATTCTGTACACGTATTACTTGTATTGAGCAAGACCGTCGTTACTTTCTTTTTACCTGTATGGGGCCTAACAACCACTTATTTATACTTTACTATGAGAGGATTCAGCTAACGATGGACCGTAGAATATATATAGTAAATCATTATTAAATTACCGTACTCACTTCTTTTTCTCTAACATAAATTATAACTACATCAGAGTTAAGAATAAAATTTTTCAACGTGGAGTCATACTCGTAGACGCAAGATATTCTAATCGCTTGGATGCTCATTGCTAACTGTATTAATTATAGATGATAAAGTAATGATGTAGACTTTAGCAAAGAGTAAAAACATACATATTTATTATCTAAGAATTGTCATCTCAGGTTATTATCAATAAATATCGCTACAGTTTACAACATAAACTGATTACAGACGGTGTTTTTAATCAGCATACAAAGAGTAACTGTACTATTTAATTAACAACGCGGTATGTCATTCCTAGCCATTAAAAGTAACTTTACAACTGTTTATCTCAAACCATCCAGTTATAGAGAAGATATTTTAGCAGAATATTTCTCTTGAGTTGCATAGTCTATAAATTGTTAAATCCTATAGCATTTTGCCAAGTATTCGCATTCATCAAATTAGATGAAATGTAATATTGCATGAAAACAAGATTGCCAAACTTGTATACTACCGTATGTATTTGTGACTGAGAACTTTGAATCTGCTATTGCTAAACTTAGAGTATCGGCATTATGATAGATAGTACATAAATTTAAAGCGTTGTTCACTTTATCTGACGTACATACTGTATAATATATATTTAACCTTAAAGAGCAATTAATCGAATAAATAATGGAATATATCTTTTATCATTTCATTCACCAGCGCAACAATTACTTTTTAAAAGACATCATTTGTCATAAGACAGATACATATAATAATTTCTTGAGATATTTAAGACGCTATAGTATTTACATTATTATATTATAATAACTACATTTAATATTTATAGTGGATATTAACATTCACAGGTTAATAAAGGAATATTCTTATTAATTCGTGAGTATTCTGTTGTGGTATTAGCCGTTCAATTTTAATAAATTTAAATCGTCAAACTCCATGTCGACTAAAATTTCTTAAGATTACATACTGTAATATCAATTTAAAGTCAAAACATACGTTTATGATTTTTTCTGCATAAATCCATACAAAGGCTAGCAGGTTAAGTCATATGATGACAATATATACTGTCATTAATTTTTTTTTACATTTGGTACTGCACTTTATTCATAGTCCATATTGTCTTTGTTAGAAGAGATCATCTTAATAACCGGTAAAACTCGAAGCACCGTCTCTGCAGGTGGATTTCCACCAAATTTCATAAAAAGGGATAATAAATCAGATGGATATCCTAGAAATAAAAACCGTTTATTTTAGATTCATAAAAAATAAACTAATTAAACCAAATTAGCATATAAATCAATTAATTTTAAAAAATACATATAAAGAATGAATCAAAAAGATAAAATTGCAGGATAGACTTAGGTATACCTCCATCTTCATTTATGCCAAAAATCTGGTATGCTGGCGGTACGTCATACAACTGAAGAAAGCTAGCTAAATGCTCCAAGGTGCCTAAGTTGGCCGTTATCAGCTTAGCGCCATCTTTCACGTATTCTAAAAATGTATCGGGCTCTTTAAAAGTACCTATAAAAACATATTTGCACATTATGAAACACATAAAGCTAGCAATTAAAATATACGAATTCATAATTATATAATAACTTCATTTTACTAACCTGTAATATCATCCAACATGTAGCACGAAACGTAAGATTTTATGTACTCTAATAGTTCGTTGCTTATCAATGTTTCCTAAGACAAAATCATAGTCCATAAGATTTATTACACTCTAGTTAACGTAAATTTTATAAAATAATATTAGCTAAAAATACCGTAACGGATTGCTTTATCCACATTTCATAGAAGGATATCATGAGATTTAATTCTACGAAATTCAACGGATTATATATTTTAGCACTTAGTTCGTGCAGTATATGATATATTGTCATGCATATGGTTATGATTTCGGTTTTTTCTTCTTTTACACATTCAAAAAGTAACGATGAAAATAATGCCTTTAAATGATATTCTTGATCCTGTGAAAAGTCATTTATACAATATCTAGCTAACATTTAATCTTGAATTTCAATTAGCTATTACTTATTAGATCTAAATCAAGGGCATAATAAAAAGGAGTTCACTTATCATACAGTATCATTCTTAGTATTATTGCATAGAAATTCCGCAAAAGCCAACAGGTTTTTATTGGAAGTTAAAGACTTTATCTTGTTTATCTGTATAATAAGTGAAATTTAAACACAATTTATCAGTTTTATGGTTATAAAAGCAGCGGTAAAGGAGATTGAAAATATTACTTTTGATGGTTGACAAAATAAGCTTTCTTTTTCAATGGAGAAATCTCGTGCCAATGCATTTTGTAAGCCCTGCAATGTGAAGCAACGATTATGAAAATTAACAGTTGATAACTGCGATAAATGAACTGTATTAAAAATATCTAAGATCTGCCTACCTTTGGATCAGACTTGTAATTGAGAAACCCAGCCCGTCTTTTAACAAAGACAGTACCATGATTATCTAGTAATGCTCTAAAAGGAGATAGAAATTGCACCGTAAGATATATTTAATGTTTTAAGCTACTATGTACGGTATGCACTCTACGGTACTTTTGCAATTTCGAATCATTTTCTAATTCTAGTCTAATTGGCCAATATCGAGGTCCTTCGATATTTATCTGAAAAGCAAAGAAAGTTAGTCAGTGATCTAGGGCGAATAGTGGCACTTACTTTAAAAGGCATTTAAATGAGTACTGATGACAACTATTGGTCTTTACTTGTTCGATTAGGTGTAACTCAGGAAGCAGACATGGGGTGGTTAAATTCAGCTTACATCGTTGATAGTTTTCAGTAGCCTTATGTACAAATAAGATGAAATCGTGTTCAGTTTATATAAAATAACATAGATGGAGCTCAGATATATTACACAAGGCGATCATACTTTCAGTGTGACTGATATCGGTACGTATACTGGGTCTCCATCGTCAATATTTCGTGTAACCATAATTCGTGGTTGTGAGGCTAACGCATAAAGATGACGAAGTGCTTGAAGATGGTATTTATTGTCACAGCTGTTGGCTGGAAAATAGGGATAGAGAGAAGCTACCAAATATGCTACAGATTCATTTGTTGTATTTAACGTGTATCTAAGATATGGAAAACATCAATGGCTTGTTTAGTCTCAAACATAACGACATACTGTACACATTTCGAACAGTGAATAGTTCCAATACCGCGAAATCATAAAAATTACAATACTTATTTCGACTGAAGTACCGTACTGCATATTGACTAAAATTATTTACGGTAAAGAATAAGTAAGTTATGGCGCCTGGACACTGTTATATCATTCCAAACTTTATAAAGAATCAGTCTATGATTTATCTATCGCCATTAAAATATGATTGAATTCAGTACGTACCGTCCTCCACCAAGAAATAATAATCCTATAGACATATGTATCGCCATGTGTCTACCGTAGTTGATTTCGGTCGATCCTAATTGAGAATGTAATTTTCGTAATGTCTTTAAAACCGTCAAATTGCCTGTGCCAGACATAACCTGAATATCAAGTCATAAAATCGTTTAGAAAAGATTGGACTTTGTGCGAAATGCCATTTCAAAAAGCAAAGATGTCACTAATTGTATGGCAAAAATTTATCAAGTTTACCATAGCCAGCGCTAAGCATATAGTCCCAAGACACATTTCTATCGTACACTTTCCAGCCTCTTCAGATATCCTCGGATTTTGTTGTAATTTTATTACAAAGTTCAGATAATGTGTCTAATTCAATGCATAAATATAACATTAATTTCAATCAGCGTCATTGATAGCGTCAACTTTTATACGATAAGCAATTCTTGCCATCTCATGAAACACAAGGGCTACTAAAGCAATTTTAGTAAAATAGCAACTTTTGGCAGAGTTAGTTTTCATAGAATGTTCATTAAAATATATCTGAACGTATTCGCGAAATGAGCTATAAAATATATTACATATGCTTTACCAAAGTAGAGAATGCTTCTGCGTTAGCAGATCCTGCAAATCGAAATCCAATAGCCATACAAGCTCCAGCAGTAATATATAGCTTAACTTGACTGATCATATTTATAACCAAGATTAAATTTAGTTTATAACAATGATCATAAAGGTCTATCTTAAAAATAGTTACACACCTTAATAACTCGTAATCTAATGTTTTATCAACCTTCACATTAGAAAAGCCGTGCTCTTGTGCGATCTATTATATTCAGAAAATTTAATGAGATAAGATAAGGAAGATAAGTTGTTCATACTAGCCTTACCGGCGGTATTTGATTTTCAACCCAAGCTGTTGTTGGAAGGATCGAATCCCACATGATCAAATACCTACTCCAGGTCTGATTTACGCGTGATATTATTAAAATGAAAGCTGTAGAACCTAGGCGACTCGAATCACTAATTGCTATGGAACTGATCTATATTGCCTTTACCTTTAAGAGCAAGAAATCTGGTCGACTGGCCTCTAGCAAGGTTTGAGTTTTGGGAGCAATAAACCAATCGGCAATGGATCTATATACAATACCGAGATAAATTGTGTTTACGAAGGAGATGACTAACGATAGTGAACAATTTTCAAGCAAGTACTTTTACCGATTGTTTGTCTTCAAAAACATGAGACCAAGACTTAAAATTGCTCCCGGCGCTGTTACGTTCACGTTGATATTTACACCCTCCTGCCGTTAAAATTGAAACCTTGATATGGAATCATTTTAGCAAATTATTGTTATTCCAGATTTTACCTTAATAAGATAGCTTGACGGCGAAGATTTTTCATCGATAGCGCGTTTCTGAAAAGAACATTATGATCGTTATATGCTTATTGCTAAAAGTTTCACATTATTATGTAGTATCATACAGTGACATCTTTATTTCCGCCAACAATATAGTTGTATAAATAATCCGATATTGTCAAATCAGATAATCCAGGAGAACAATCACCACGCTAGTAAACAAAGAAAATGCCATGTCAACTACATAGTTAATGCGAAGCATTTGCACGATGTATAAATTTAAAAATATCTTACACCCAATGTGATCATTCCGAGAGCTATTCCAGCAGCAACTGAATAGGATTCTCTATCAGTACAATTATCCATCTCTGGACCTGGTCCACGCCCTATCAAGAAGACAGTTTAAGTTCGTAATTTCTTAATAGCTTTCATTTACTTATTTATGATAAAGAAAATCACACTGAAAGTTAGAGCAGACCTATTTCTATTAGGAGCATCTTGACCATACTTCTGTGTAGGGATCCTTCATATAGTAAACCGATACCAATCAACGATGCAATTTGAACGTCTTGTGAGATATTTAACTCCGCTGAAGTAGGTGGGAGAAGGGCTCGGATATGAACACTGAGCATTTTAGTGACAGCCAAATCCATCGTTCCACGTCTGTAGTAAGATTAGAGTTTTATAACATCAAATGACTAAACAATATTATAGTTCGATTGAGTTTTAATATTATATTACTTACTTTGCGGCAGCTATACCTAGTAATAAGCCAATGCTAATCATCGAATGTCCCTAAAAAGTAATTGTGTTGTTATATTTTGTATTTACAAAATAGATAAAGTTACTCTTACCATTGATAAATAGTCATGAATACTCGTAGCTTTTAAGTTAGATAAGTGCCCACTTAGTCCCAGAGCCATAAGAAAACCGGCATGTTCATTTGTTGATTGTTCGTTTTGAGGTTTATTGTAAACAATCCATGTTGAGTCGATCTGAAATAATCATAAAATAAAGCCAGTGTGTAATATCGTAGACGTAAAAATGATCATAAGGTAGAAGTTATAATCCATAGCATATTCCAAAAACATACATTAAACAATTGATTTACAGGCAAGCGCAAATATTAAAACTGAAATTGTTACCTGTGAGAGACCAGGCATAATGCTTATACCAGCAGCTACTCCGTTATGAAAAAGTGGCCAGTCAGTTAAACCTGGATAGTTACTCATTTCCAACTTAATGATCGCATTTCTAAAAGAAATAATTCTCTATTACGAAATTTATATGTTATGGGTTGCGCTCTAGATTATCTTAATCACATCGGTAGTTTATTTACTTTGGAGGAATTCGACCAGTTAAATTTAGAGACGGAATTGATACAACTTCAGCGACGATAGGGGAAGACTTGAAAAGAGTCAGCATACCCCTAATAAACATTTACAGCATACTCGTAGATAAGACTTTCAAATCTTTAATAGTATCAATAGTTTCTATGTGATAAAAATAAAATTTTTGAGTAACCTTCCAACTGGTAGTGCCATAGTTCTTTGACTGATGGTGTACAACCATTCTTCTTGTTGTTCAATGTACTCATGATCGCTAAATTAATATTTTTATAATCTTCAATCAATATACATAAAATATAAATGAATTTAAGATTTAAATAGATGACGCAACAGTAAACTAATAAGTAATCAACGGTAAATGGACATTAACCTAGATTCAGGTTTTCTAGCTACCGACACTGGTACTGGTTTTGATGATCTCAATAATCTGCCGACCTCCCTGAGCCTAAGATCTTTGCCGAAGATAAGGTTCGTTACCTGCCATATAGTTGTTATGATGATAAAATATTAGTGACAATTCGAGGCTACTGCTGGGTTGTACGTTACTAATAAGGAATAAAGCGAATATATAACTTTTGCTATTATACAAAATCAGATAAAAGTCTACCTTGTTGGATACAGAAGTACTTTCGTCAACATCTTCTTCTAATATTTCATTTGTAGCCTATTTTAAGCGTAATAAACGTTAAGATTTTGCCAAATTTAATATCAAAACTAGCAAAGATTAAATAACATCACACTCGTAGGTCAATAGTGTTGACTTATCGTAATGTGATTATTTAAGATATTTTTGCCCATCCTAACTTTCGTTTGGTCATCGCTGAAGCGTTGTCTATTACTACGAAGTTTAGTTTGTCCTATTAAATCTTGTCTATTAATAAGTTCATATGCTAATTTTGGCCAACTTCCAGATGGATTACGGCGACAATCATTTAAAATTTGATGAAGGATTATCTGTACGCCAAATGTTAGCGAATGCAATTTCCACGATCTAAAGTCTTTAAATTTTGATTAAATATTACTTTTATTAGTATTGTACAGTATAAAAATATTACTTGATATCTAGATACAAACCATATGCGACAAGCAGCATTAAGCATTGTTCGGAAATCGTGTTCCCACTTTGCAAGTAGAGAATACGGAAAATAAATTCAAGTCAATGACAAAAATGTAACATGAAATGGTCTTCTAGTTTGCAGCTTACATGTAAACATCAGATGAATTCAAAATTTGATCGCGGTTGTTTATATCTATCGTGAAAGAAAGCAGTGAATATAGTTTTGGGGCAATAGATCTTACAATACATTACGAAATGCATATACCAAATATGTAGTATTCATAACGGAAAATAGGCTCAGCAATAGCTTCTTCATTGCCAGTAAATTTGGTACAGATCTTTAAAATAATAAAAAATTTGTTTATATCTGTAATCTCTAATTAACTAAAAGCTACCAAATTCTCGAAACCTTTCCAATCAATTCTAATCGACTGCAAATCCTGGGTATGTAATATAATTTCGTATCTTGCTATAAATTTTAAGAAAAATCTTAGAATCATATTGAGAGAAGTACGGTATATACAAACACGTTTGATGAATTAATTTTACGAGCAATTACCTTCAATCGACGGAAACACTGGATCATCCAATTTCTGACATTGATGGGATACGACGTAATATAAGACGGCATTGTTTGTGATAACCGCTCTATTAATCAAATGCAGTAACAATAAGAAGGTTTACTCATTACTATCCAGTACACGAACAAAGCATTGTCATTTTACAACTTTGAAATAATTGATAATCCCACCTGTAGGTACTACTTCCTGTAAGTTGTAAGTAAATAATTTAGGGAAGTCGCGGCGGTAGTAATCAAGATAAAATTTTGCGTCTAAAATACTAATGTAACAGAATTATAAGTAGTTTTAGAAGTTATTTATACCAACTTTAAAATAAAATTTATTGATAAGACACTTGATTACCTGGCACAGAAGTACAAGAATTGAGCTAATGGATAAAGTGAAGTAGCTGCAGTACTATCTAATTTAAATTCCTAAGGTATCGGATATCAAAACAACATACTTAGGTAGGTGAACGACCAGCATTACCGTTACCATTAACGACGAAAAACATAAATGATATGATAGATATGATTTATAAAACTAACCTCATAGATCAGATGGAGAGAAAATAAAATAGAGGGCAAATGCTGATAACCGATCCAGTTCTTATCAGGTCTACGATTCCGATGGATTTGTTAAGTAAGTTTTTTGAAATTTTAAATTTAAAATAGTATTGACATAAAAACTTAATTGCCCCTAAATGTCTAAATATATCAGTAACTAACTTGATACACTTTGTTACTATAACGTCAAGCAGATCTTCTTTGGTATATCGAGCATGAATTGGTGTTTGGAGGACCGCTGACCATATCTAATAAAGAATTTTTGGATTATAAAACTGCAATCTAATTTCAAAAAGCACCTTAGAAAAAGATGATTTAATTCAAGTTATCAATATATTAGATAAGAACGACTTACATCAGTTCCAATCCTAGTGCCAGTGCCCTGTAAGGTTGTCATCCAATTCAGGCATGAAATTTATCAGTTATTAAAAAAAACCAATGTCGTATTTATGTGAGCATATCAATATACATATGTCAATCGAATCTTAATTAATAGTGTATATTGCGCACTGTACTTACGCTTACTTCTTCTAGAGAGCCTTTTTCAGATATAAGCCATAATAGAAATCTTACAAATACTTCCAGACTACATTCGATATTGTCATAAGATTTGTTGACAGATGCTTTCAAGTACTGAGCTAGTATTGTAAATCCAATTTCTTCCGGTAGTAATTGATGCAAAGCAGCTAAGGACGATTTAACTGCGAGATTTTATCAAAAATGTAAAACGATTTTTAATTTGTTGACTACGATCTGCTTCAGATCTCCTGTATTATCGCTACGATATGTACAATAGCACGCTCTCACCGATAACATTCGATGGCAGCTTCAATAAAGGTATACGGAACATTTTCCCGTAGTTATTAGTCTATACAAAAGATATAATACATTAGTACTAGATTACACGAACTAAAACTTCGTACTACCGTATCATAAATTGCATTCATTATTCATACCACTATAAGTGTATCAAACGCCCATTGATATAGGAACTGAATCGATCCTGTACATATTGTTAAATCAGTTATTAATTCTAAGAATCAGCAGAATGTAGTATTCGTAATATTTCGTCATACCTGGAATTTTCCAGAGATCGAAGTTCAGCTGACAAATCTAGCGGAATCGAGTAGTCAATTAGGACAATGTCAGATAAAACTAACTGAACTTGTGAAATCTACCTGTAGAAGGCCGTTATAAAAGTAACCATTTGATGCATTATCTAAAACAGCAATTATACCAGTTTCCTATATAAAAATAACGTCGATGAGTTACTTATACCATCAATACCGTTTAGCTACTGCATTGTGTACATAAAGTGCAATCTGTAAATCCATACGTAGGCAAGCATTTACCGTCATGCATGCGACATCCTTGCTCTCTATTGTTAGCTTATATTCAAAATTCATATCATGATATTGATAAACTCTAGAGAATAGAAAAGGTGGGGTTAAAATTACGAATTGAAACTAACTGATCATTCAATATTTAATGACAGTAATCATTTTAACGTCGCTAAATGTACCTTAGCTGATCTCCTACAAGACAGTAAAAATATTTTCTGCCGTAGAAATCAGTAGCGAAGAAAGCTTTCTTCGCAACCGAAGCCAAGCAGCTAAAAAAATTTGATTTCAAACAACAACTATATTAATATGTATTTTTTAAGGCCACTGATAGTATAATGAACTAACAGTTAATTTATTACTAATACATCATTTAATACACACATGTCTTCTTCCCATATTTTAGATAAACATATTTCCGATAGTACAGGTTGTAGAGGCTCAGTACTATATATATTTGTTTTGACGAAAGAAAAATCTCGACCTTGGCGATTTAGTGAAAGTTGAATACTGGACGCGGTTGGCGTTTGGTGTCCGATGGTCGGATGCTGTTGCAAACGGTTTATATCGTCCCTGCCCTGTAGAGGATGAACTTGTTGAGCAGGCATGTGTGGTATTAGCGTAGAAACTGGCGTGTTTCGATGATGCGAAATTATACTAGAATTGACAGGTGGAGGAGTATAACTTCGAAAAGGTGATAGGGCTGCGGAATGATGGAGATTCTGTGATTTTGTCGTAAGATTATGCAGTCGCTGATCGGTAAAATTAACGGACGCTAATGGGTCTGTGTTGAAGGAATCAGATGTATTCTATACAACAATAACGAAGATAAATATAATTACATACTATATATAAATTTAAAGAAAGGCAGAATTACACGCGCTAACCTCAGTTTTTAATTTTCGTGGTTGCCAAAGAGAATGCTTATTTCTATTTTTATCAAAAATAAGAATGAACTCAGGTTCTCTTATGGTGGTGACGACTTGATATTCAGGACCATAAAAATATTTTGATTCACCGCCTAAACAATAAGAGAATCATCAATAAATTTAAATTACTTAATTTTTTAGCCAGAAAAAATTTATGAAATACACTTGTACAAAAATATAAAGTTAATACAGGGCATTGTGATAGCTGCAAAAAAGTTAGCTTACTTTCAAGATTGATGAATACCGGATGAGGTTCGTCGATTGGATTTGAGATCGTGTACAACTCGGGTATTCGTTTACCATGTCTATGATATAGTACAATAGCCAGATGTATTTGCATTATTATAATACGGAAAGGTTAAATTGGATAGTGAATAATTTTAGCACTCGAGCTACAGAATGATGTATGGCTAAGACTAAAGATATTGAAATAAACAGTATCTATATTACTTTTCATATTCTGATTCTGTAAATCGTCTTTGTATTAAAAGGCCGGTGGATATATTCCAAACGTGTTGTACCTATTTAAGTGTTGAAGATTAATGCTTTAAATTGTAAATTGATGTACAGAAACGAATTATAAAATACCAAATTGGACAATTCACAAAGACCTTACGTAAAATAAATACTATCAGCTGCATAAGCTACGGTAAATCGATAAAGTTTCTGTCAGTTTTTATAAAGTTCCACAGAGTACTTACCGGAAAAGGCGTTGAGCTGGTAAAGAAAGATCCATCCTCTGCGTAAAAACTTATAAAGTTTTGCTCAATAATGCATAATTTTTGATTTTTAGCCCCATGATGACCTAAAGAGAAGTCATTCAATAATCGTTTTAGCTATAATGATACAGTTCATCAAGTATGATCGCAGTTAAGATAGAAATTTTTCATTTAACTGCAATATATAACGTTTATAGTGATAAAGTACAGCTATTCATACGTTTTGTATTTGTGTCTTCTGAAAAGGTACACCAAAGCACCTATTGAATATAAAATAGTCAAAGTATCAAATGTAATAAATTTAGCATACTTAAAGATAGCGTCTTACTGACGTCGATTATTGGCGTTTCCACGGTAAAAGTTTTGACGATTTTGTTCGTATCGCCTATGCCACTAAAGCTTAGGACAACAGTCTTATCGCATACATAGATCTAATACAAGTATATAATAAATTTCGTGACCACATTGCAATATATTTGCTGAAGAGCTTTAATTTGATAAGATCACACTGGGATGACCTAATAAATTTTCTTCTTGATTTAGCATCATAGTATTTTATTTTAACTACTATTATATGCAGCTTTAATATTTGCATAATTCTTTCTTTTAATATTGCTTCTAAATACATACGTGTCTGTAATATGTGCGCACATGATGATATTTTTAACATTACAAACGCTATTCTCATAAACATATTCATTAAATTAATAAGATTAGATTATATCGATGACGTACTTCCTTCTCTGTAGCTACATTCCCTCCATCTTGGTCGTCTGCGTAACATGTAACTTTCCAAAAATCCTAAATGAGCGTTGTATATTGATAAATTGACTTTACTGTATATATAATATTAGACTATGGAACTATCATAAAAAAAATTATCATGGTTTATGGTAGCCAATGAATCTATTTCCATAGCTAAGATCGAAAACAAATAACTTGTAAATTCCGATTAACAGTAGATTTTATGGATATTTTGATGGGTTAAAATGACCTTCACTGCTTGTGACTGGTTCAGTTGAAATTTGTGCACATTTACTTGAATAGTACTGTAACGTACACGAATGTGGTTTGAATTATAATAACTCAGATTGATCGTTTGCAAATAATGGGTTAGAAACTCTGAGATTCTAGATAGAGCTATAGGGTTCAATTATATTATTGGGTATAAAAGTCATTCGCCGTACGCATGCTGTGCCCATAAAATTTATTATACGAGTATGAAACTATAGTACGCAAATATTTTACTAATCTGCAAACTTTTACAGAAAGATGAAAGATTTTTTCAGCACTGTACAGTATTACATTCAAGTCTTTCGATAGCTATATTCATTACTTTCTGGACAGTGTCCGAATATTGCAAAAGTACATATCAATATTGAATCGGTATACTACAAGAACAAATGCAGATGCAAACATACACGTACATTATCTTATGCAAGTGATGAATGATATGTTAAAAATAGTATCTATCTACACTATATATACGTCATATTTATTTTGGTAGAAACCTTCTGTTCTTGGTGACCGTTTTCATCGTTTTTACCAAGCGGATGTCGATCTCGATAGTAAATCTTTCCATTTGGTATAAAGTCTTCCATCCTCGTTAATTCAAGCACAAAGGTCTATTTGTAATGGGGTATTTCTCTGTTCGAGATTTAAGAAAGTAGACAACAGAAAATAGCTTATTAGTGGATTAGCATTAGCGCAATGTCAATATGCTATAAATGAAATCTTGCAGATAGAGCTTGCAGTATAATAGAAAAATAGGAAGTCTAACCAGAGCATAGAGTACCATTACTGTATCTATCAGTATACAATACTGTAGATAGTATAGTACAAGTCACTGCTGGTATTTTTTCTACTGTGCAAAAATCTAGGCAATCATGGATGGTATAACAAACTTCTTGGAGATTCAGAACAATGATATGTAAATGGATAGTCAAACATGAGACACCTCCATCTTTCAACTTTACGTATTTTTATGTGGTAATATTTTATAGTCCATCGTTGGGAGTTGGGATCAACTTATGAATAAATTGGGAAATTATCTCCTACATATTGACTACTATACAAGTTTGACACTGAGGTCAAATGACCTCATTGTGTTTATAAACTCTATAAAGATGTCTTTCTAGCTAGTAAAAAGACATTAGCAGATATCTAGTAGGAGCATTGAAGATGTAGTACAATTACAGGTTGATCGAGTTCAAGTGAAAATTTCGATTGGTACATGATACTAAAAGATTGAAAGTGCCCATTTATGTATGATTCTAAGAAGGAAAGGTAAAGATCTTATTGAGTAGTCATTAATAATAATATATTGTACAGTACTACTACTGTACATTGGCATCTATCTGTAAGATAAGCAAAAACACTTTCTGCAATGATTAACTTGGTGGTGCTCTATCCAGATAGCTCAAAAACACAAATATGATTTCAAAGTGGTAATATTAATCTACAACTGGGTAAAAACAGTAGAAATAGCCAAGACATACTCTAGATAATACAGAAATAACAGTCATTTATTTATTGTAATCATGGACTATCTTAAGTTACATTGAATTTTAGTCAATAATCTGCACAGTCGCACAACTCTACTTTCTACTGCTTGTAGGTAAAACGTTGCCAATTTGCATCACAAGAAATCAACTCATTGGATAGTTGATATACGTACCACGCAGCTAGTCCCAATTTTTCCGAAGTAGTTACGGGTTGCCTTTTAATTGAATTTTATGTTCTATGGCAAGGGATTCAATTTGCATTCATACCAAGAGCAATGTTATAACCTGGAAAATGGATCGATTTGGAAGGCGAGAAAATCAATCTCCATTCACAGCTCATTGGTCGATCTAAAGGACGATACTGTATTCTCTACCGTACTATACCGTAAAGATTGGGGGGGGGGTACTGTACCGTCAGTACAGTATAGTGCACTGTTTCAGTGAGGAGTCTACAGCTAGTACAATAGTACAACAGTCAGATAATTTGATTTTCGCGCCAGATGCAACCTTTCAGTGTGTACAGTACTCTCTTACGATGTATGTACTGTGAAGTAGTACTGTACACTGTACTGTCCACTGCCAACAGGTACAGTACAGTACAGTACAGTACTGTACTGCATTGTACTGTACTGTACTGTACTGCATTGTACTGTACTGTACTGTACTGCATTGTACTGTACTGTACTGTACTGCATTGTACTGTACTGTACTGTACTGTACTAGCATGGACCTCTACAGTACAGTACTGTACTGTACAGTACTGTACACTACTGTACTGTAGGTCTACAGTACTGTAGCATGGGCCAAAGGCCGTATCGGTACTGTACTGGTACCGTAAATACGATACAATTTTAATCTTCAAGGTTAAAGCGGAACCTGTACTGGCAACGATGAGCAACGATGAGCTCTAATGTTAATAGCCCAAAACCCAAGATGTCATTTTTCAGGTAAGCAAAGACATATTATTCTACCTCTGGCATACTGGTCTTGTCGAACAGAAGTACAAATTTCATTAAAAACTGCTACAAACAAGCACTACTTTCATTGTGTCTTGTGTTAGCCTGAAGCAATGTCTGTATTGTATACATTATATATGGATATACGAGTATGCGGGTATACAAAGTACCAGTATGGACTCCTACTACAAGAGCACGAGCATCGGCCATTGCAGTCTATAGCTAAGATGAAATGAAGCATTTAGGCAGATATTTAGCCATAGTTAGCTAGATACCATATGATTACAAAATAGGATACTCAAGCTTGATTGTGATAGTAGACACAAACATCAAACTTGTAGAAAGGATGAAAAGGAACCTGTTGGCAAAGTAGGCTGTTTTGAGATATCAAGGATGCGAGCCATTCTCTTGACAAATTCATTTGCAGAAGTACAGTGTTAATTAATTGTAACTAGCATACAACCCACTCTCTATAATAATTAGAAAGTAGTAAAATGACAAATCTATGACTGGTGAAATGATTGCATTTAAAAAATATGTACACAACTTGAATAATACAATTAGTCGGGTAACAGGATACTTCATGCAGTGATCGTCAATTTGTTATGATGGAATGATCTAGGCCTTGCAGTCGTCATCAAATCTTTCCCATCCTCTGTGGGTGTAAAGGCTTTATTTACACCTAATAGTAGGGATAAGCGTGGTAGTAACTCGTTCTACACATATTTATTTTCGTAAAATTTTGTTAATATTATACTGTACCAATAAATTTCCTGTTCAGAATTTTGCTCGTTGCACGCCCAATACCGCATCGAAAGTGATGACTATCATCATTTCGATGAAATTATTTACTGTACTTTGGCATCTCGCTGATTCATTCCTATGACAATAATTAATGGAAATTGACAATTTACAATTCGAAAACTCATCGTTTCTTTTCGGACTGTATAATTTAATGTGCGTTAAATTATTTACAATCAGTAACCAAGATCTGAAGCTTTATAGTCATAGTAAACTTACTATTGATATACGAGTATTAGGGACTGCTAGAGGTTGCTCGAGTATATTGCCTCTTAATGATATGGTATTTATTGACTTTTAATACGCATTGGAAGATTAATTTAAAAATTTCTTAAACAGATATATAGGGTTGGGTATCGTTCTTTCCTCAGCCGTATTATTCTTACTTGTCAATACCGGAAGTATCGTCAATAAGCCAAAAAATTCGATTAAATCTACAGTAAGAAATTTATTGCTCTTTCCCCACTAAACGTAAATTGCTTTAAATTACTGAAGATGTAGAGATGAAAGCCATTAGTTAAAACCTAATTAAAATATTTTAAGTGATAATATCCACAATCGTGCTGCTGTGTTAATGTATCAAGTGCTTAATTATGCTAACTATTTAGTCAGTTTTACTTTCAGCTTTATAGTTATTCATTTCTTTCTTTCTTAAAAGCAAAATACTTCAAGATGGGATGAATAAATCATTGGATCCTTCCTTCCTTTCAATATTTTAAATGGAATCACTTAAGCTTTCTTCTCCGTATTGTTTGAAAAAGTGTGATACAGAAAATGAATTCAATCTATAATTTATCTGCTCTCACTTTTACGATATGAAAGCTATTAGAGTAATGCATTTATCTTTGATGTTATCCGCTATCTATCTCTAATGTCTTTTTATTCCCACTAATTTATAATTACATCGCTGAAGGCTAAATGTTGTAAATACTTATTGTATTGTGTCTTCAATAAAATGTGATAACAGCCCTGCAACTAGTGTTCCACATTCTATTCGATTTGACCATTTTGACATAAATTCGATTCAATTCGAAATTTGTGCAAGTAAAATTCGGTTTATTTTTACGTGAATATACAATAAATAGTCATTTGAAATTGTATATTTGTAAATTTATTGGCGTATACCATTATAATATTAGTTCTATAGAGAGAAAATAAAGAATTTCATATCAAGCAACTAGTAAATAGACATCATTTATGACAGATGTTAAAACGTTCATTTGCAAAATAGCCAATGTGCCGTGTTTGGTAAATGCCCGTGTATGTCAAAACGCTATTAGGACCACTATAATTTATAATTGCAATATAGAATTAATAACAAAGGTCAAAGATACAAATACAGGATAATATGTTTAAATCTTGTTATGTAACAGCGATAAATACTACGATATATCTAAATCTTGCTACAATTCTGATATCTTAGTATGTTTCAGTCTTAGCATAATTCATAATGCATGTTTTATTTGCAATCTTAGCTTAACTCTTATACTCTATGATGTGTTGCAATCTTAATACTCTATGATAAGTTGAAATCTTTGTGGAGTTCTAATACTGAGCGATATTTTGTAATCATTGCGCAACTCAAATTTGTCGCAATCTTAGGGTACCGTACCCTGACACTCTGATATGTAGCACTATTAGTGCAACTCTGATGTATTACTATGATTTAGTTCCAATTCATTTTATTTCAACTACTATTACATGCAGCTTTATTATCTGTGTCTTTCTTTTCAATGTTGATTCCATAACGTGCCTATCCGTGACGTGCACACAAAATTATAAAATTCTTAATATTAAGAGTAGGATTCTCATCAACATATTCATCAATAACATTAGGTCATATCGATCGCGTATTTCCTTCCCTATAGCTATATTTCCTTTATCTTGGTCGTTTACGTAATATACCCTTAGCTTTCAAAAAAATCCTAATATATTGTACATTTATAAATTGAGTATCTTAATATATGAAAAATTCACTTTATTGCATAAAATAGGTTCGTCTTATAACTACCAAGAAATATCTGGCTACAATCAGATTATCTAAGTTACTACAGCAAAATTCATCATTGATATATGTTACAATCAGCTATAGAATTTTTTTAGCAACACAATGAATTTATTGTCATAGTTAAGATCGAAATAAATAACTTATAAATTTTGATGAATTGTAGATTTACGTATATTTTGATAGATTAAAACGGTCATTAATGTTTATGAGTGGCTTAGTAGATACAACAAGAGTATCATTAATTGAGGTTGGTGTACATTTACTAGAATAGTATTGTATGTGTATGTGGTTTGAATTATGATAACTCAGATTAATTGTTTGCCAATAATGGGGTAGAAATTTACGATTCTAGATAGAACTATAGGGTAATAATAGCCTCTGTGACAGATTTATTGCATTACATCTATCTAAATGTGTCATATATGATATGTACAAGTATGCAATCAACGCTTGTAACACTTCTATGTAGATCTTTGCATCGTTCTTAAAAATGATTGCTATATGATGAATGCAAATTATTGTAATCAGTAGCTTTCACTTTACAAATAAGAATTACTATTTCAAGTCAACAATATCTTTAATTAATTAAGCATGTACAATATTCTGCACTATATCAACTACGCACAATTTTATTATAGCCAGTTAGAGGTACAACTACAGCTCATCTTAACACAATCTGACTACATTTTACAGTTAATTTCTCATAAAAAGATTTTTTAATTAATAAATTAACCCAACTTCCAAATAATAATAAACAACAAAGCAACTTAAAAACACGTTTGAGAATATGTTAATTAAACATAATGATTGAGCCCAAATATTATTGCAACAGTTACCATGTTCATAATATCAAATTAATTAATAAGCTATATGATTATCGTCGCTCAGTAGTAATATAATTTAGACATATACAAGTACTAGAATGCGTATATTAGGACCGATTGATATCACAAGAACAGGGACTAATTGAAGTTTTTAAAGTTTAGTTATAAATTTGGATATTATTGCTATTAATCTCAGATAAATTTATCGCCCAGATTTCTACAAAGTAGAAAGACAGTAACAACATACTGCATGGTCCTAGTGCAAAACAAGATTTCATTAATATTTACATAGCGCTAATAAGTTATTTTCCTTCGTCTTGTTTCTAAAATTTTTAACAGGAGGAATACTCTAGCTCTACCTTAAAGAATCGATTGTTGCACCTAAATTAACGAGGATGGAAGGCTTTATACTGAATGGAAAGATTTACTTTCGAGGTCAACATCCCTTTGGTAATGCGGTGAAACTGTTCAACAATGTCCAATAAATTATGTAGCGCTACAGGCTGCACCTTATTATTAAGAGATAGATTTCTGGACGATAAACTCCCAATAAATAGCCCTCGATGAATCTTATCTTCTGTATAACGAATTACAATTGGAAATTTAGCAATAGTATATACTGTACATATAATTATAAGATACAATAGATACAATTAACAAACGAATTATGTATGACAATGAATAATGCATACATATTTTAGGGGTTAGTATGTTTATTTAGGACTAAATCGTTTGAAACAATTCATGATTTAAACAGTCGGACATCCTCTTAATCCCTTTGGGTGAATTACATGTCTATGAGTATTTAGAAAAGAAATAGACTAGAGCCGAATCTAGAGTTAGAGTTGCTACGACATGTGCCATATATCCATGAGAATTAAACGCTTGCTCGAACTGGGAGCTAATTATACAGTGCACGATACGTAGTTGTCAATCATTAGGAGTTCTCGGCTTATCAAATGTCAATCATTTATTGACGCCTTTATGATCAACTCTAAGAAGCAATTAAGTATGATTATTAAGTTAATTGAGTCTAAACTGCTATCTATTAAACATGATTGTACACTGTTTCAGTTAAAAGTCCATTAATAGAGATTGGTACTTATATTGGAAAAATCGAAGAAGTTTATTTAAGGGTTAACCGATAAGAACTCGTTAAGATTGGATCAAGATGAGTAGAATGGCTCATATTTTGATAAAAGATCTCACCATGCAGGCCTTTGTTGGTATTCGCGAAGAGGAATTTCGCAATCCTCAAACTGTTGTATTATCCCTAAAAATATTTACAGATATTAATTTAGCACGGCAAAAGGATGATATTCACTATACTCTGAACTATGTCAAGGTGATTGAGGAAATTAGATTAATAGTTAAAAGACAACACCATAAATTATTGGAATATCTTGGGGGTGATATTATCTCTCATCTCTTTGCTTCGTTTGATGCAATCCAACATATTGAGCTAAAAGTAATAAAACCGAAGGTTGTTCCCGATACAAAAGAAGTCGGTGTTTTAATCAGTCAAGATCGAAGCTCATATGAAGCGCAGTGAAATTTTACCACGAAAATCATAATGGTCAAATAAGATCAAGTGCAATGCAGAATCTATTATTTGCTCGATTTTAAGAAGTTTTGAAATAATTTTTTGCTATTTAGCATTGAACCTCGTTTTCAAGTTAACATTAGAAATTAGAACAAAGGTAAATTAAAGACAGAAGTTATACCTCCTGTCATACGTAGAAAATAGCAAAACAAAGCTAGATATTGTAACATAATATACAATCACATTCTGTTTAGCACTGTGTTACGGTGTTGCCTTGTCATTAGGATAGTTTAATAAGTACAGTAGTAGCTAGTATGGAGAATATCCATATTTGTAGTGCTAGGTAGATAAATAATGCCTTAACGTGGATGTTGGTTGTAATAGTTCATTACATACTTGATATTGATTATTATTGTGTGATAGATAGCAGTAAGATGATTTAAGTTCTTGTTGATGATAGTTGAATTAGACAACCTACGAGCTTAGATTAAGATTAAGCATGAGTAAGAGATTCAAAATATTTACTGATAGAAAAGCTATGTAAGGAACATCTCAGTTCGAGATGTTTCTCCTAGTAAGGTATAATAATAATACTGTTGTTGTTTAAAAATTAGACGGTTCCTATATAAACGGGAAAATTGAGTTGAATGGTGTGGTAAGAAGTTGTAGATGTATCTTTGCTAACAAAAGTTTCATCTTTACAGTCCTTTGCTTTGTGTGTTTAACGTTAAGTAAAAGGGCGTTTAAGTCAGTAGCTACTTATAGACTTTTACTGTACGTTACCTTGTCGCAGAAGTGAAATTGTGACACAATGATACCATATTAACTGTAAGTAAGTTATGTGATAGATATATTATACCAGCTAGCCAATCACTATGTAGCATAGGCAACTATAAAAGAAGACTGTCTAGCGAATATTAGTTAGTTACGCATTACACATGAATACGGGCGAGTTCGGCTAATAAATACTTTATATTTGTATCTATTGACTCCTTTTCCTGCCTTTAATTTACAAAGCCAGGGAATATCATTACAGATATCGAAGAAAATCAAATTATACTGTATTTTTAAGACGGAACGAGATAAGAAAGATGGAAAAGCTGGAATATTCCGGATGGTTACGATATCTACAATTCCGTGTTATATATATTAATAAAGTTTTTTCTTTGAGATCGTTGCATTGGGAAGTGATACCTTAACCAAACCATCGACAGGTGTAGGTGTGGTACGGTTTGGTGAGCCTTTGAGCTAAATATGGTCCTTGCAAGAACAGTTCGATCGAGACAATGTATAATCGATTGCCGAATGTGCTGCACACTACATATACATTACACACGATATCTATAAATCAATGTAATTTACGAGGCTAATTATAATGCTATCTGTTGTGTATTTTCGTGGGGAACAGGTTCGAACTCAAAGAAATACACGTGCTTCTTTTTCTAGGCTACAAGCTAACTTTATTTCGCATTACTTCTGTATACATATTATCGTTTAACAGTATCTATAGATACGAACCGAGTCAGTCAAACAGTGCTACCTTACTATACTAACATTAACTAAGTCTAAGATTCAGATATATGACACTATCCTGTAGCTAGCTAACATTCACTGTCCTCGTCCTCGCCAGTACCTTAAAACAAAGTTATGACTATTTTCTCTAAACACTGATCCAATCATTGTGTGCTTCATTCTGTTGGATCTATTTCTACTGAGTAAGTAAGTACAAAGTAGCGATCTCTTTTAAAGAGGCATTAATCAAAAACAATTTTCTTCTGAGGATATAAAGTAAATCTTAAAACTTTACTATCTTTGGCACTATGTGGCGAACAACTCCAATTGGGCAAGGTTATTATAAGGCTCCGATCCTAATAATAATACAAAACTATGAGATCAATTTATCGGACTTGCATAACGTTTTGAGTAGGATTAAGCGCTTGTTTTCAATTATGTGTGTTAATAATTTTCATAAACGACAACAGGTCATTATTAGACTAACAAAATCTTCGTAGATCAGCATAAAAAGCAATTAAATTGCTGTGCTTAAATACATTACATTCATCTTTATGAATACAATAGTTAAAACAAGGCAGAATGGGGCATATTTTTCACCTGGAACACAGAAGATACGTCATACTGTACTATGAAAAAAAAAGGCCTAATCATTTACGTCCTAGAGATATACTATCGCCGTGGCAGTGCAAATATCCATATCTTGATAACAGCAGTCCCATTCTTCTCCAGAAGTAATTGCACGTTTGATGTATCGTTTTAAATATCATGTATTAGGGGAATATCTCTTATCCGACTTCAGTTTTGCAGGCCAATAACTCATTCTCTAATTGCAGAGAAACTTCCATATTTAAACAGGATATAAAAGCTCAGAAGCGAAAAAACTATAAAAATTCAGCTGTTATATTTAGAGATGGTAGATTGCTTAATACGATGAATGATTAACATCAACAATTTGCAATCCAATCAGCAATTGTTTCTTTTCAAAGAATAATCTGATGTACGATAAATGAATTATTTACAGTCAGTAACTAAGATTTGAAACTTCATAGTCGCAGTAAAGTTGTGTCTCGTATTATTGGTTAATTGCCATGCAATGAAATGATCTATTGACTCTATGCTTTGTAAGCTAATTTAACAGTTTATTAAAGATAAATATGTGGAATTGGATATCGCACTTTTCCCAGTCTTTATTATTGCTTATCAGCATCGAAAGCACAGTCAGTAAACCAAAATATAAATAAATAATGCTATTATTTAAAATCTAGCTAAAATAAATTATATGATGTGATAAAATTTGCAATCATGCTGTAGTGCTGTAGTTCCAGATACTTAAATTTTTATTGAATTATCATTGCTAATTAATCGAAGTTATTTTTTAGCTTTATACTGTAGTCATAAATATGTTTCTTAGTAGCAAAATACTTCAAGACGGAATGGATAAATCGTTGGATTCTTCCTTCCTTTCTTTCAATAATTATAATAAAATGAATAACGTAGGCTTTCTTCTCCGTATACAGTAGTTTGGAAAAGTGTGATACAGAAAAATGAATTTAATCTATAATTTATCTGCTCTCATTCTTACAGTATGAAAATTATTAGAGTAATGCATTTATCTTAGATGTTATCCACTAACTACGAGTATCTCCGATATCTTCGTATGTGCAGCTAATTTACAATTACTTCCTTGGCAAGGTAAACGTTGTAAATACTTATCGTATTGTGTATCCAATAAAAGTAATGACAGTAATCCTAACCCTAATGACACCTTATTTTTACGCGAGTGTATAATAAATAGCCATTGAAATTGTATATTTGTAAATTTATTGGCCTATACCTCTATAACATTAGCTCTATGGAGAGAAAATAAAGAATTTCATATCAGGCAACTAGTAAATAGGCATCGTTTACGACAAAAGGCAAAACGTTCATTTCCAAAATGGCCAACGTGCCATGTTTGGTAAATGCCCGTATACGTCAAAATGCTATTAGGATCATTATTATATATAATTGCAATATAGAATTAACAAAGGTTACAGATACCAATACAGTATAAAGTATGTATCATTTAAAGGATTATAGTTACAAATATAAACTAAATAAACTGCGTATCTAGTCGGGAGCTGATGCATACAGTCGGTTTAAGAGAAATTACGTAGATATTACAGAAATTAATTCTAAGGAGATTTAAGATATTACATCATTATTACCTGGAGCAACACTAAAATACAAATTCATAATTACTTTTTATTTAACATTTTACCAGTAATATTTCCTACTATGAATAGGATACGATATGATGTCTGATAGCGGTACTAATAATTAATATAATAATATTAGTGATATATTTAGAAGAAGCGATTATACAAGCATCATAAGCATACAAATGCATTGATTAGACATCTACAACCATCTTCTTGTGAATATCTGTTGAGGCTACGACCTAAGACAATATCGAACAAATGAATAACAGAAGTCAGTACAAAATGTTTATTATTAAAATAGAAATGCACCTTTCAAATCAGACTTATAACCAAAATATTACAATTAATCATGGAAGTGACAAAATTTTTACTAACTTTGCAAAATTCATCGAACGATATTTTTCCATCTCCATCCGTGTCGGCATAGATAATAGTTTTGTCAACAATTTGTTGTAACTGTGTATCTTTGAGGTTGCTACCAACCATCATTTTTAGTACACGAAATAATTCAGTATTCGTTATGTAGCCATCTTTATCCATATCATATATTCTAAAGGCAACTATATTGTATGGCAAATTAGTATCATTTTGAATCAAACTCGCTATCTCAAGTTAACAATGGGAGTGCATTACTTTAATGTAATCGTAAAATATCTTAAGAATCAATAATAAATCGTAAACGCTGATATACGAGTATATTAAGAGTGCCAAATATACAGTACTTACACTTCAATTTTGATTCCCTGTCGCCTTTAACGCTAAAGAGTGAGACGCCGTGGATAAATTCTACCAAAAGTTAAAATAAAAAATAGACAAATAGACATGACAGAATTAAAATTTCTTATCTGGTTGTATTTGATAAATAAGCGAACAGTAATCGATCTTATTAATTATTATTATGTGATGCATTTTTGCGGGATGCAAATTGTAATCTAAAAGGAATTCAAGGCCTTTACTGTACAGTATGTTACGGAAGTATCTTTGGATAGCTTTTGTACAATATATACAGTAAAAGAATCATCAACTACTTTTTAATAATTACCATATCGACGATTAGATATGAGTTCGTAAATGCATTAATAGATAGGGCCACTATTTTGAAGACAATGGACAAATTTGTAAATGCCCCTAAGTTTGACGTAATATTTTTAAACCATTTTGCTATTGTGATATGAGCGTTATATTTAAACACGAAATCCTGCAAGTTTGCATATATTTTACAGTAAAGAACACAAATGATCTTTCATCATTACGTTTACAAGTAAGTTACGAAGCTGAGATTAAAGAATTTTCAGACTATAAATCCAATCAGGCTAAGTACTACATACTGTATAGCTGAATGATATCAGTTACGATTCTACTGTATGTAGAAGTATATACAAATAACACTTGCTTTGCAAAGAAAGACTACTACATGTATGAATTTGAAATTATTGTCTAAGTGAAAACTACGTGTGTGGTCAACTAAGTAATGGAATAGGCTAGCTCAATAAAATTCTTGAAAAAGGTAATAAAATCGCTAGAACTAAGGTGGCTGTTAATATTACTATAATAGCAATAAATTCCTTTAGTAGCAGAATAATAGGTTTAAGATATAGCGCATCGCAAAAATGTGTATACATTTCATACCTTTGAAGTCTACTTCACCATTGCCATCTTGATCAAAAATATCTATCACTCTTTGTACTAATGGATTTTGCTGCAATTCTGGTAAATTCATAAATTCATCAACCGATAGAGATCCACTGTTATCCAAGTCCATCTTCTTAAATCGCTTTCCCAGACGCTTGACCTCGTCAGCGTCAACTACAAGAAAAGTGATTGTGTATATTTAGCAAGAATACTGAAATGGTGATCATACGGGAGATCGAGGACTTTTTAACGAGAGCTGATGCGCTAGTTCACAAGTGTTTTAACAATAAATTAAGAGGATTACCCTCACGCCTATAATATATCGTTATAATATACTTTATCTATAGTAATACATGTCCTTGATTGCACTTTCGCTTACTCGGCTACGATAATATCATAACTGTACGTTTACAATTAACCAGAGGAAAGAGTATATCTATATATACATGCATCCTTAATTAAAGCAAAAACTTTACTACAAGTAATACAGTCAAGTCGGTCGAAGGTGTTAGCTAAACTGTGTATTACTTTATCGACTAGGACACTAACGATATTAAATTGGTATACAATGTATATGTCATGACATATATATATACAGTAACAAGTGTTGTTTGTGACTGTGTCAATGATTCTCTTCAAGTATGGTAAATGTTTGTACAAAACTAGTGATCTGTGGCTACGGCAATTTGCTCATACTTAGATAGACAAATAGTAGAATTAATTCAGTAGCTGGCACATTCTGTACTGCTATCGTTACAGCGAAATGTAATGATTTATTAAGTCTTTTTCACCCACGTACTCGTGTTTTACAAGCAAAGTTCGTTACAAGTGCCAGCTTCTTTGTAGCGATATAGAACGTTATTAAGCTAATGATATTAAGTAATTTGTAACTACCATATGTAAATGAGTTGTTGTCCACAGGGGACAATGAATAGTTTTTTAAAGACTATTATAATGAACTCATGAAACAATCAATGTAATAAATGGAATGTTGGTATCGCTGAGATCAAATGTCTATTCAATACGATGGGCCGGATCCTTTGTGAGATAGCTCAGTTCGTCTATGATTCCGTTTACAGTTCATGCTATGCACAATTGACATGGCTATGCACCAATAGTAACGTAATCTCTCGAGTACAACAAATACTAGTGTAAACTCATCCACTGCACATAAACATGTACTATACAGACTAATACGATAGTAAAATAAAAATAAGCAAAAAGCTATACTATACTTACAATTAGTGATCATCGGTATCGAAGCATCGTTTCCCTATCATAACAAATAACAATAACGTGAGGAAAATTCAAAAATAAAAGTTCTATCGGTACTTAATATCTTTTATAGTATCAGTATGTATATATCTATATCTATATAATACATTGTCCAGAATCTTTGAAAGGAAGCTGATATGAAGGAGGGTTTTATAAGAAATAATAAACAAACAAATAACAGGCAATAAGCCAGTGCAATAACACGTAATAGACTGTCCATCATCGTTCACTGGTTTTCTAGTACCGTTTGTCATCCACACAAACAAATAAAATAAATATCGAAAACAGCCACTTACCCTTGTGACTAGGTATAGTTTAGACTAGAGCAGACTGTTCCGTTCCCATACAGGGCTGTATGGTTCGGGTTTTGCAAAAGGCTACAGTACAATGCACTGTAGTTTACAGTGTTCAGTAAAGCTATCACGCGAGCTACGCAAGACATCGTGCAAACAATTGTACAGTAATCGAGTATGAGGCTAGCAGAACTTCAAGCGTTACAGTTGCTATTACAGTACTATATTCACGTTGCATACGCTTGAACGGAACACAATACTGTACTGTACTATGGATGGACTGTCAGACTATGAGTGTGGGAACTACTGTATTTGGCTGTCGCGATCTGCACGGTAAATAAAAAATAATATTCTTCATTTCTGCATGCATGTATTGAAAAAAATTTGCACCTACTTATAACTTTTAAATTATCAACAACAAGAAATAAGCATATCAGAGATATCATTATGTCAAATAGATTGACTCAATTTGATGTTTTGAACAACAGTAGTATAGTATCGTGGTTTGCTACTCATGTAAACGGATAGACGGGCAGCACTCCAAAAGTTAGTGATCGTTCAATTATTGTACATGGCTGTAACAAAATTTGGGTTCATTTACTTTTTACACCTATTATCAAGAACTGGCAATTTCTTCTTTTAAGCAATGAAGAAAATGTTATATTATACTATCATAATTTGACATTCAAAGTATTATGCCATATTGTGTTGTGTAACCTATAGACTTGTCGATAAAGAACGTTAATTAACGTTCTGGCTAGCATGTTTTTACTGCTTACGTCGACATCCTTCATATGTATTCCCACAGCATTCACCTGCAAGCAGTAAGTAAATGACTGCCTGAATTGTGCAAATGTGATTCTATAAATTGAAATGCCCTAGTTCACTTCATTGCATAAAACAAATAAATTTAATGTTTAAATCAACCATTTAAGCCACATCGAACGCTTTAGTCACTGTTACTCAGGTTCCGCATAGTAGGCTGATCAATATCAATGCGTACTGTAAGGTACTATGAGCATTGTAACCATTGACACGCATAATGACTAGGCCTAGCGACCAGTAAGTCGCATTAGCGATATTGTCAATAATAAGTTATGATTTGGGTAATGGCTACTTGCAATTGCACGGCGATAACTTGATAGTGACAAGAGTGATGGTGTAATTTCGATATTAACGGAAGAAGATACGCTGTAATGAGCCAACGCCGATTCAATTTTACAGCATTATATCTTATATCATACGTCTGATGAGTTAGTTACATACATTATCGTTACTGTACTCTACTTGACTACAGTATTCACAAGTCAAGTCAAGCAGGGTCAAAACCGTGTAAAGGAAAGAGGCGAAATAAAAAGGACAACGTATGCAAAAACGGAGTAAAAATTGGCAACCTGACGATAAACTAAATAATAATTTCTTTTACAACTCTATACGACAGTAACTAGGGTATTATACGTTCTATGTGTTACCATCTTGCTGATTTCTTCTAATTTTCCTTTCTAGTTCCGTTAACATACGATAGAGAAAAGCCCACTGGAAACGTCCACCGCCTGTAAAAGTAGTCTTCGATCTTAAAATGCCACTTTGTACTGTAAGGTACAGTGCAAAGCAGCGTACAGTACAGTACTGTACTGTAGATGTGTCGCCAGCATACTGTACTGTACTGTACACTGTAAAGTACTGTAGGCATACGATACGGTACTGTACTGTAAACTTTCTTATGGTTTCTAGTCTTCCTCTTTCTTAGTCCCGGTCCCGTACGGGACCGTGATGCTTATGCTAGCTTACGGTTTTGAATGGTATCAGGATCAAGGGCTATTCGAGAACAGACCAAAGTCTCAATTTTGGCTCATTTCTATCACTCTGAATACTAGTGAATTGCATTTCCCAAAGTCAGCAACTTTAACCCTAAGTAGGTACTGTGCTAACGGTAAATACCCAATTATTGAATGGATACATCAAATATTAAATTATACAGCAGTTGTCTACGAATGCTGATAATTATAGAGGTGATAACTGAATACAGTATTGGAGTGTGGCTACTATATTTTCATATGTATGCATATTATTTCATTTTTTTTACTAGCTTAACCCGCACACCATGCCGTGCGAATGAAACTTTTTATACTACTGTATATTATGTGTAATTTACAGGCGATGACTTATGCAGAATTATACAATAACAATACGGTATGCGCACAATGTATAGCATATATAAGACAATGCGCGGCCACAGCACTGAAAAAAATTGAATTGATTAGCTCAGCGATATACTGTACTAATTTACAGTATTTTAGATCATCGACTACTAAATACTGCATAGTCAGATATACATACAGCGTATGTCTTAACCAGTTGATTACTACTTCCTCGCGCTGTAAGAAATAGTCTTATACTACTCGGTGGGCTCAAAATTAATAAACTTGCATTTCTTCATTATCTATAAACTATATAGTATTTTGGAAAGAAAACTTTGAAGCACTCCACTCAAAATTTCCTGTTCTACACTAACTAGTAGCACTGTGCCAGTTACATAAATTGACTATACGTACAGTATAAAGCCATTAAATAAATAATTCAATTACTAATTGCCTGTACTGTAACTGGTAGTCAGAGTGTGTGTGGCGGCAGCTGCAGGGTACCATCAAAACAATGTTAAATTAGCACTCTAAACCTAGCACAAAGGTGTTAGGATATGGTATTACTCGTTTATTAGAATAATTAAATGACATCGAGCATGAAAAATTGTTCAAGACACCCACGTGTTGACAACTTTTAGAACAAAATGGTACCACTTGTACGTATGACTCGTAATTGATTACGCTACTGAGTACACTCTCTTCATTCAATCCTACAAATAATGATAATTCACAGAGCACGCAAAAATGCACAGAACTAAAGCCCAAAAATCAAAACACATAAAATATTATATTGAAATCCATTAAAATTTAAAATTAATTTCCCAATCGTCAACTATATTCACTTCAGGTTTCTTTACAGTTAAGCGTCTATTTTCGCGATCATATTTAAACTTCAATTTACGAGGTGTGGAATCTGTAAAATTATAAACGAAACTGTAAATGACAATCTGTTTTGATACTGCAGTTAAAATTTTGACAGAAATTACGGTAAACTTACTTTTTCCAGATACAGATATTTTAGACGGTTTATTTTTCATTCCTAAGACAACAATTTTCTCTAACCAGGAATTTGTCTTATAATTCCCATACGCACTGCCAGGCCTACAAAGTTAATGACATTGATATCACGAACATAATTATTATTAAATATTTCCTCTAACAGGAGAAACAAATTCGGATCTTGATATCAAAATCGCGAATTTCTCTTAATATGTAATATATAATTCATCAATTTCTGATGGTATGCGAGGATTACCTCGAAGAGAGGACGTTGTCCTCATACGTAAATTTTCGTAGGCTAAATTCACCCTTAGAATAATCAAAACTATGGCCATCATCAATGTATAACTGTCCTAAAGCTTGAGCCTGCCAAATAAATTTGAAAGGAATTATTTCACACTGAACTTAACGATAATACTATGCCACATAATTTTAAGGAAATTTTATTTACTTTTCTATTAAGCGCGACTGTTAACGTATATGGGTCGTCGTACATCAAGGACGAACAACGCCGAATTCGCTCTTTCCGTGGAACAATACTTCCGCCGCGTTGAAAGACTGGAATCTAAATGGAACGTATCAGGATTTGTGTTTGCATTAACGTTACTTTAGATATTATAATGTTCCAATTTCGGAGATCACCCTTTATTGTACCGTATCATGATGACAGAAAAATAAACCCATACCTTATTAAGCGAAACACTCATAGAAATACTACGAGGACCAGTAAACCATTTATAATTTTCGATATCGTACCATAGCTGTGATCCATATTAGTTATATATTTTAAAATTAGGTGCATTTAGAGATAAAGCATTAAGCGATGGCCTTGTATCATTAATTATAGATAATACGTGTATACCTCGTTATTTCCAGGCAAGTATATGCTAGTACTAGATGCACTGGCATCAGTAATTGGTTTTACTAATAGATCAGATCCTGCAATATAATGTATACAGATAGGAAATTTAAATCAAAGCTAGCAACTGTAAAATCAAGTTCAATGACTACATTACAAACCGATTAGATACTCATCAGACATCGCAAATGTCGACACATCTTCTGGATACTCGGTAAACAAAGGTCTAAGATGGTCAAAAATTTCTTTAAATGTCTTGATTTCTAGTTAGCTAGGCAAAATATTGCGAAATATATCCAAAACTTGTCCATTTACATTAAAAAAATGATCTAACCTTATTATTGTTCCTCCCTTGACAGAAGCTTGATAAAAGAGTGTGTACCAAAACGGTAATAATGCATATCTAGTACGGATTGCATCACGTACGATATTCATATTCGCCTCAGCTAGCAACCACGGTTCTCTTCTACGGGTATCAATGTGTGCATGTGCACGGAAAAACGGTTGATAAGACGCTGTTTGATACCACCTGACAAGAAGTTCTTCATCAGGATTTTTGAAAAAGCCACCGACGTCAGCTAATAATTTAATGTTAAAAATTAATAATTTAGCATAACTTGCAATATTTTAATTAATTATATAGTATACGGTGTATAATTTTCGACAACAACGTACCACCAGCAAATGGTAATCCAGCTATACTGATGCTCATAATCATTGGGAGTGAGATTTTTAAGTGCTCCCATGAAGCGGTATTATCCCCAGTCCAAATAGCACCAAAACGCTGAGATCCGGCAAAAAAAGCACGCGACAGTACAAATGGCCTTTCTTTGAATCCTGATCGGGCAATTAAACCATCAGCCGTGGCTTTATGCTACAATATTTACAGATAGTAACAAAATAATACGATAAGCCGAAAGTATAATTAGGATATTAAACACTAAGGCTGTGACGCAATCAAATAATCAGATACCGCATAAAGTCCAAATATATTGTGGACATCGCGATGTTCCCAACCTCCAAAGTGCTTTGCATCTTTATGCATAGTAATCTCTGGACCGTTAAAAACTGAGGGCTACATTAAATTTTAAATTATACCGAAATTCATTCAATCACAATACACTGTGCTAGCGTTTTAAACTTTACGTATTTCATAAGTACTTGTAGGTAATGTACATCTATTAATGTTAGTAGACTATAGTCATACTTCATTCATATCGTTCCAGATGAAAAGCGAATTGGTTGAACCCTGTTCAATTGATCAATTAAGAGTTGCTTAAAAATTTTGCTGCTTTTCAATATGCAGTACCCTGTATATGACTTCACTAGCTAACGCATCAAGTTACGCTAAACAAAATATTTGCTTGATTCCCTCACAAAATAATACAAATATTTACCGGGTAATTATCAAGATTAAATCTGGAGGCCCACCAATCTCGATGTTCAGGGTTTATAAAATCAATCCACGATGATGATCCTGGCCAACACCAGCCCTCGTAAACGTTATCATCTTTGTTCTTTACATAACGTCCTTGATTCGAAGCATCCTAACGAAATCAATGATAAGTAGTAATCCTTTTTAATAATTAGAACATACGTTTTAATCGAATTACCTGATCAATACCGTAACCACTATCCCTTTTAATATGTGGATCGACAATTGTGACCATCTAATTAGTTGAACGATACATAAAATTACAGAAATTATTATGTTGAAAAGGCAGTTCAAAAGTCTATTCGTGATTTACTAAGCTGTGAATAGTAAAACTTCGTATTTATGTTTCAGTAAAGAAATCTTTATATGGTAGCTAACCTTACGCCCTTTAGCTGCAAGACTTTTCTGCATATCTTCAGGGTTAGGAAATTTCGTAGAATCCCACGTAAAGTATCTATGAAACAGTTTGTAGAATTGATTAGTTACAAAATATTTCACTTTATACTATCTGAAAGACACATTACAATACAGTCGCGCAATAATTATAGGATGGTTAATGCAGCGACACTACAAAGTCTTGGTTTTTTAACCCACTTTTTTCCATCGGTATGTTCGATATCAAGCCAAAGAACATCATATGGAATATCATGCTCATCAAATTTAGAGTCCACACTTGAATAAATTAAATTATATCAAACATAAGCATGATTATTAAGGTATAATTTTTGATATTGTCGACTAACCTTCGAACATCTTCTTCATCATTATAGTTCCATCTTGACTGGTGATAAGCTATAGCAAATAACTATAACAAGCATAAGTAAAATTACGATACTAGGATACCGTTGATAACATTTATAATTCATAAGCTACTAAAATATTATTAACCGGAGGTAAATAAGTTGGTCCAGTCAAGCTTGCATACTGTTCAAACACATCATTAGGTCTAGGTCCAAACATAAAAAAGACGTCGATAATGCCACTTTCAGAAAACCAATGAGTGTCAATTTGTGGCATTTCCTCATTGCCTTTTAGCATAGACGCGAAGCGGCTTAGGATCGACTATGAATTCAAATTAAGAATGAGAGAAATAATAACAGATTAAAATAGGGATATGCACACTTGCTGTAGAAAGATACAATAGCAATATGGTTTAGCGTGCGAACATCTTTGGCTTTATTTGAATCGATATCAATCCAAGTTTCGGCGGCATTCATCCAGAAAAGTCCAACCGTTGATTTTGCACTAAAATTATCAAAACCCTAGTCTAAATATCTTGCCCTGTGCAAAGCAATAGTGTAATACAACTGCATCTCACCAATGGGCTAACATAAAAGGAATTGATCCATATAATGCCATAGGATTATCGATCTCATATTCAAATACATCCAAGTTATACAATCGATAAGGATCGCCACCACTAGAAGTATACAAATAATGAAATGTTCTTCAATTACGGCAATTTATACCTATTACTCATGAGGATATTGGAACAATCTGTAAGGGCACTATATGGAAAATAAATGTAATTTAATACACTGCATATGCATTAACGTACGAGGTCGATTTCAGCGCTAGGCTATCTGCATGTTCAGGAATTCCATATACGTGTTCGACTCCAGGAAATGAAAAATCCAAACCTACTGAACTGGGACCTAATCAAAGTATAAATTAAGATATCGTGAGTTTTGGTACGATTATCAGTTATTATTATGACGGCAAACGATAACTAGCAGATGCCATAAGCGTCAGTATAAAAGCTAAAATGATGTAGAATAGCATTTACCCTTCGGTTTTGAATCTGAATGGCTTTTAAAAGTTTCCTCCCACAATCCTTTCAATTCTTCATCTCTTTGGCCAACTTTATCGGCCAGATTCTCATCTACAGCGGGGACGTCCTCAGTTTCACTTGAAACTTGATTTACTGCCTCACTATTTTCACTACCTTCCTTAGTGCTTTCATCAGCTGGTTTACTCTCCTCCTGAAATGCCCTTAGTGCATGAACATAGATTTAATAATCATTATTATTTGCCTTATACGATCTGTCTAAAAATAATATGATTTTTGCAGATTTGCATGACGTAAAAAGTAGATTAGTATTAGCAATTGACACAAGCGCTACAGATTGGGAATACTCGTATGAACGATTATTTACTAACGGTATCATCAATTTCATAATGTACTTACTGCTTTTTTCTATAGTTTTCAAAGTTCATTAAACCACGAGAGTTGACACTTATGACCAAAGTGTTATTAACGAGAAAATCGATTCTGAAGGGTTTCAGTGTCAAAATAAGTTGTTTATCTCTGAAATTAAGCTGGATACCCTGATCATCGCGATTAGCCAAGACCCCGCTGTTAGGATGAAAGATATAATTTTAGTTATTAAACTGCTTATACGTATACTGTAATTAATACTCGTGACGTAGTAATATAATTTTAATATAAGTTCATTACCAGAACTATTAAAGAAAAATAGCTAATACTATAACGATGCATCACGTAAACGTCATTTACAGACAATTACTTACGTCTCTTCGTCCGGTTCTTTAATTAGAATATCTTCTACTTCGTATCTCGGATACATAGGATTCTTTTCCTTGATCCTTAATCTAGCCTTACCATTACGTAATACAGCAACAGTAGCTGCTAAAAGAGCATCATTTGCCTGGTTTTTTATATCGAAGCTTATTTTAGATCCCTGAATGCTAATTGAATCATCTACAACATTGTATGGAGATTGATTAGGGCTAATTTCTCTGTTGCGTCTATTGGAAAAATGAGTAAGCATTTAAGTTCACGCTTTCGTTAGTCTTTACGATACAAGCAAAAATTGCAACAGCTCAATATCTTTATTCGGTTCTTACTTGCAAAAACTACTATCGTTGCACGTTTTGAAATTGCTCCGATCTACTCCATTAACAGCAATGATTACAATAGCGGTAACCAATAATAACCTTAATTTAGAATTTAGACACAGAAAAAATAAAGATTGCATTATTATTTATATTTTTTCATACGAAATTCGTAACTCCTATTCCTGTTGAGATCGGGACAAAGTTCGATTGTGAGCTCATATATAGCATAATAAGATTTCCAGCCCATACCATGAATTACAGACAGTTATTGCGTAAGACTGGGTTTTAAGTAAAGTTTGTGCAGAATATGGTGTGAATTGATACATAGGAATTTTGATAATTCTAATAGTTATATACCCGTGGAAATGTCATTTCATCAGTTAATAAATGCTATAAGCGTATTTACTACAGAGTCTACATCGTTAAAATCAACTTAAAGGCTGAAAGAAGAAATTGATGTCATTGTTTGAGTAACTAATGGGGCTAGCCGAAGTTTATATTTGACATACGATCATTTATGTTCAAATTTAATGATTTAAGAAGCATTGTAACATTGAAGTATATTGTACGAGTATTTGATGTACTATGGCTGCAAAATTTCGCGCCAAGTAAACGAATGTAGTGCTGTTTTGGTGAATAGTAAATACACTATGAAAGGCTGCGTGCAATTTAGCGATTTCAGCTTGTATGTTGTCTAAATTTGTTGGAATGTAAATTTAGTCAGTAGTTATAGTTAGCAATGATTCAATTAATTCATTTTAGTGGTGGAAGTTGTACACTGGAATCACTAAGTAAAATTCGGCCTTGATATAAAACTTCAAAAAATTATAGAGATTGCGTGTTTGTATACAGCACTACTTTCCAGTTGAATGGTAGTGGTAGTTGTACCTTATATCATTAATTAATTCATTACTAGTATAACGCGTATACTACTCTACATATGATAAGTGCAATTCTAATACTGTACGCGTATATACCAGAACATAATTCAGATGTGCATGTAATATGCTCAGTCGGGGAAGTATCGTCAGCGAATTATAACGAGCGAGGGATATCTATGTCACGGTCAATGTCGCGATATGTTCAAAGAACTACAGGAAGTATTGCCTGATGAAAAGTTACTGCATACGTGAAGTTTGCACAGCTTATGCAACATTTATTGTGACATTCATCATATGCATGAACCTGAAAGCAAAGTCTGCAACTTTTATATTAAAATGTGCTAGATTTTCAGGGTATATATTAATTTATCTATAAAATGACACATGAATACAGTGTACAGTACTGCAGTAGTACGCATATATGGGTTATCAAGGCCGAGCACATGTATATTCGACAATGGCTATAGATAGCTTGTGATAGAAGAGCGGCAAAGCATAGACTACAAGAGCATACAAGTATGACGGTGAACGGCTAAGCTACAATCACAAGCAGAAAATTCTTCGATCTGAGCTAGATTAAGTTAATGTACAGTAAAATATGCATTACCAATTTCAATCTAATTTATTAAGGATGGAATGATAACACATCATACCTTATCCCATACTGTAAGTATTCACTAAATACGTCCATTAAGCCACTTGACTTAATTCATGATCAGAAACAACGGCAGCCTAAGTGTGTGTCTGCCCAATACAAGTTTACACTCTTTCTGACAAAGATACCAATATAGTAGACAATAAACACATAAAGTTTAATTAAAAAATAATAATTGAATACAACTACAGTATACGTACGTTAATCTGATCTTAATGATGCTATCTAGCACTGCATAGCACGTCTTGATGTTGATGTGCATGCCTTCAATATTTATCAATTGACCGAGCTCTGCAAATTTGTGAAGGCAAGAAGTAGTCTTTACGCTCGCTATTCTAAAGCGGTAAACTGAGTAGCGACGTTATGTTTAACGGATACCGACTGATACCTTTATCAATCGGAGCTTGAAATAAACAGTAAGATTACAATATCAGTAGATGCCTTAAAATTCTGGCTTAATTCTACCTATTTATAATTCATCATTATGGCCTAATTGTATTATTAATTGATCCATGTCTTCTCTCAGGCAATCAACGTAGTTACCTACGTCAATTAATTAGCTCCAATATGACAGTACCACACACACATACGAGACCCTAGTTTGCTTGTTAGTCCTGATACTGTACAGCGACGTTAGCGTTCAATCACACTGTAAATCTCATAATATATCTCAGAAGTTTTGAATAAAGCTGGTAATCATAGCAAATTGTGGTAAGAAATGGTCTTCAACGTGATGAATAATCACGATGTATAGTCGATTAATATTGATTTAAGAATGGTTTTAAGTTAATTGACTACAAATGCTGTTACGGTCAATCTATAATCTGTGTGCAAACGTTGTAATTGAATTTAAATCGCAGTCTACCAACGGGACGCGGTTGCTGCATGCTAGCATTACATCTACCAATCCATCGATAGAAATGGATAGTAATAGTGTTGCTTTAATATTGATCACTAAAAATTGACTTAAAATGATAGCTTCATGTTTACCTCATTGCTTTATGATAGGGCATGATGGCTTTCATCTCTCTTACAGCGTTGCTTTACTAAAACGTTCCCACTTAGAACATGAAGGAAGATCCAAACTGTAGCTTATTTTAGTCAGTACCGTCGCGGTACAATACACATACAGTGTAGGAAACTATCGTGGTTGAAGTGGATACTGTACTGTATGGCTTCTACTGGTTGAAGCGTTCACGTCATTCCTTCAACAAGTCCCTGATAGACTGATTGATAGACAGTGTCGTCCGTCCAGTTGTCTGGCTATCTGCAGCAATGAACATTGAACACGTATGCAGGGTGGCATGAACGCTTATGCGTTTGCGCAGTGAGGAAGCTTCCAGGCGGTACATCAAGGAGATCGAAGAAAAGAAAAACAACCTGCTCGAGTCGACTCGAGTTGGTCAGAACGAGTCAGAACTGTCGCCAGTAATGACTGTAACCAATTTGAATAAGCAGTCAGTTTAGATAGGTTTATTTTATAAAATGTATATTAAATTTATGAGTTTCTGTATCAGTGGATATCTTCTATATGCAGCAACTATCAACATTGGCAATGACAAATCTTTTCACATTGTCCGTCTGGTTTATAATGAACTAAATATTACATTAGTGTTCTATGGATTTGTATAGAACCATAGCTGCATCACTGGTAGTACAGTAAACTAACGCAATAGCAGTCAGTGATTAGTGAGTGACTGCCGCTACGAAGTAGGCTGTTATTGCTGTTTTGCATTGCAGTATTTCATCGATAAATATGATATTCTGTATGTCTGTATGGCTGCTGTATAAACTGTAAGGAATATCCACGACGCTAAGAATGCTCGAGGCCTTGGAGAAACTCCTACTAAAAGTAACAGCAGGGATTTCTACCAAAGCCACAAGTTACAGGGCTTTCAACTGCGCATGTACAGACACTATTCTTCACATCAAGGTTACACTTGGTTACATTAACGGGTATAATAGTGATGGGATACTATGTACTGTATAGTACTGGACAATGCACATCATGTTGCACTATCAGTAATCAGCACAGTACTGTACTGAGTATGACTAGGCGTGTGGAGCCTCGTTATGTCAACTAAATAGCTAGCTATTGTCTTATATTCATGACGTCATATCATTGAATGAAGTAACTCTTATTGTTATTGAACAAATGCAAAACAATAGATCGATTGTATGAATTGATCCGAATCCGTCAATACAATCACAGCAAGCGTTTAGGCAGTCTACGACTAAGAATGAAATTAAAGCAGCGTCCCCAAGCTTCATTACGTTTCAAGAAATAATCTCTTCTTTTATCTACCGAACTTACTTCATTTCCTCCAGGTAAGACTGAATTTTTCAACTTATTCTACCGCTTGATATTTTGTATTGGATAGGATTAACGTAAAATGGCATCATTAGTTGTGTATAACTTGGATATCGCGTTGACATCATTACTTATTCTCCCAAAATCAAGTAGGCGTTAATATTTTTTATTATTACCTTGTTTCTTCCTCTGTGAGCGTTCTATGTTATTACCGTAAATTAGCCACCTTTTTCCCCTTTTGCTATACTGTAGCTTAAAATGGATAAAAATATCTCCCTGATTTAGCACGATCTTCAATCATCTTGTCAAATTGATAATCTACTGTATTTTAAATACCATGCAATGGAGTATTACACGTAAACGTTACATCGCTAATATTAGAAAGAGCGTAGTTGATATCGTATCCAGTTCTAAAGCTGTTGTAGGTGTATCATTTGAAATCAAATACTCGCATTTATACTTGTAGTGTCGTGAAGAGGGAAAAAATACAATATGGTGCAAGATTAGCATGATTTAGAATTCTTTTCACTAATTTCCTACACCAACCCTATCGATCATGTATTGTTGCTATTACTCGTATTCATGTAAATTCAAATTTCGAAGAACAAACACACTAGTTTATTATCGATTTACCTTCATATTAGCCGTAAACTTTTTGACGAGGTTCTAAATTGCTATTGATAATTATAAAATTGTAATCTATTATTACAAGTACTCAAAAAATTAACATCACGATTGGATCAAATTCATACTCTTCGCTATGATACTTTACTACAAGTCTGTATTTTATGGCCGCACTTGATAATTCTACAAAAAGTAGTTGCGTATGTTATCGACGATTGCAGAAAGCGTATACAGTACAATATAAAGCTGCATTCACGTTCTGCTGAGGTAGAGGAGAAAGGTGTGGCCATCCTTTCTATTTCTTATTTTAGCATTGCTTCACTTGACTGTAGACTGTGTGGTGGTGCTAATGTATAAGTCACCAAGCATCACGGCATTATGAAAAGTAGCATTAAAGTACAGTATAGTATGTTAAATCAAGATATTAATGGAAAGGTGACTTAATCAGCAGCAAACTCATACAAACTTGGGTCAATGTTTACACACCTTCTACGCGTATACTAGCACTACATGTAATGTACTTTGTATCACGTAGATTTAATTACTATAGGCCGTTATTTATTATTTTTTGGTTACTTTACATCTATCTATCTTGCCAATCAGTTGAAGTGAATAGACTAATATCGACGATTTGTATGGCCAAATAACGAGTACAGTCTTATTTACTGTTAAAACTAAGTTTGATTGAAATTGAGATCAATCGAGCGGGCGACTAGATGGAGTATTATTGGCGTTTGATTGGTGTTGCGATAGGGTATTTGTATATTACTATTAACGAATTGGCTAATTTTTTCGAGCATATAACCGTGGTTGATAGCGCGGGTTAGCCCCAAAGCGACAAGAAGCATTTTAACCAGCTTAGTAACAGCGGGATTCCTCACTGTTAAAATAGAAAGTCCTAAGAGATTACTCTCTCAGTGCATGTCGTGCACGCGAGATGCCAACTAGTGAAAATTCACCGTACAGTGCGTACAGTACAGTACTACAGTCGCTTTGGCATATGAAATCCAGACTAAGTTAGTTTGCAATGCGAATGACTGGTACTCTTTATTTTATTTTGATCCTATTTCACAGATACAAATCGTATCCAATTTCTGTATCTGATTGGATCTCATTTTATTCCAATTAGCAGTATTTTTATTGATTGGTTTCATCGAGTTTTTTCCTGGCTCTCCGATCTTGCAGTCCTAGGTAATGGCGGTAGTATTAAAGAGCCACGGTACATACTGTACAGTGTACAGTACAGTAACTACAGTATAAAAGACATTCAGAAAAACCGGTTAACAGGTTATACTGTACTGCTTCATACTGCACTTTCAGTACGGCACGGTACGGCACGATACGGTACTATAAAACAAAACAAAGAAAAGCTTGATTAAACTGCCTTGACAGGGGTCGCTAACCATAGGGTCTTATTACCCCCCCCCCCTTTTGGCTTCCATGCAAAAAATATCTTCTACTTTACTTTTGGAGCAATATGCACTTGTGTAGTCCCTCGAGAGACTCTTACCGCATGGAAGACACTGTAGTAAATACATTAAGACTTATCCCAAGTTTAAAAGAATTGGTCATTCTGCGCAAGCTATCATGCGTCTAGCATCGTTATAAAATACCTTCGTTACAGTCCATCGAAATGAAGAAGTTATTACAGTAATTCAATATTTTAAAAATTAAAATTGATTGACCGAGTGTTATCCAACCTTAATGCTATTATGTACGCTAGCGATGACATCACGCCAAAACAAATCCCATCGCTTGCAATCGACCAACCCAACAAATCACTGTGGGCAAGAACAACACATCATATTGATGTTATTCGCCTTTCCCACTGCCGAGAGTAAAAATACTCGATGCGTATGGTGCAGATAATATCAGACATGATCACCGATAGTTTGAAGGTCATGATCGAGTAGTTTAAGATGATACTGGACCATGGACTACTACTAGGTATCAAGTAGCTTGTAATAATAAATACAGTATTCTCCATTCGTTCTTAGTAAAACAACATTAAACTGAGCTAACAGTGTACAAGCTGACTGAGGAAAAAGTATGCGACAATTCTAGTATTACAGGATAGCGAGGTCAATATATATATATAGTACAGCAGTACGGCAATCATGACTGATGTGCCTCAGCTAGATGCGTCTTTATAACTGACTGTAATCGTTGCAAGTAGTCATTAAAATTGAATTCTACCTTGGTGATCACTTCAGAGATTGTCTAGAGACCAGCGATAACCTGATAGATCATGGTAAAGATATTATTCAAGACATACAAGTACTGCCCATTGCACATTAGCAAACTTGGGCCATAATATGATACAAACTAAACGCTACTGTAGGAGATTATAGCTGTCCTAATTTTACTTCAATTCTACCAACTTCATTCTGCTATTTGCACATCGATCATGTCTCTCTCTCTATTCATCGTACAAGGTGTAACAATGTATTCACAGTTTATTTCATTTTTGGGACTAGGTGATCCAAAAAATCACAAATTGACCTACAGAAGGCTAAAATTGGCGTTGTTTTCGTTTTTTCTATTTTTTCCATCCAATACACTAGGTAGATGCTAAGCTACTGCACTGTACTGTATATGATAGATGTAGTAATACAACTGCGATATGCCCATATGTTGAACGGCATTAGCCGAGGGACGATAGTATTTCAATACATTACTTTGTAGGAATTAATTTCATTGTTTGCAACAAGATTTCTCAATCAGATCGTTTGAAACAATCAATCCGATCATGACAATTGCCCTTTATTGTTACAAAATTAAATTAATTTAACTAAAAAACAATTCATGAGCCTGAAAGGTCGCTGTAGATACAGTACTTCCTAAAGTCGTTTACTATCTCACTATCTACTGTATTTAATTGATTTTGTTTACGGAGTGCATTTGAACCAACTTGCAATGGATAGCAAATACAGTAGGTGTAAATTGATTATAGCTCTAAAATACCATTCTACTTCATAAAGAACAGTATCACTAATGGTAGCTACGTAACGTGGAATTACTCGCGATATCAAAGTTCTTACAGTTTCAGCTAATACAAACGATTAATGCTCCTCTTGTTGATGTGAAATTATAAATATACCTTACACTTCAATGTATCTAGACTGTACTGTAGGCAATGCCAGGTAATATAAGTGTCAAAATTTGGAAATTATCTTTCAACAACTATTGTAAGATGAATCATATCTTGCAATTTATACTCGTATGGAACGCTTTACGTACCAGTAACATCGAGTCGTGTGTACATGAATTCAATTCAATAGCCGTCAAAAGTCAAGAATATTCTTTCACGGAATTCAAATTGTTAAAGTTACAGTATGAAAGTACAAATTATTAAATAATGTCAACAATAGTAGATTATAAAATACATGAAACTTCCAGGCATACATTAATATTAGACCACTAAGGCTTTTCTTTTCCCTCTTTCTCGTCTTACATAAATAGATACTGCATTTCTTAAGCATCTGGATTATATCAATGAATACATCAACTGTTTCTTTAAATAATCAATTTTTCCATATTACTAGATTCAACTTGGTTCTAGTTCGACTGCCACTATGACTTCTCCAAGCGGTACTGTCAAGAAATACCTCAATCAGGATTACCAGAAAATTAAGCTGGATTGCTTAAATAACGGACAACTATTCGAAGATCCAACATTTCCTCCTACTGATGCCACGCTATTTTTCAGTCAAAAACCACCGCGTCGATTTGTATGGAAAAGACCAGGAGTAAGTTGAGATTTATATCACAATTGATTTAAGCCATAGAAATTGCAAAACAATCGATAAAATACCTCTGTGCTGGGTAAACTTATAGCCATTCTATATTGTCCCTACATAAGTAAAACAGCCATGGATGCATAAGCCATAATACTTCAAGTTTCATTTCAGCTGTTAGATAATCGGTGATATACCGTAGATAGCTATTGACTATATTAACTGTATTATTGTTAAAACTCACTATCTACTGTATCAGATATATACTATGGTCTAGACCTGGCATTTATTTTTCCAACTTAGTGAGTATCACTTTTTCAACGTTGCAATACTAGTTAGCACGTAGGGTTAATAGCATATCACTAAAGAGTTCGTTTCCTCATAAACATATTTATCTCTATGAATAGCTCTAATTCGACCTAATTAAAAGATACATCATTGCATTTTTCTATATATTTTTAATTACTAATTCAGCACGCTATGTGAAGATTGAGGGTTTATATTGTCAATTCTATTTTCATATTAAACATGTGTTCTTTACTAAACATATGAAACGATATTTTTACGATACGTGATTGACTACAATAATATAATATACTGTACTTCTTTCAATCTTGCATACGGTTGTTACCGGTATCATACTAAATACTTGCAATGATAAGCTACAGTATACTAATATGGAATTTGTCTGATAACAATAGGAATTGAGCAAAAATCCCAAATTGTTTGTCGATGGTGCAAGTCGTCTTGATATTTGTCAAGGAATGTTGGGCGACTGCTGGTTCTTAGCTGCTATTTCATCATTGGCAGGTGAAAAATCATTGCTCTATCGTGTTGTACCACCGGATCAATCTTTTAGTAGGAATTATGCCGGCATATTTCACTTCCAGTTTTGGAGATTTGGTCAATGGACTGATGTGATTATTGATGATCTCCTGCCAACATATAATGGCAGATTAATTTTTGTACACTCTGCTGATACGAATGAATACTGGAGTGCGCTATTAGAAAAAGCTTACGCTAAGTGAGTTAGCAATATAACCCATCTTTCTCTGTGTGAATTACCTTTTCTTTATTATAATTATAATTAACGTTTATTAATTTATAATTGTTAATCTATGATGTATTAAGATCATCACGTAAATACAATATACGCGTATTAATAATTGCAATCATGCTACAATATTCCTGTTTATAAATTGCAAAAGATATTATCGATTGAATGAATTTATTTCTAAACTTTTTGACTTTAATCTATACTTTTTCATGTATCACCGCATAGGTTGGCTGGTAGTTACGAAGCCTTGAAAGGTGGTCATAGCTCTGAAGCCTTAGAAGATTTTACCGGTGGTGTAACAGAAGTTATTGACCTGAAAAAACCTCCAAATAACTTGTTTGATCAAATTCTGAAATCTTTTGAGCGTCATTCATTAATGGGTTGTTCTATTGAGGTAAGAAATCTTGCTAAGTGTGATTCCTAGCGTAATTGTAAGCAAAAACATTGTGTAATCCTAACTGTTATATCTCGGTAGCTCCAGTAGATTTACTATTAATTTAGGACTTAAACCATTTGGAACTATCGTAAACTCTTGTTTACACTAGGTTTTAGTATTTAATCGCCGTCTTTAGAAATTCATGAACATTTATGACTCTATCTTGCAGGCATCTCCTAATCAGATTGAGCACAAGCTAGATAACGGATTGGTTATGGGACATGCTTATAGTGTCTCGAAAGCTGTTCGGGTATAGATAAGTCTTGATAATTGTCATTAGTTATTACAGTAGCAATTGATACTAATTACTTTTAAGTACCGCAACTAAGGTATACCTATTTGCGATAGGTTAAAGTTCGTGGTAGAATTGAGGAAGATCTTATCAGAATTCGAAATCCTTGGGGTAATGAGAAAGAATGGCGAGGAGCTTGGGGAGATGGGTAATAATCTCACGCAAAATTTACCCTTTAAATTCATACTTCTATATGTGTGCCATCCATTCTTGATAACACCCACAGCTATGAGACTTTTCCGAAATTATGCATAATAATATTACAATATACGAGTATTGCTGTATAAATGTGCTTTAGTTATCTGCAGCAGTAACATTTATGAATTATGGAAAAGTTTTCAAATTGTACAGCTGATTTCAACAAACTGAAAACTTAATATAAATTTAGTGATTATTTTACTGTTACTAAGATTGCCTAATGGATTTGACTGCTACTTTTATTTCTGTCTTCCTTGGTCTTATCTTGTTTTATACTCACTTCTATCCAATGTTAGCTCACCGGAATGGAAGACTATTTCGGAAGCAGAGAAAGCAAAGATGGAATTGTCATTCGATGATGATGGAGAATTTTGGTAAATATGCAATGAATTTTTATTATATATATTATCTACAGTTAATATTAATGAGATTACGACTGAATACCATATATCATAGAATATACTATATATCAATCTTTCAATATATTTAAATAGCTTTGAAGCATATCCAGCGTAGAAGTATTATCATATTTCTCATTTTCTCTAGGATGGCATTTAAAGACTTCTGTGCAGAGTTCTCAACTTTGGAAATTTGCATGTTATCACCTGACAGTGCTGTTGATAGTCGAAGTAGCAAAAAAAGATGGCAGATGCAAAAGCATAACGGCGCCTGGCAAAAAGGCGTATCTGCTGGCGGCTGTCGTAATTATCCTGATACATTTCATTATAACCCTCAAGTTGCCGTAGAAATTACGGTCAGTAGTATGAGAATAAATAATTATGTGCGCAGATTTAGATACCAAGTAATCTTATCATTTTATAGCAAGCTTTTAGTTAATTGACATCTACAGGCATTTTCAGTTTTTTTAATAGAAAATATTGTATCATGTTAGGATGAAGATGACGAAGAGGGAGCATCAGTCTTTATATCGTTGATGCAAAAGAATCGCCGTAAATTGAAATCACAAAATGCTAAGATGTTAACCATTGGATTCGCTTTATATAAGCTGGATCAGCGTGATGCTAGTAAAAAGCTAGATAAGAATTACTTCTTATACCATGCTTCGACAGCCAAGTCTAAAACCTTTATCAATATGCGAGAAGTAGCAACTCGATTTAACCTACAAAAAGGAACTTATGTTATCATGCCATCTACTTTCAATCCCCACGAAAGTGGTGAATTTTTACTACGTGTATTTACTGAAAAACCGGCTACTTGTTCAGGGTAAATAGATTGCACTTTGAAAAGAATGATTATTTCGTATCAGCTTTAACATTTGTTAAAAATTTTAATTAGGAATGTCTGCATTGAATTTTACAACGATATTTATGAGAGATACCTCTGTTCGAATTTATAATATTATCTTTGTATGCCACATGTAACTTTTAGCGAGGTAGATGATGACTGCCAATATGTTGCACCGGCTCCACAGGTGAGTTACTCAATTGGCCAGAATTACAGTAACTGTGCCATTGTACTCAGTGCCTAATAAACGTTGGATGCATATAATCCTGTAACATGATTGTACAATTTATAGGTTCAATCAAGACAAACACCTGAGGAAATGAGACTTGAAAACGCATTTCATGAAATTTTTGATCGTGTAGCTGGAACGGTAACAATGCATACCATTGTATATGATGAAATTCGTCGTAACGTGTTAATATAGTAATCATTATTATGTATTGTGTCATCGTGATTTCAGGATGAAGAAGTTGATGCTTTTGAATTACAACAAATCCTAAATCAAGGCCTCGTTAAAAGTAAGTTTGAGCTGGAATCTGTTACTTGCGATATCTAAAATACTACCACGAATTCGTCATGAGACACACATTATCTAGAAATTTTAACTAATGAAATAAATAATCATACGCTGTACAAAGCTGTTGAATCAATAACGCGACAATTGCGGTTTCATAACTTATTGTCATTTATGTATATGCGTGTATTACATATAGTGTTCGGCCAAAGTTCAGCAACATTTAGCTTGGAGGCATGCAGATCTATGGTCGCTATGGTCGATGTATCCTTGTCGAATCTTTAGCAACTACCATTTATATAATTTCTTGTTATTATCATATCACCTCATACGAGCAGTTATTTAGTGATTCTCAATATTAAGAGCTTCAAAAAGCTTACTTTTTTTAAACTCTATAGAAACTTTCAGTTTAGTTACAACTTAAATATGCTAGATAAATGCGTATTATTTATATTGAGCAAATATTGTCTACAATACGAAGGTTTGATTCCTGAACGTTCAAACAAAATAAATATAGCAAGACCGATCCGGAAAACTTAATTACGATGAGTTTAGAAATCTATGGCAAACTATTAAAAGTTGGAAGGTATTTAATCTATATTTTGAATAGAACATAATATTCCAGATGGATTTTATTTTTATAAATTCTTTTGTGTATGCTGATCTGTATGATTGGGATAACTGATGTGTGATTACGTTTTGTTGTCAATTCAGGACAATTTCCAAAAGTTTGATACTGATAAATCTGGTTCTTTTAGCTCATATGAACTGAGAGCTGCCCTTACTGCTTCAGGTACTATTTCTGTCTACTTTTATTTATTAATTACTGCTTCATTCATGTCTGGGCATATGTACTAAATTATGACAATGGTAGACTAGTTACCACTTTAACTTTTTCAGTTGAGTTTGTTCGATTTGATAGTTTTTTTGTTGAATTTTCTTTAACCTTATTAATGTCTGATAAAGAGTACAACAAAGTTCTCTCTACAGATGCCATTTTAATATTATTTCAAAAATCTTAAGTATAGCACTACATTTACTGTGAATACTATCTACAATTAAATATTTAATCTTGAGAATTTGCACTATTAATTTATTTTAGGATTTAGGCTTAGCACTTCTGTTATGAGATCTATTGCTTTGCGATATGCCTCCAAGGATGGTAGTATTTGTTTTAATGACTACTTATTGTGCATGATGAAAGTTACCACCATGTTTGGTAAGCCTTTGCATAATTTTGTTATTGCTTTTGTAAAGATTTACTTGTACATGGAACATTTATGTTTTTTCGTTTGAAGTAGATATAAATTTATCGCCTATTGTCAATATTATAGATATAAGATAACGAACTTGGTGTATTACAGTGATTCATCAACGTAGTGATAAAGCAAAAGACGGTAATATAGTGATCACAGTGCAGCGTAACAGTTACTGCATCCTGAGTATTACTTAGGTTGGGTCGATAGAAAGTACAAGTGTACCAACTCATTCCTTAGCTATTCTGACACTTATGATACTTGATTTAACCGTATCTCCAAACTATACAAAGCTATTATGCTTTATAAAATGCCACAAATCATCACAATGAAGACTGATTCTTGCAATGGTCTTTACAAATTAGCTGATTTGTAGTTAATAGAGTCTATACTACTGTCTACAGTGCTCGTAAAATGTGACTTCATGCCTCGTAAACCAGTAGATAATTAATTAATAAATACGATAGATTATTCAACGACCTGTGCTGTTCCGCAACTTATAGCACTTTGATATAGATTTATTAGCAAGTACAGCACTGATGCTGAACAATTCGCTACGGCAGGTATCATGCATCAAATAAATGTAGTGCTGCTGTGTCTCAGACTGGCATTGATAATTTGTCACACAATACAAATCCAATTTAAAAAACTTCTAGTATGTTAAGTGTCGATAAAGGATCTCTTATAACTTCAGCTTGTCTTCATTTTATTTAATTGTGAGACATTTAGTAATGCTATAACAACATCTAACCATCTGTATTCTTATGTGATGTACGCGTACAGATAAATTTATCGAACATGACGCATCCAAACGTGGGAAAGCACAATTTTCATTAGATCAGGTTAGTAAACTGATATTACTAACCACTTCGTAGATTAATGCGATCAATGCTTATGATAAAGCATTTTATAAATAATGGTTATTTTTTCTTCAATAGTTCCTATCGTCTACCATGCTGTCTTAAAAACAAAAACTGGGCAAACGTACATGTTATAATGCTGCACTTATTACGGTATATTTAATGAACGTGACCATAACACCCAAAGGCAAATGAATTACCGGACTTTATAACTCTATTCATGATATAAATGATATGAATTAAGATGCAACTTCGTCCTGATATTTCTTTGTTAACTGTAGCTCAGTAATTACTACTGCATTATGGCATTATTAAAACAACGAAGTAGAACAGTGTGTTTAAGATGGATGCATATATACCGATAATCATAATAGTATCTAGTAAGTACAGATTTTATTGTTTTTGTATACGGTAAAAACGAGTGGTGTTGAAGTGAATAGTACATACGCTACTTATTTAAAGGATATTAGTGTACTTGAAAGTATCGTAGTTATAAAAGTAAAATAAATAGCCTTTTGTTCACTTTTTTACTCTAAATTTTATGTTTGTTGGTAGTAGCGTTAATTTATAACATAACCGACGGCACATGCTTATATCTGTAATGGAACTACAATAGACATTATACTGAAATGTTACTTAAACAAGACATACAGTATCACGTTAACTCATGTTGTTGCTCTATAGGAATGCAGTTCTTGCATTGCCACTAATGGAGATGAGGGAATAATATATAAATAATTTGCTTACTGAGGATTGAATTATAATTGTGTATGTGTACTCGTTTGGCAATAATAATCTGTTCGCCTTTACGTATATAATAAATAAAAATATATGCACCAAGGGTGATGGCTAAGATCCAAATACTTTTTTAAGCATTCCATAACAATTTTTGACAAGAAATCCGTACGAGTTCAAGTAGTTTACTAACAGCTGAAGGATAAATACAATTGCAAAAATAAGTAGTCATTTACCTATACCAGTAAATGGGTGAAAATTGGAATTAGTTTAGCTTACAAATACAAATACTAGCTGCTACTGGATCAATCAGGTCAACTTAAAGGTACAATACTAAGCTGTACAAAAGTCGAAAAATCGTACTGCACCCATTGCTAATCAAATTACAGGTGTGCTCATTTGTAAACGGCAACATCACTGTTACATATTATATCATAATCACAAGGTAATTTTAGCATTTTTTAGCTAAGTTTTTAATAAAATTTGCTAACTACGTAATAACTATGTTAGTCGACACTATAAGTGTAGCATCATCAAAATTTGAAGTCTTTATATTTTTTATTTGTTTTAGTACTATCCGCTGCTTTCTTGCGTTTCTAAAAGTGAATTAAAAGGAGTATTATCATATTAGAAATTGAATATGAAACTATACACTTTCTATAGGCTAATGTACCACATCCAGAATACAACAGGACACTACGACACTCAAAACAATCAAAAATAGTACAGTCAAATTACCCTCTGCTGTCGAGCTGCATGCTCAGCAACCATATCACTAAAATCTTCTTTTTTCGCCGAATCATTTTGCTCACGAAGTTGTTCTTCATACCTAAGAAGTTCAAAGTATAGATTAAAAAGCTTTTAGAATAACAAAAAGTTAGATAACATACATACTTAGCTGTCATAGTAGCTTCATCCAATTCTAGCTCGCTAGGATCAAGTGAGACTTCTATACCATCAGCTTGAGTGGTACTCTTCTTGGGTGCCTTAATTGATATAAAAATATTATTGATAATTTAACGGCTCTTGTTCACTGAGCAAAAAAATCACATTAAAAATAGTTTAAAAAGTAATGTTTAAAATAAATTATTACCGCATTTATATCGTAAATATGTGCAGAGCCCATTATGGCAGCGCCAACTGCAATTTTCTTTTCCGGAATTATAGTATACAATTGTGGGGTTTCTTCACTGTAAGCGGTGATAATTCATAGATTACTTTCAAGAATTTACAAAAGTATAAAGATTAATTTAGAAGACTGGACTTTATCTAACCCTTGCTCCATTGCATCTTCAATATTTTTCTTTTTTCTATTTTTAAAAGACAGTATTGCAAAAAGCTATTAATTCCCATCATATTTAGCGGAAGTAGTAAATTATTATGTTTAATAATTTGTAGACTAACCGGAGTTCGATACTTTCGGGCGTTTCTAAGCCAGCAGAAATAGAAGTGAGACCGCTAGGAGTGACCAATCTTAATAAAGGTGATTTACGTATTAGGATATATAATTCTTAGGAATAGTGGTATAATTAAAAATAGAGATAAAATTTTAAATTAATTTCACCCTTCAGCGGGAGTAACAAGTCCAGTTTCATCGACTTTTTTCTCCGTTTCCTCACCCTGAGATAGCATAAATACTAAATTATTCTATTTGAATAATTAAAGGACAAGACCAGCCAGATAATCGCTATTAAAGTCATCTCCTTTATTACCTCTTGGCCTTCTTCTTCTTCATCTTCTTCTTCTTCTTCTTCTTCTTCTTCGTCTGAAACTAATTCTCCCCAGCGAGACTTTTCTACTCCCTCATCTTCCCCAGTAAGCTAAAATTTATCACAATATTAGTAAATCTTTCGAAACGAGAGTAGGACAAAGGTGTACTTTTTTACTTGGTAGTCATATGCTTGAGTTCCAAATACGTCTCCGTATAGCGGACGCCCCGTTTCATCTACAGGGGGTTTACCCCATCCACCAGGATGATAACCGAATGATGCACCTTCAGGGATTGGCGCATTCAAACCAGATATTTTCAAATTGGGGTATGAAGGCGGAGGGCCATATCTTTGCATAGCAATTAGCCAAGGGGGAGGTATCAAGTTTTTACCCTAATATGCGTACATACAGTAAATTACAATGCTAACAATCAAGTCTCGTAACAGCTATCAAATATTCCGGTCAAGAAAATTACCTGGCCTGTTGGCATTCCAAGAGCGAGCCTCAAGTCGTCCGATAAGTCCCCAGGTTTCTTTTCTTTCAGGCGAGTTTCAAATTCTTTTCCCTTCAAATTTCAAGAGTACAATTTTTTTCAGGTTTTTACCTGACGACTCTTATGAATATACCGACGTATGTATTGAATACTTACTTCGTAGTAAAGACTTCCGTGCATAGTAACTTTTGGCTTAGTTTGCCACTTAAAAAATGCATCATGAAGTTTTTGGTAATCGATTCCTAACTTTCCCATTTTAGGGCGTATCTTTTCTCTCTGTTTCGCTTTCATGGTCTTTTTATCCTCCTATGAGACAAGATTAAAAAAATATAAGGATCGTCTTGCTAGTGTGTAATCTAATAACAACCCAGCACATTCAATAGGAATAGTTATGTTTTGTTTTCAATTATCAAAACTAACTTTTTCTTGTAAGGCTTCTCTCATTTCCATAATTCCAGTTTTCTGCATACAAGGAATCCCATGTCAGTACTTTGCAGAATTATTGTCATGTAGTTTAGAAATCTATTAACTAACGGATATAGACGTATCACCTTTATGAAATCTGGTAACTCAAATGGAGGTTTCTCAATACCACGCTTCCCTTGCAGGTATTTACGTTTGAAACACCAATGACGAGGTATAGGCACTGTATTTCGTGTCGCCTAGGAGACAATTATATCAGTAACCAATGCTAGAGGTGTTCGCTTTATATATAATTTATACAAATTCTCTCCCTACTTTCAATAATAATAGTAGTTTCGGATCTCTTGCAGTAACATCGTGCATTTCTACAAGATCAGGCCTAGTAACCAGCTATCGATATGATATGTTTTATGCAAAAAATACTTCGATTAATAAATTTTCTTATTGATTACATTGGTTTAGAATTAAAGACTAAACTTCGAGTACAAATCAACCTGCTTTAGTTCCGCAACTGTAAGTCGATGCAATTTACGCAATTTCTTCTTCGATATGGCGTCTTTAATCATATCATCATCCAGCTAATAAATTAATCAATGAAAACATTTTAATTAAGTATTCTTATCGATCTTATTTATTAATTTCGAAAATATGGCACAACTTTTACCACGTACCAATTCCTCATCAGACGATTCAGCATCTTCTGTTGATTTTTGCATGTCCTAACAATTATAAAATAACGTGTAAGATATTCGTCAGTGTAAATAATTAGATATACTGTACATAGCTGTTTACCTTGTTTGCTACTTGATTTTCCATTGTGTCTGCTTCAGGTGCGTTCTTTACACTTTCAGACAACTAATAAGATAATTCAAGATCACGTTTATTTAATCTCAGCAATTTTACAAGAAACTATATCCCAAGAAGAAATTAACCTTAAACGCTTCAAAAACTGTGGAAAAAGTACTTAATACTGGATCTGATAAATCCAATGTTTCTGGGATATACCTATTAAATAAAACAATAGGGTTTGTTTTATAAACTTCATAATGTGCATGGCTAGACAACATAAATGAAGGTAATAATTACTGCTGATTGTATCTTACTCGATATCAATTTCTTCATTTTCAGCGGTAACATCTGCTTCGTTTTGCTAATCAAGATCATTTAACAATATTACAAAACAACCACTACGTGAGTTGATATTAATGTAATGAATATTACCCTTTCATCAGGCTGAATATGTAATCTTCTCTTTTTTTTCTTCTTTTTATTTTTCTTCTTGTTCTAACAGGTACGAGATAAGCATGTTATTCACAGTTCATAGGAATTACTAGTCTTAAGTAATTATAAATTTCTTAGTATTTTAATTTAATTATTAAGTTACCTGATTGGATTTATTATCTGTAGCACCATTAGTAACATTAACTACCTCTTGATTAACTTTGTTTGTAGGAGGAGGCGTATTGACGCGATGTGTAGGTACTTCTAATGATTTAGAAGTATTTGATGTCGCCTGGTTATCAATTTTTGAAAAAGGTAATGATGGATTTTCAATAGAAGGTGACGCTTTGGTAATTTGCACTTGAGGGATTTGAGCATTAGTTTCAATGGTTGGTTTATCAGATGTTTGTTTATTATCTATAATTTGGTCGATCGGAGAAAGAGTAATTTCCACTTTGCTCCCATCCTTTACATTTTCGTCTACAATTACTATTTCTTCCGTTCCTTCTTGATTTATCTTCTCATCTTTCACTTCTTGCGATTCTGTCTCTGCTCCCTCTACTGTTGATGACGCTTCCTTTGTTTTCTAAGGTTTATTAAAAGATTTTAGTAAAGTTTTAATTCTGTTATCAATTCCATTAGAGCATTTAGAACAGGCCAATTCTCGTCTGATAATCCAATCGCAGTAAAACCTACCTGATAAAATGCTATCAGCCTTTCGATAAGTTCATCTTTACGACCTATTAATCACAGAAGAAAGGTGTAAGTATTGTTAATGTTTTTGGCCCAATTTTTGTCATTCGGAGGCTGTAATTAAAATAAATTAAACCCTTGCAATTAGTTTGCATAAAGGTACTGATCAATTATATTATACATGTAGATAGCATCGACTATACACAGTACGCATATCAACAAGATTCTGCTTCGGTAATAAGAGCTCATCATATAAAAATTGACGTCTAGCCAATGATAATTACTGATAGTGAGCAGTTTATTATCTTAAAGTACAAGAACTACAGGTACAGTGTACCATGGAAATATTACGTAGTCATATTCATAAGCTACCATAAAAATCCAGATAATTGCAGAGACAGCCAATAGCAACAGTCAATGAACACAATTTTCATGCATTGGTTAAATTTGAATCATTTTAGCAAAGTCTTGACATACGTGTATTGTCATATACATTGCCACCAAGTACAATAAAAAGTTACATGATGCAATACATTGTTGATTGGGCATTCTGTAATCTTCTCATATTAATATTTTACTACAATTTACAGTACGACGTAAATAGTAAGCATTTGAAGTCTTGAAACTTTAACTTTAATTGCTATCTAAATTGCTTCTAAGCGTAATCCAGTATATGGCTACTTGATGTAATCCGTAGTTGATTGGATAATCTGTGATGTTCATACAGTACTACTTTGTTGTATTTTATATTATTTACTTCAGTTTAAGCATATTGGAAGTCTTAGAACTTTGACTTTAATTACCATCTAAGTTGTTTGTAAGTACAATAAAAAGTTACAGTTACTTAGGACTTCAAATTCATTGTATCAATCTAGTAGTAATGTAATCAATAATGTATAGCTTTTTCTAACCTAATCGACAAAATATTATTAAGAGGATAGTTACTAACAGCTCAGTTGTTCAGAGCCTATACGACATCTCAATTAATAATTATTACTTAAGGTAGAGACTCACTCTAGAGAAGAGCATGAATAACATTTTAGCGTCCAAATAGTACGGATGGACGTAACCTTGTAACTACTGTACATTATTATTTTCTATACATGAGACGGAAGCAATTAACGGCACTGCGAGTATTCCTACTAGAAACCACGAATACAGTAAATGCTACTAACAACAATAATACTGGTATAGTTAATTGAAGCAGTATCATATCAATCAACCAGAAGGTAGAAAATATTCACTCTGTTGTACTGTGTCATCGTAATTTAATCATAAGATACTATGAATAATAGAAAGTAGCCAACGCTTATGAAATAATTCCATAACAATTGACTAGTACAGTAATGTTAGTCATGAATTGGATGCAATAAAGACTAGCAATTTTTGTCTACGGTAGGATGAAAAGATCACCATCCGTTTTGAACTCTCTGTCGATCTAAATTGATATAGGATAATGCTGATAGTTTAAGATATGATCACCACTGCACGTTGTAGCTTAGCAATGAACTGTTGAATCTATTCGCCATTAATGTATTGTTGTCCCTTTAGCAGATAGTATGATCAAAGTCGAAAATACGTGTCTCCGTCAAAATAGATAGAGAGATATTTGGAAAGGTAGGATGATATGCGATATCCACTTAGCCATTACGGATGATATTATCCATGAGTTTGGTAGAACTTTGCCCGTTTGTAAGATATCGATCCGAATGGAAAGATTAGTTTATTCTACTGCTTGGATGAATTTGCAATGATGCATGGAGAGTACAGTAGTATAAGAATAGCCATATCAACATGATTGACTGTAGTATGGAAATGCTTGTTCTCTTGATGACTAGCACAGATAATGCAATAATTTTCATTGAAAGTCTACTCAGGATGTAAAATAGAAGAAGAGAGTCATTAAGATCACTTTTGAGCTACGATATGCTGAAAAGGAATGCAAGCGATGACAAGACCGTAGGTCAAAATTTTACTGGCCGAATTACTGCATGTTATGCATACAGTAAAAGGAAATAGTATGTAGCCTTATTGCTTCAAGTAAGAAAATTAGCTTATGATAGGATATATCTGGATGATGATACGTGATTTAGTCAAGTTGATGTAATGTAATCTGTTGTCGATGAGCAGTTTACGATGATTGGATTGCCTATGGAAGGGAAGGGATCTTGAAAGAGATTGATTGCATTTGAAAAAATGGACACAGCCAAGCGAGTTGAATCATTGTACAACAGATCGAAAATTGAATTATTGCTCAGTTTGATGACTTTCTTTCAACGATAACCCTTGATGGTAGGATAGTAGCTATGTAATACCTGATAGTGGTAATCCATGGCTCTCTAATTTTCCCTTTAATTCGGCTACTTTAAACTTGGCCAAGCTGCTTGGCGTTATCGATGTATCCTCCATCTTTGTATCGAGTTTTGCGTGCCTGCGCAGAGAGGTCCAACGCTTTTAGCGATAGGATCAAGCTGGTCAATGATTTTCACTGGCTTTGGAGGTATGTTTACAACACTCCTCTACTATGACACTGGCACGTGCGCGCGACTCTGGTCTACTCCTATCACACTACCTTACCATGGTTGAGTTTGTACCCCAATGCTATGACAACATCTCGCTTGGATCATTTCCTATACTGTAGAGTATAGCGTTTTGGCTCATCTTAGCACTAGATGAGCACAGTGGTAGGAATATTTGGTATAGGAAAGGAAGGGAAATTTAGAAGGCCCAAGAGATGGAAAAGAAGAGTTATCCGATAGCTTTGGAAATCATTTCCACCTATACAGTCTACTCTTTCTTTCCATTTTCTTCTATCTCTATGATTGATTGATCCTACTGTACAGTAGGTCTACAATTTGTTGGTGGTCCACTCATTCAGTACAGTAGAGTACGGTCTCGCTTTTCCTAATGCATTACACCACAAGTTTCTCGATGTCGTGCCATAAAAAAGTTTGCGTTAGGGTCTCGTCTATGTCGTTCTCGACTGTATAACGAGCACGTCATCACTCAGGCAAGACTCCATTTTCCAATGGAAAATAGGAGAAAAATAACGTGCCATTGAAGGGCAGTTATTCATGATCAGTAAAAAGCTTGCTTTACCAAGCGTCATTGAAATCAATCTCGAATCAACGAGTAATGATGCTCAAACACTGGATTGGTGATCGCCCTTGGCTCGATTGCCAATTACTCATGTTAGTTTGATTGGTTTTAATATTACGATCGCTTGGCACAGTCTATTCATGGACCACTAGAAGAATACTTGTCCGGCTGTCCCTCTTTCTCTTCTTTACTGTACTGTATTGCTAGTAATACTGTAATACATGCGTATGGTGCAAACGGTTAACCGGTCGACCTAAAATTTGTAACCGGTTAAGTGACCATACGCAGTAATACACTAGGAATACGCAAGATGTCATACGGAGCACAGTAAAACAAGCTACGCATGCGGACAGTACTTTTATGCTCAGGTCCCTGCCAAACAATGAAGGGAATACGCAAGATGTCATACAAAGCACAGTCAATAGGTACGCATGCGTACAGTACTTTGACGCTCAGGTCCCTGTCAATCTTTCTCTTCTTTACTGTACTGTACTGTATAGCTAGTAAATTAGTAATACAGTCCAGTATAGCCAAATAGCGTAACCTGTCCGTCTGTCCCTCTTTCGCTTCTTTGTCCGGCTGTCTCCCTTTCTCTTCATTACTGTACTGTACAGTACAGTATTGCTGTATTGCTAGAATGCTAGTAGTACTAGTATAGTAGTCGCCGGTTATTAAGCCCACGGTTAATAAGCCCAGCCGCGTATTAAGCCCAAAACGGCTTGGTACGGAATTTTACTTAGCAAAATCCGCCGGTTATAAAGCCCAGTTCGCCAACAGATTAGAGCGAGATTCTCATCTCTCTGCACCCCAGCGCCTGGGAAGCCAGTTGTGCGTGTACATAACCAAGCACTACACATATATGTTGGTATGCGTATGTATAGTGCTTATCCTGCGTTTGCGTTTGCACTCCGGTTATTGCGCCCGCCGCTTATTAAGCCCAATTTGGTCTGGGCCCGAGGTGGGCTTAATAACCGGCGACTACTGTACAGTGTACAGTACTGTATAGCTAAAGAGCGTAACCTGTCCGGCTGTCCCTCTTTCTCTTCTTTGTCCGGCTGTGCCCCCTTTTTTCTTCTTTATTACTTTATTACTGTACTGTATACTGTAGTACACTACTGCTAGTACAGTATAGCCGTAAAACCTGTCCGGCTGTCCCCCGTTACTGTACAGTGTACAGTGTACAGTACTGTACGAGCGATGCCAACCAATGACATTCTGATTGAACCGTTTTGAATTTGATCTCAACAGCACGACGGTTACGCCTTGAAGCATAGTACTGTAGTTTAGCCTACACAGTACTGTATAGTACTACACTCTTAGCCTTATACTACAGTACAGTATACTGCACTGTATATCACACTTGACGTCGTGTTGTAGGCGGCATTTTCGAATTCTACCAAGACTCGATAGAGCTGCCTAATTTCTTCAATAACTTTTGCTCCATTTGATGAGTAAAATTAAGAGAGAACTCCTGCAAAAGCCACAGAAATAATCAACTACAATTGTGTAAGTATCATGTACAAATGGATCAAGAATGGCAATACTAATATGTCTTTGCTATCCAATGAATTACGTGATGATGATTGATACACTTTCAACTCCATGCAGTCATACTATTGGATTTTAGTTCAATTCATGCCTACAACATGTTATTCAGGCTAATTCAGCAATGTCAGTATTCAACCAGTGATTTTCAATCTTTTATTTTAGATTATGCAATTCTACAGTTAACGGTGTTTTAAATCGACTACTTGTAACCTGAATTGTTTTTGTTCTCTGAACGATCAGCTACAGCAGAACTTGAATAAATGTCAATGCATGATGTAAACAAAACCAAAAAATGATTTCGCTAGTGCAAGTAGCCCATTAGTTTCATGAAATGGTGTTGTTTTTTCCCCAGCATGTATACAGATGGATGTGTATATCAGCACCAAGATATATATGTAGAATAGTATTATCCAAGTTGTTATACAACAGTCACTAATCAAATTTAAATTATTTAAAATTAAAATTTGAAGAATTGGAAAATGCCCAAGAGGAAAGCCACCCAACAAGTTCAAGATGTCTCGACAGCACATGAAAGGCCCAGCTGCACTCAAAGCCAGCGCCAAAACGAGGTTTTGTATCCCTGCTACAATGAGACTGCTTTATTAGCATAGCTTAATCAATCAATCAATGATCAGATAGATGATGCTTGTATTCAATCTTGCTAAGGATATCATTATAATCCAATTGAATACCGATATACATATTCTATAGTGTACCATTTCATTGAGTAAGACCAGTCTCTCTACAAATCATGCTAAATCTACTTTATTGCATTGCATGTCTTGATACTCGATTCAACTGATATAATACAATAATATATTCTATCCAAACTCTACGTACGCCATAAAGCAATCTATAATTCTACGATACATAGTTGTAGTTACAACTAAAACATCGATAACTATCATGGCTGTACATGATTAAGAAGGAGCTCATAATAGAATGGAAATCTCCTTATCATGAATCATAAAGCGTATCTTAATCTGAGTAAGAATGATGCACTTACATTGGTATTCTAATGCTAAAAATTTCTAGGCCGGACTGTTACTAAACGTAACGCTAAAGCAACGGCTGCATCGACAATAATGCCTGTTGCCGGTGGTCCTTTTATCGATAGCCCTCCAAAACTCCCTACAGTTGAATGTCCTAAACCGATGACAAGACCAGTGGCCAAACGCGCTGTACCTACTCAAACCAAACCTACCTCGGTCAAGCCTGATCGTGTCAAAACTAGCAAGGCTAAGATTGCTCCTGTTAAAACTACTAAGGCTAAGCCTGCATCAATCAAGGTTAGCACCATTACTACCAAGTACTTTGGAATCCTTTTAGCCTAAGTAATGCGTAAAAATCAATATATATCGTAGTTTGTTATCCAATATCAGTAGCAACCATCACACGATAGTGTAATTTCACAAATATGGATACATACAATAGTATTGCTTGCTCCATCGGATGTGCTTCCCCCAAAATAATTGTTTTATATTAATTTTCAACTTGTTTGCAAAGTATAATATACTGTATCAATCAATATCTTCCTAAATCGAATCATTACTGTCATTGCGAGATTGACATTAGGATTAGTATTAGTTTCTAGCCATTGACAGAATATCGGTAGGCAATGATTGGCTATACTATCAAAAGCTCAGCCTTTTTAAAATCGACTGATATTTACTTCTTCTTACAAGAAGAAAGTTTGTAAAGAGCGTAAAAATAAGACTGGATACTATAAAGCGGAACTAATGCCTGAAGGTCTCGAATTAACTGACTTGCATAAAACCAAATGGAACTTGGGCAAACAAATTGGAATAGGTGGCTTTGGAAGAATCTATTCAGGTATTTGAGCAAATAACACGTACGGTATTGGTGTAAACAATAAATAGATGTTCAGAAGGCCAAATTACTTTACATACTGTAAATAATAATACGTTATACAGTACTCGTATAGAAATAATTAAACATTCGTATGTTACGAATAGCTTCAATTAGTCTGCATATCAACCGGTATCGTTGTCATATTGTGAGTATAAATTAGATAACCTTTAATAATTAATTGGTCATCATTTGAATGCCCTATCTTAAGCCTCGAAAGCCTGTGACAGAAAGTTGAATGGTACTGACGGACAATATGTGATAAAAATCGTAAGCTTACTGCCGACATTTTTAATTTTTAGCTCTTACTGCTACGTATTCTTTTGTATCACAGTTATAATTACGAAAAATATTCATTTCGTAGGAGCCTAAATCTAATGGACCCCTATTTGTAGAAATTCATACTTACTTACAGCTTATGCTCAAAAATGGTGAGTTGAAAAAATCTAGTCAATTTCTTCAAGTATTGACTTTTTACTCTTTATTAATATGTATTCTTGCTTTCAATACATGTTGATATTATTATTAGTAACACTAGAGCATAAATTTTAAATGTGGATTTTGTAAAAAGCTCACACTGTAGTCATTGTACATTAGAATCATGTATTCTGTATTTGTATTTTTATAGTCGACGATTGGAAAGAGTATACTGGACTTAGTCATCTTGGGTTGCCTCGCTTTGTTGGCCATGGTCGCCATGTTTACAATGGTACTGAATGCAGATTCTTAGTAATGGAAAGGCTAGGAAATGATTTAGATTTATTATTCGAAAAAAGGCGAAGTGATTTCACTCCATCTACTATCTATAGTATTGGGATAACGATGGTAAGCCAGTAATCAATTCTTGCCAACAACTGTTATCAATTATCCTGTTGGGATATGTAATACGATGAAAGTTGGAAAGCATCGCACTAATTGTCTTTGATGGTCTAGTTGAATGCTTTAGAGTATATTCATAAGCATGGATATATACACGGAGATATTAAAGGATCTAACATTCTTCTTGGATTTAATGAAGAAAATTTAGATAAGGTAATTTTGATTAACGATTAAAAAAGTGACTTGACTTGCTATCTAAGTAGTCTAGTTACATAGTCGTTGATGAGCCACTTCGTTGTTAAGTACTGAAAGTCATTATTTATTAGTTCTGTAAGCTTTATAGTATTCTCATAGTAAGGTAAAATAGCTAAATAGCATTGCAAAACAACTTGTACAACATTGCGTTGATTTTATGCAATTATTCTCTATTCCCACTGCAATTCTACTGATGGATGTTATACACTGCATGACGATAGGATTACGTCCTTAAGGCTCGTGCTAATAAAGATAGTATTAGGGCAAATAATACATAATGACAATTGTACTATCATTGATATCTCAATAACTAAATATTAAATGCACCAAGACTGTTAACACTGTCGCTATGCTGTTAATCTTTCAGTTATACAAAATGAAATTTTGTTATTTTATCGTCAGGTCGTTTTAGTCGATTTTGGTATCGCTCAAAAATTTATTCATAATGGAATACATAAACCTTACATCGAGGATAAAAAAAGGGCGCATGATGGAACTATTGAGTTCACAAGTCGAGATGCGCATCTTGGAGCAGGTACTTGGTCGGGACGGTATCTTAAAATTATATTACTGTCTTGCTTTGCTATCTACGTTATCATATTTTGTGTCTGCTACCTGTAATCGAATACAGCTATAAGCTAATTTATATTCTTACTCCACTAAAACCAACTCTTTTGTAGTACCATCACGTCGTAGTGATTTGGAGATACTTGGTTACGTTATGACGAGATGGTTATGTGAAAAATTGCCTTGGGAAGATAATCTTACAAATCTAGAATACGTAAAAAATGAAAAGTTAAGGTAAGGTAGCAATATAAAATTTTCCATGGTTGCGTGAAATTAGAGTTTTGGCGTATTCAATTTATACAGATATTGTAGAGATATCAAAGTTTTCATGCGTGATTGCTTTCAACACACCCAAAGAAAGAATGAATGCCCTGGTAATATATGTTTTGTTTATATTACTCTCCTAGTTCACGCCGTAATATTTAGTACTAGCTACGATTTAGTTAGTCACATTTGTTTTATCCCTTAAATTCAAGTTTATGCTGTAGATTTACTTTTGTCTTTGGATATGTTATCTTATAGAAACTCTTGAGCGGTATATGCAATATGCAGTAGGTTTAGATTACAAAGAAGAACCAGATTATACTTATGCAAGAAATATCCTTCAGAGTGGAATGAAGAGGAAACCCGTCAAAGGACTCTCAGCTCGTCGCACGAAAATTAAATAGCCTGTATTAGCTTAACTAAAATCTGTCTTTTGTTATTGTAAGATAAATGGTTACTGCCGCAACCTCACGTAGTTGTCACTTACTTTGAGCAACATATATGTTATACAAGCTAATATTTACGTCAACCAGTTCACTACCACAAATATTTAACTATTGCCAAAATAACTAATATAGGTTGTATTACCGTACATGATAACGGTAAAGAATATATAGTATCTTATTCCGTTGGTTTCTAACAGTTCTAAAGATGTTTGTTATTTTAGCACAAGTTAAATAATATTAAATCTTAATAAAACGATTAGTTATTTTTGTACAAGTAGAATAGAATTCCATTATTTACTTCCTCTAATTGTTAAATTGCCTTTCAAAGTGTCACTTAATATTATAAGAGAAGTATTCTAAAGTTCGTCTATCCCAATCAACCGAGCTAATTATCAAATCTTTTCTTTCAATTAATAAAATTAATAAAAAATTTCAAATTTTAGCATATATATTTGTAATTTTATTTTGGGGACTTTGGTATTTAGTAATCAAATATAAGGCGATCCAAATATCAATTTTACCGGAAGCTATTATACAAAGGTCAATGTCAATATAATGTTTTCTTACCCGAAAATTTACAGTGTAAATTTAATATAAGCTTGTATGTCCGTACCTTATATCTCTATGTAATAGAATTTATACTATATATTCATGAATGATAATATAGGCGATCTATTTTTCCATCTTTTATATTAGGAAACATTTATAAGCATAGATATAATTCTTTAAATTCTTTTGTACTCTAATAGTTCATACAGATTATAATTTTGATAAATTTTAATAGTCTGCGAGGCCGGTTCCTCTGTATCAAGTGGGTAAATAATGACTGATTTTCATAGATGTAAACATTCTGCGATAAATAATCTTAGAATTTTGTTCAAATTATCAATGGTATTCCAATCTAAAGCGGTTGCGTCATCTTCGTAAGTGTGCCATGCATCCGGAAAAGGTGTAGAAATAAGATGAAGAGCAGGTACGCCTAGTAATGCATAGTACATTGTATGCATATTAAGAAGTGATACAATTTCCGAATAAACATACAATATCTAATTTTGATTAAGAAATAATTTTACTACAAGTTAACAATCTAATCAAAGCTATTGATGCAAGCGATGTTTCTATTAATATATTTCAATTAAAATGAGCATTTCGTATGTGCGAGTAATACATAACCTAGAGTATCAATAAAGATCACTTTCGAAAACTTCATAAAATAGCACGATGCACAGTAAATACTGTAACTACGCTGGAGCAAAATGAATAGCCGTAATCACGAAGTACATTAATCAGCTATTTTATAGTATAAAGTTACACAATTATTATCAGCTATAAGGAAGGTAACACGATAATACTCGAGTTTAGAGTCAATACTAGACACTAATTAATTTTTACTATATACCTAGTTATTGTAGGTACAGTACAAGACATACATATAATGTTATTCGCTAGTCATACCTCGAGATACGAATGGAGCATGATCGTCTGCAACACCTAAGGGCCTATTAAGCAAGTTGCCGACAAAATACTGTGGATGAGGATATAACTGCTTCCGTAGGCGTTTTTCTGGTATAAAATAATTATATTTTATTGATATGTAGAAATTGACATTACTTATAATAAAGAACATTCATATTACCAATATTTTGCATCTTTTCAAAATATTGCGAAGTAGCTGGATAACCGTTATAAAATCTCATCTGTTTGCTTCCAATTAAATCGAGTAATACCAAAGCGCGGATAGAGTCCAGCTTTGTACCAGTGGCCTCTTCGTAAAATTCAGCTAAATGACGGGAGCCATACAAGGAATCTTTATCTGACCATTCAACAAAGGCTTCCTCACCATCGAAAAAGATAAGCTCCAAAGTGACATCTTTGTTCTAAAGCAGATCAATTATGACAAAACCGACTTCTTCTTAAATACACATGCAGCAAAAATATTAACAATATTGCACCAAGACCGTAAAATATCAGGTATAAAATATAACTTTTCAGTTTTCGATGAGGCATAAACTTACTCTCTTTCTCGCTTTCAGATGACTACTTAAGGCAGTAGCTGCATCGATCATCATAGCACATGGAGCTGCAGAGTCGATAGCACCCAAAAACGATTTTCCGGTTGGAGATATTTTAAAATATTTCGAGTCATAATGGCAGGCAAGAACAAATTTTTCCTTCGCTTTTGGATCTAGCGTGGCAATAATATTAGTAAATTGTACAGTGCCATATGGGGTCTCATCTTCAAAGCGATCCAGCCGAACGTTCCAGTCTAACTTGTTCATCGTAGTAGCTATATACTACAGAAAGTTTAAAAACAATATTATGATTGGATACGTAAATATGCACTTTACGGTACCACTAGATACAGTAAAGAAATGACATAAAAGATGAAGACATGCTTTATAGGTACCTATACAGTACATATATACAGACATGTAACTGTATATAAACAAAAATTAGTATAGTAATTTTTGTTTTAAGGTAATAGTATACCGTAATTTAATGTTACTCTTACTACCATGTTAATAATTTTTTAACTGTTTTAGTATCAGGTTTATTACTTTATGTAGATATAATTAACCTATTTCATATGAACGATTGATTTTAGTTTAAGAATTACGAAACCTAGCCTTAATCACCTCTACATCCCCGATCGTTTGATATTTTTGTTATTTGATAAATAGTACAAGTCTTAATAAGGTCACATTGGTGATGGTAAAGCTGTACAGTGTTTTAAATGACAAGAAGTACGGTTTTTGCGATTTTTACTAACTAAGTTGTAGCATTCATATAAAACAATAATTTCTTATAAATACTGTGATGGCTATATGGACTCCTAGAAGATCTAACATAATGTAAATGTCCAGTTGTTCCAGTACATTATTCCTAAAACTGTATATACTATACAGTAATTCTGGGGGTGGCGGTACGATAGGGTTGATGCAATCTATGAATATGCCATTACAGCTTGTAGTATTATTAAATTAAGCTAAGTTAAGTTCAGCTAACTAACTTAGCTTAGAACAAGTTATAATTAATCATTGAGCGTAAGAGTCAAAGAGCGCTTTGAACCCCGCATATAATTAATCTGGCTTTTTCAAGATAGGATTAAATAAGTTCAGTCCGATGTTACAATAACTGTTAGATACCCTAGTTAAAATCTTAAAAATATAACAAGTCAGGGTTAACAATACACGTTATATACGAATACAATTCGGAAATTTTTATGCCAATCATCATTGATCCAAATTTTATTAATAATTAAAGTTATCAACTGTAGATAATTAGATGAATGTACTAGATAGCATTTTGTGCACTAGCATTGTCAAGGGTAAAAAGCCGTGTGTTTCATCGATGAATAAAATACCGTACCATTCTTTCTCTTTTTCATTAATTTACAACAGCTGCCGTTTAACAATACTTGATAAATCAATAATGATATTAAGTCTAACCATTATTTTTACATCTAATATATTAATATTTATTCATGATATTATTATTATTGTTATTTTTAGCACAGTGTCGACTGCGATTCCAAAAAGGACAGGCAGAATGCACAACGCTGTACTGTGGTGTACTCTTATTGTAAATATTATGACCGTTATTTAAATATCAATCTAGAATATTTGTTAGCCCACTGCTCACAAGACGTAGAGTCCAGTGGTATTTTGTGGTGCGATAGGTAGTACAGTATAATATTGACTGTATAAAGAAGTAAATTAAAAATCGCCGACAAATCATTCATTCATTACAAGTATTGTAATTCGAAATTACTATACAATATCGATAGAAATTTATTTCTCGTACTGCACTGCAATACTGTACACAAGTGAGTGTATATCCTGTTACGTAGTAAACAGAACGGAACAGTATTGTTAAGTGTATGATACTCTAAAGTAAATTATGAGTTTGGAATATATCAAGAATATACAGATAGAGTACTGCACGTAGATACTAATTAACAGTATTCAGTAAAATATCTTACAACTTTTGGCATACAGCTAGAGATGCCCAACTTTTATTAGCGATCTAAATCTAGGTGGGAGAGATGTAACGAGGTATAATTTTATTGTAAATTTGTTGATGTACATCTACTGTACTACATCACGAGACTGTACCCGGGATTAGTGTCTTCTTTTTTTCCTTAATGCAGTACTACAGTGTAATATAGTTGTCGGCATTCATTAATAATTTATACTCGTGAAATAGTCTATTTGATAAAAATGGACGGTATATGCCGGAACAAATTTGCGTATCATAACACCGTCTAGTCTACTGTATATAATTATTTCCAATTATTATACCATTATACGATACATCATGATTGACAGATGGCTCGTCAAGAGTCGTATCAGCTTTAATGAGAGGGAGAAATTCTTAACATTACGGTATTTTCCTAGTACACCCCTATTTTAATTAATTGCATTACTTTATAGCTGAGAATACCCGTAAGTACTGAATACGAATACTCGCACTTGAAATTGAATTACGTTAGGCAACACTTAGAACTGCCGTTTTTAATTCTAACCCTTAATGCATGGCTTAATAATTATAATCTACTCTCCCGTTTAATATATAACAAAATGCTATCGAATAATCTATTAGTAATCCATGTACAAAATACCTTAAACTGGAACTAGCTATGACTTACAGTTAATTAGAGTAATATTATACACGTAGCTTTCCCCAGACATAAGCTAATCCAAGTCTAAATATCGAGGTTACATTAAGAACCGTTGTTCTTATCGAGATTTGTAATAGTAATGAAGTAGTATGAATGTGACCTAGGATATTGCCACCATTCATTCAAAGGATCGAATCTTTATAAAACACTAGGCTAATCTTCAGTAGAAACTATCGTAGCAAAATATCTATTGATTTATAGCTTTTGATGATTTCTAAACGTTAATTTTGATCATTAACTAAGTCAGGGACTACTGTACTGACTAAAGGATAGATTTAATAACGTTTGTAATTTATAAACTCGATAATATGTTTGTCATTAATAAGTTTGATGATAGTAATTGATATTGAAATAAATTTTCATTTGTACATGGGACGAAGCTATCAAGCAATCCATTATTAGGCTATTATTAATTTGCGATAAACCCCCCAAAAAGAAGGGATTATACCCTTGATTTCTGTAGTCGAATTAGCAATGACCGTATTAGAAGATCAGTATTGCTACCATCATCTTATGCCCTATTGGCAAAATGCTGTACTTGTCTTAGAAGATTTTTAGTAGATACTCGGTAGAATATAGTACTCGTATATGGTATAGAAGTATCGTCATGTTGACGCATCAATATTACCAAGGTACGATATTGAAATAACGTTGGATGTGACTTTTTAAAATAAATTTATCCTACATAACTTATGTATCAAATTTTTACCCCTGCTAGCAGCAGTAAGTAAGAAGATTTACTACTGTAAGTAAGATTTTGATAATCATTTTTCTACTTCCTTTGATGTCTATTACTCTTTGATTCTAACCTTTTGTACAGCCAAGTATTGATTATTCGGTACCATCGATATTGGCAAACCAGGAACGCGAACTTTCAAAATGTTTCGTAAAATAGAATTGAAGCGATTCTGATCGGATAAATCAGCAATTCTCTGTGCACGACTGGAGGATAGTGTTGCCATCTTGTAGCGGCGCTGGTCCCAAACAAAAATCCCCTTATCAATAAGTCATTTTTAACGAGCATCAAAAAAACAACTGGACCGAAAAATTGAAGTCCATCTAAAATATTTCTACTTCATTCATTCATTGTTGTATGATGGAAATTGAGCATGAAATAGTTTTACTTTCAATAGAGTAGAGTACAGTATGCTTCCATTTCGTACCTGTGTAGCACCAGCAGCATCTCCATCGATAACGTAGACGAAGGAAAGTAGGAAGAAAATACATAAAATCACGATTATTGCCCTTGCCATAATACCAATTCTAGTATGCTTTTGATTGCAAATAATTATAGGTAAACTGATAAGCTTGATCGCTTTCATACGATATATATAGAATATATAAATATCTCGCTGTATACTGTATATAGAAATTAGCTCCAATTCGTCATATCCTGCTCTGTATCACGTCACAAAACGTCCAAGAATAATCGCGTTATTGCAGTATTGGGTGTTTACAGTGCAGCCTATGTCTGTCCATACTGCAAGTCCGTCACAGTTCCAGACTTGCTGTCCATCCAGTACACATCAAGTTTTCACCAGTCGTTGTGTACAGTATGACTGATTCTAAAAAAAAATGATGCGTATCCTAGGGCTAGCGTACAGTACTGGACTGTATGCTCTGATGAGGGAAAGTTGTACAGTATGTGTAATATGATTTCTTGCAATACACAAAGATGGATGTTCAAGATGGTGAGAGGATGAAGAGCAGATTTATTGGTAGATTGAGAATGAACGCACATAGGTAGAATGTTCGAGAGACATCGAGGAGGAGGCTACGACCTGATGGAACAGAATATGAATCTATCTATATCATACTGTATAATTTATACGTAGGCAGCTAGCATCTTTCAATAAATAATCTCATTATCATTATGATCGCAGCGCTTTGCAATATCAGTCTAGTGATAGGCATTTAGAGGTCATGTTAAAAATTTCATTATAGCGATTGGAATGAAAATAGGATCATCAAAGGCGATGATTATTAATCTCCAAATTTCAATTTACATCACGCTGAATTGCAATTAATTATAATGTGAGTGAATACTACGATAAGTTGATGTTGGTTACATTGTATATTCGACAATCGAGTCGTTATATGACAGTTTGTAGTATACAGTGCAACAACAGAACTATATTCAGTATGGATTGTAATGAACAAAACTTGGAATTTTTCCTTTATTGCATGAACTCACAGACAATTTCTTGAACACATATTGAACCGTGCAATCGCTTCTTGTATCAACTCTGCGCTCATATCCTACTAATGATCGGTATTAGAGGACATAGTAAGCACGTACGAGCAATTATTAGTTCAATTGACGTTATTTCCGGGATCGTAGAAGCACACCGACTACGAATTGACCTAAAGTTAAATGATTTCAGAATCGGTGTTAAATTAAGTTTGGAGGTATGCATGTCCACTGTGCAGTGTACAGAAAGCTCCGCGCTTCAACTTAGTTAGGCACAGGATACGCCATTCTCCATGATCGCGATCATGGAGAACGGCGATTGAAGGTAGCGTGCAGTAAAGGCCTGTGAAAATGTCATGTCTTACTCCGAAAAATAGTGTTTTTCAATTTCTGATAATTGTGAAATGCCTCTGACGAGTATAATTAATTAATTAATTAATTATATAATTATCGAACAGTCACAAGAGAGAAATAGACTATGCTTATGAAATTGAAATTTGAACTAATTTTCGAAGCCACTCCTCGAGATTGATCTGTCCGGATATTGTACTGTACAAGTGTACGTTAATGTAGGTGCTCCATAAACGACATTTTGTATTGTACAGTATGAATAAAATAGTGATATACAGTGTACTGTACGCTATTGGTATAAATCCTTCCAGTCCACAAGGGTAATTTCTCTTTCTTTCTGGTTAAGCGAATTCGCTAGTGATACCAGGGAATGACATGCTCGTAAACAGGGTATACTACAGTATATCTAGCAACTGAATAAACATGGAAGTGAATTGTGGCTGCATGGAAAGATTTCGGTCCGTTATATACGATATATATGAATGTCTAAAACGAATGAGTGAACTTGTTTGCCTCCACTACGGTATTATTGCATTCTGAAGTGCACTAACTCATAGTTAGTCATAAGAGGAGCACGTGGCGGCAGCGGAAGCAAACACTACTTTAGAATCTTGAGATACATATAAAATGCCGCATTTTTACGCCTACGAGTATATCAAATTCTCTGATCTACACTACTGTACTTCAAAAATTTTCACCAAGGAATCATCCATTTTGATTGTAAAAGTGTACTTCATAAGAATGAGCTGCAGCCTGCAGCTGTCGATAGCGCCATATACATCAGGGTTCTCTGCTAGAAACAATACAATTACGCCCATCAAAATCATATTTTGAAATACATGATGATTTTAATAGCAAATTCATATATACTGCTAATACAGGAATTAGCCACTTGATAGAGTGCTGTTTGCCTTATTATATGAGATTGAACGCTGCTAATGGGGATGTAAGTTGAGATCATGTAACTGTAATAAATTACTCTGTCAATTCATAAACACTAGTAGAATTCACGCTCATTCTACTGTAATTCATGCACTGTGTACACTTGCACTTTTTACGTTAGACGTAAGCACGCGCCTATTTATTCAATCCGTCGTAAATGTAGTAATTCATTTCATAGACTATTTTATTATCTAGCGCCAAAACCCTTGATCTAATAATGAAATATTCTAATGTTATTATCTTTTAGTATTTATAGTAAGAATTAATACAATGTAAATTTTCTCTTTATCTAACTTTATTAAAATTAATGGCATACTAATGAAATACTGCAACTGGTTTAAATTAGTCAGAAATACAGTAATGTCAGCGTAAGGTAATACTATAGCAGTATAACGAAAAGATTTTTAGATTGTAAATGCAATTACCGTACTAATGAATTGTACATATGGCTATACAAAGTTCAAATGAAAAGAACTACCAGCTTCTAGGCGTTTCCTTTTTTTATATGATAGTGATGTTTCTTTTCATAGTAGTATTTTATTCCTCCTCCTTCGTCCTAGTGAAAAATTGACGACAATGAATAGTATATATTATCTTGACATCTTTTACATTGGTATCAATTGATAAAGAAGGATTGAGCTAATAATAACTACCATGCATGAGTGATGACAGTATCACTATATTCACCACAACCCAATATTCGATCAAGGGTTCAAGTTGACAATTTACATGCATACAAAATTGGAGTTTATTTGGAAATTGTAGTGTGCCTTCATAGCAGACAATCAATTGAGTTACTGCTCAGTCTATGCGTATGGACTTTTAGCGAGCACATAGTATACAGTACAATGATAATGATGATCAATCTTCTAATAATAGTTACGAATAGCCTCCCGACGACACCATGGAAGGGAAATCCGGAGTTCTTCAAAATAATCTAAAATTAGTTAGATTCTCCAATGATTTTCATTGTGATATGTAAGTCAATATTATTGAGTGATTATAATTTTATAAATGAAGTATTATAATAGTTGAACAATAGGCGATGTGGCTGAATATTCTCTATGAAATCTCGAGCATGGTGATCTTTCTTATTTTAGGATTGATATAAAATATCCTTATGATGATGATGTTGAGTGAAACAGCAGATTCAATTTAATTTAATCATCACGCTAAACTCTTCCAACTTGAGTAAGCACAATTAGTTATAAAAATGAAAGATCCTATTTACTGGAGCGACTAGAATTATTAACGAGTTTTGTACATGATGTCTCCGATTTCTCAAATGAATGCACTTCAATGAGGCATAGTCGGTCAGCAGCGCGACGGATTGTATACTTAATTACTAAAGCATGAAGATAAACAAACAGATACGATGGTTTACGTAGAGTCTGTATACAGTACTGTACAGAAGAGACTGGTGTAAAATGTTGGGGAGTTTCAAGTGGGAGCGGTCTCTCTCTAGATAGAAAAGTCATTACCATCGATTATAGCAAAGTAAACTGTATTCCAGTGTAAGGCTGGGCGTACAAAATGCATTCATTAAGGGAGGAGGGATTTAGTGGGAACTGCCTAATCTTCAGACGTACAGTACTGTAGGAACTTTCAGTGCAGTTGTTCGTACAGTACTGTACAGTATAACACTCTACAGTCTACAGATCGTAGCACTGTACTGTAGTACTACAGTGTACAGTACTGTACAGTACCGATGAAGTTTGGACAGTCCTGGACTGTGCTATTGGCCTACAGTACAGTACAGCGGTACCGTACCCTACTGTAAAAGGTACTGCCTATACTAAACACTTGAAATACTGTACTGTACTATATGTGGCTAGTCTGTTCCACTAACGATTGGCAAACTTGCACTCCCTTTTGGTTGGGACGTCGCGTTATTGACGAATAATTATCATTTTATTGAATGCTATAGTTGTATATTGTAAATATAAGTGAAATCAGTTTCAATTGTAGTTCATCGTTATATTGTATACAAGGTAGGTTAGTACAACCCCTACTATTGGCAACAAGCAGCCGATGAAGATTGTCAGGTAAGAATCCAACGCTACCCTTGTTGATTGGTGAATTGTACTGCATTGAAAATAATCATAATATTGCCTGGCATATGCGACTATTTCTGCAGGTTCTTGTTAGTCGATGATACTAGTCATCATTTTAACATGCTTCCATTTTAGTCTCATTTTCTTGTTGGTATCATCAACGTCCATCCTAGAGGTACTCCATTGATGTTAGACACTTTTACAATACGGATATCATCCATAGTATCGTTAATATTTAGAATCAATACGGTCGGGATAAGCGTACTTATCGCTGGGTCAATGGACAACGTTTGTATCATTCATTTCAAGTAGTAACAATTTGGGGATAATTTACAACGATAAACATAACCAACAAATGGTAGAAGAGATCTACCATACTATACTACACTTCAACATGAACATTTTTCATTATAAACAATCGTCATAGTCTACTCGATAGACTCGTCACCAATGCTCTCCACGCTTTCTTCATCTGCTTACAACATTCGATGCCTTCGTCCACAAGGTCGATATGTTTACAATTGTAAGATAATACAGTATACCGTAGTATGACGACTGTACTATGTTATAACGATTCTAAAAAAATAGGAAATTACTTATTTAAATTGATTCATTGAGTTAAAGGCATAACGCGATATCAATATTATAGTTACTCCTTGTATCACTTGTTCGCCCGACTTGAAGACCACATGCTAGCTGCATATCGCTTTCCTACAGGACAGTACAGTCAAGTAGATGTTGCTCCTACGTATGGTACTGCCAGTATACTGTCTTCAGTAGAAAAACATGAATATTCAGCATATTGATTTGCGATGACAGGGATTCTTGACCATAGTCTACGAATCTTATAGTTTAGGGATCCTGTATGTACGATTGATCAAGTGATGACTAAAGGACAATCTTCGTACTGTACAGTACTGGACGTCAATAATGTTGATAAAGCATTGTATCAATAATTATATATTGAAATTATTCATCACTTATTCAATCATTACTGGATGATCTTAATGTAATCAAGTACTTTTCTACAAATTGACAATGATCTACAAGCTGTACAAACAAGAATCCACCTTCAATGGTGCTCTAATAATCGACTGCATATTGTAGAGTAGACTTGAGTAGCCACGATTAGAATCGCAATCTACCACCACGGCAATTTTAGACCTATACGACCGTCGTATTGTTACTTAATTATAATTAAACAGCCTGAGGACATACCATTGAATGGAAGAATTAATTGATTACACAAATTTGTTGATCTATGATATAGCGGATAGTCTTTGATACTAATGATAATTATTATTCGATCGTGCATATTGAATTTATTTTAGCTTTGATTGAAACTGAAGCATTACGAAAGGGATATAATAGCCCGACTAAAGAGAAATTAGCCCACTTCTTACAGCCTGCCAATTAGTCCGCACCCACAATGTCAGTCCTACTTAATGGTGAGAAAAGCTACGTCGATGAGAAAAAAGAAGATGAACAGAGTACTTTATCTATAGATAAAAAACGCCAAGGAAATAACAAAAACGAGTTTAATAAAAATGTGGATCAAATCGCTCAAGTTAGCAATATTGTTATCAACTCCAAACAGGAAGAGAAAATCTTACATTCCTTGGAGCAGTCCTATTACTCAATATTAAATACTATCCCTGGTGAAGATGTCACTAGACAGGGGATTTTGAAAACACCAAGTCGTGCTGCCAAAGCGATGTTTTATTTTACCAAAGGATATAGAGATAACCTGAACGGTAATACATATTAACTTGAAAAATCACCTCTTACCCAATGCTAATTACTATCTCTTTGTAACAAGTTAAAATTTATTTTACCACAGATTCGAATCGATCATCAATTCAACAGTGTACGGTAGCATAGTTCAATGATTTACATTTACTATCATAGCATTGATTTCATCATAAATTTTTAATTTATTACATTATCGTCCTTCCTCGCTTAATAATGATAGACAGCGTACATTCTCATCACTATTCATATAATCATTCCTACTGCACAGCGCTGATACTTCGATATGCAATATGCTGTCGGAGAGGTCGTAAACTTACCTCTACAGTTGATTTATATGTTGAATTACCGTCATAACCTATCTATGATGACATTAGCTATGTGTTATTACTGATATACAAATATTTTGAATTATATCATAAACAATATGATGACCTACCTTTTTATGCAATCATCAGCTAAATTACTTCATTTTATAATTTGCGTAAGGTATGTTAACTACACAGCCTATATTGTTGCCAGTAATTGATAGGCTATCAAAAATTATCTTTTACCATCATATTTGCGCGCTATGATTATTTAAGGCGTAAGATACAGAATCATGTTAATCTCTCCAAAAGCTGATAACTACCAATTACTATCCACTACTGTGTCTTTACACTGCATTAAGAGTAGTACAGTAGTAAGTTACATCTTATATTAATTATTGCAATACAGTGCCAATAATGGAAGTAGCAACTTTGCCATACTATCAAATTATATTATTTATGCGACATTCGGATGTGATCTTAGAATGTTCATCTACATGTTGCAAGTTTGTATTGTCTGTATTCACAACTTTCATCATATAAAAAATATGAATGGCGATCGAATCATTAATCTGCCATGCTAATCTCTAGAGTATGTCATGCTTGATCGCATATTTGCTTGCACGCTGCACAGGCTACTAACAATACTCGTATCTATATATGTGCAATGTATTGATAGGATTAATATTATCTAATTATACATAAGCTTGGTAAAATTAGCTTCATTACATTCATCTTTCGAAAGCAAACCTAATGATTCAAAATTTATTGAATGGAACGTTACGTATTATCTTTTACTAAATTTTAAGACTAAAAAATATTTTGAAAGTGATCTTCAATAATCTTCATGTATATTTATTGCGTTACTTGCAATTAATGAGACTAAATAGAGGAACTTCTAGATAATAAGGTTGGGAGAATAGCTTTTACAGTGTAACTATTAAAATTATGCAGCAAGTTGATTAGTGTTCAGTATTATATCATATATGCGATCGCAACGTAGCGATACAATGTGAAGAGGATGTTGCCTATTCATTGTTGCTATCAATGAATTTTAATATTACAGACGCTTTGCTCACTAATGAATCCTTATTAATTTTCTTTTATATTTCCATTACATGATCTTAACAGAGCTGATTAATGATGCACTATTTAATGTTGATCACGACGAAATGGTCATTGTTAAAGACATCGAATTTTTTTCATTATGCGAACATCATTTGGTTCCATTTTACGGCAAGGTAAGAAGGATTATTCTAATTACAGATAATTATCGTCATCAGTGATTAATAGCTACTTGGATCGTGCGTTATGCATCATAATTAGCAAAGTGTACTATTCATTAACGCTTGCAAAACAATAATTTTTCTATCTGTAGAACTATACGTAAAGATTTTGTTTACTACATTTATTTACATAACTTGCGACTACGCTGTATAAATAAATAAATCATCCGTAAATGTACGACCTTATTTACTTTATCATTTGAATATTGTACAATGAATGATATGCGAACTCTTTTATTATATAGCTTAGGAATAATCCTTCTCTAGCATTTCTAAATCATCACTTGCTCATCATTGATATCACCATTAATTGAATTACTAACATGCTCGATTATTACCAGATGCATAGACCTACTACTTAATACTCCGTGAATCTCGTTTCTATCGTTTCTCAATTGGCCAATGTTGGCGTCTCACGGTCTTTTTGTATAGATATGCTGCATCTTATTAAACAGTATAGTATACATACTGCATCAAGCACGATCTTTATTACAACCAGTACTGATGTAATATTTTACTTATTAATAACCTGATGGTAGCATTACTTAGACAAATATCAAATCTATAGAAAGCTTTATAACATCTTAAACTGCACATCTTGTTTTCAATACCAAATTGATGGCCTACGCATGCAACAAATTATGTATTGTAAACACCACTCATGGTTCAGATCTGTATTTCGCCAATTGGGTCCACTATTAATTGCAAACAAATTATTGTTTTTTTATCGTAAGAATAGCAAAACAAATCACGATTTCTATGTATATATTCCAAACCTCATTTATGTAATAGTAGAATACAATGAGAACTCCTTTTAATAACTGTAACAATCTAGTAGGCGTAACGAATTCTAATACAATCAAAATTAGATTAGACAAGCCATGAATGTTAAAACAACCAGTAATTTCAAGTATTTCATAATTAATCCTAGCAATTTGAATAGGTGTTTTTGGCTTTTTCTCTCAAGCACGACTTTTTTTCCTTCAATGTTGTATCTTTTGCTTCAATATCATGTAGAACGAAGTTTCGATATTGGAAATTATTAATTTAACCTGCTACATTTTAATCCTCTATACGATATGTTTATGAATTTTTGTCATGGTTTTGTTTGTATAGGTTCATGTAGGCTATTTACCAAATAGACAAGTTGTTGGTTTAAGTAAAATTGCAAGGTATAAACTCAAAGTATTATCTAAGACCGAAAAAAATAATCCTACGTAGCGACACTGGAGACATTTAACTCTTCAGTATGATAATAGCGCTAACAAATTACATTAAAAAATATTGTTTTATTAGCATATTCCGCAAATCGTATGTAAACAGTACTCTAATTTCTTCTAAGTTGATACTATAATTTAATCATCCTACACTTGATTTTTCTGTCTATGTGATAAAATGAAAATACGAAATGGGTAGAATCATTGAAATGTATAGCAGACGATTACAAGGTAATGTAAATGTGGTACTATTTGTTTCTATGCATATGTGATCCTTTAATTAATAGTAACATTTTAGTTCAAGAAAGAATGACGAAGCAAATTGCTGAAGCAGTAACTACCGCGATCAATCCAACAGGCGTTGGTGTAGTTATAGAAGGAACGTGAGTATTACAAAGTTTTTCTATCGTATTTGCTTTATTTCCTTCTTTAGTGTAACTCTTCTGTTATATTCCAGTGATTACAGTTGTAGACATTAACGTCAACTCTATTTTTTATATCATTTACAATTAGTCACATGTGTATGGTCATGAGAGGAGTTCAAAAGACCGGTAGTAAAACAACTACCAGTACAATGATTGGAGTATTTCGAGAAGATCCTAGAACAAGAGAAGAATTTCTATCCCTTATCAGACACTAAATAAATAGCCATACTACTACTGGTTTAGCATTTTGACACTGTTATTTTAGGAAAGTCTATTTCAGAGCACTTGTTATATTTTATTTTTACCCTTTGAGTTCATAAATAATAAATTTTTAGCTGCTTGAAAAAACGTCGTGATTCATCTGAGTTTCAAGTCAACGTAGTTTCCGTAAAGTACCTAAAAGTTATGCGTGATTTTATACGCAAAGCTTTTCGAAGCTCGATTTGAGAAAGTAATGCGTAGTATAACAAATAACAAGCCTGGGTTAAGGTAATATAGGCATATACTCGCATAATCAGACGCTACATATGATTCTAACATCCACGTCGTTAGTCTATAATATTATTAGGCCTTGCAATCTCTAGTCAGTACACTATATGGTTACCATTTTAAAGCAATTATGCTTCTTTAAGTTCACGTTAAAAAATTTGAAAATAAATTGTTACAGCATAAGAAATGAAAGGACTATTCTGCGACAAATAAATTTGTAGCATTTTTGCTTCGTAACAAACTACTAGGAAGTTCATGATTTTACAGCTTAAAGGCGATGTAGCTTAAAATATTAAGTATACTTTAACATTTACCTTGGATATAAACAATCCATCAACTAGTATGACAGAAATACATTACAGAGTAGCACAACCATACGTTTATGCCGAAATCTGCAATAGTATCCTGCATTGCTTTTTTAATACTCATTTTATCGGGAGTGATATCAGATAATACTTCACCCTGAAAGCATTGTATCCTGAAATGTTCTAAAGAATCACTAAAAATGTAGTAATAAATATTAGTGCTAGCTTAATACGGTATGTGAATAGCTAATCCAAATTCATGTAAAGTTTGTCATCCATCATATAATTCATTTAACTAATCCTAATCTTTACAGAAAGAATATCAAACTTATTACCTATTTGGAAGGGCTATTAATCAATTAGTTATATTTTTTGAACATGAAAGGGATTATAATTATTATTCGGCGTTAATTAAGTAGCAGTCAGATTAAAATTTTATGAAAGATTTTTCAAATAACACTTCGAAGTCCAAATAGTTAACAATAAAATTTATCCGATAATTTTAGATGAGAAATCTTCAAAGTTAGTAAAATCAGCTCTTCAGATTAATGACAAGATATAGTTAAAATCTTATTTATTTATTTCACGACTGCAATAACGGCTTTAAATCTACCATTCAATGAACAGGATTGTTAATTAGCTCATCCCTATCTACTAATAAGGTTGACATTCGAGTCATTATTTGAATAAGTAAATTCCAACAACAGCTTAGAAACAAGTTTATGTTAACAGGATAAAGTAGTTATAGAATGCTTGGATTACAAACATTAGTTTTTGTAGATGAAAGCGTATTTACAAGCTCAATAGTGATGAAAAAATAATACTTAAAATGAATACAATATTTAATAAACAACGTACAGTATTACGATACTATAATATTAGACTTAACTTGAACTCTCTTCACCCAGCAGCATGTTTGGTATACCATTACTAATTTGAAACTTCTTTTTTGAAGTTGGACAAATTAAGTGGCCTTCCTTTACTTCCACCTGATGAAATAGCAACAATAAAGTATACAGTTAGAAGTATGAATATTGCTAATTAATTGCACGTATAAGGTATTCAGAATTGACTACATCCAGTTATTCATTACAAAAAAGTGGTATGACTCAAACGATTAATAGGCTATCACAACCATACATACCATTAATATAAAATGTTTGATGTTATTTTACCCATGCAATCGATCAATGCAACATAAATAGAATGAAAATAAATTTCGTCTACAACAGTCTCAACCTTTGGCATTATTAATGTACATGTGAGAATTAAGCAAGCATACTTTAGATAATCCTACTGAAATTTCGAAAAATAGAAAGCTATCTCTAAATAAATATACTCTAATAAATCCATATTAAAAGTGAATGTTTACTGATGTTTCGTTGATAGCAGATGTAATGTACTACTGTATAAAATATATAGTACATACTTCCAATAATACATGGTGTGCTTTTCGCAAGAATTCTTCATCATTTTCTACATTTGGTTGAAGTTGCTCGGGTATATCATTCAAATGTCCGATCTGTATTGTAACATAAGGGTATATCGAAAAAAAAAGACATTTTTTAATGCCATCTTCATATCTAAGATAGCAAATAAATTTATACATAAGGGTTAGTACTAAATTAGTACGTAGATCAGTACAGTATAGATGATACTGAATTTGGTTGGATCATTTTTCGAAGTTATACAGTTTGGAGGATATTTTGCCTGCTATTTCTGTCAGGCTGTATAAATTTGGAAGCAAAACTTCTACAACAATGAGGGTATTTATTCCATTCCATAACATATCATCAATAATACTACAACAATTTTTAATTTAGCAGGAGTCATGCGTATTTAATGAAAACTGTTGACCTGGTTCCTTCTAACGTCTCAGACGTAAATCAACGATTGGTTCATGCTAAGAACGGTATGTTATTTGATATTACAATTTACACAGTTTGAATAGCATTTCCTTTATCAATATTGTCCTTCCGTATACGAGTAGAGTGCACAACAGGATTACACGTACAGTAAAATGTTGCTTCTAATGATAATTATGATTAATGTCACAGTATGCGATATTGAAGGATGACTTACAGCTTTGGCAGTTTGATATAAAACATCCCAATTCACTTTGGAAAGCATTCTCTTGATAAATTCAGGATTGAAATCGACATTGCGTAGAATAACTTCTGCAGCCTAACGATGGATGATAATAATAATAATATGGATTTATAAGGCAATGAAATACCAATACCTGCTTGCACTATCTCATGTAGTGATAATACAGTACTTGTCAATCTGTTGGAGAATAGGCGATACAGTCATTGGTACTAGTGGGCACACTGAGATTGAACTAGGGCTAACGCATAGAATTAGAGGAATGGCTTGCATGGCGTGTAATTGAGGAAGCCAATATTAATGGGGAAAAAAACAGAAATCGTTGAAATTCACTTCAATTAGCTCGCTATGGAAAAATTTTATAGCAACTTGCAATAAGCTGTACTGCGCCATCGATTCATTCCAAGAGGGTTATCGTCGATACAATCTAGTCTGTATCACTAGCTTAGACATGAGCTACTGGAAGAAAATCTAGGTTATTCTTTTTAGTAGTTTATGGCCATTGAATTAATTAATCAGCTCTCAGCTCCATGTACGCGTATAGTGAGTCGGGAAGGGACAGTACCTACTTACTGGCTGTAGGACAATTTGACATGGACAACTTACCGCTAAAGGCAGGGACTATTCGACTAGTCCCTGGTCTAGGATGAAAACAATATCAATATCCACTTGATATTACGAGGGTGAATTGAATACTTTGCGGTGTAAAGTTAATCGAATGCAGTAAAGTGTCTGTTTTGATATTACTAAGGTGGATTTAATATTTTGCAACGTTCAATCCTATACAGTAAAGCTTAAGATGAATTTAATGCAGTAAATTATCCGGTTTCGCTCCGTACTATGACAATCGCAAGCGGGCGTACAAACATGGTACACTTATAGTTCAATATTCTACCTCTAGAATCAATGGATAGCCTGATTCAGCACCTTTAACGTGCGATGTGAGCATATTATGTGTTAGAAGTCGCATCCTTCAACTCTTTTTCCGTCCTCCAGTAAATAAAATTGCAATGCAAATTCTTGTTGGAATTTCAAGCTAGCTTTCAAGCAGGGTTGATGAGAACAGGTTGACAATCGATCGAGATTTACATCATGTGCTGATGTATGCCACGATGTTGAACAGTTCTGTACTGTACTATACGATGTACAGCATTGTACGATACACAGCCACAGTATGGTCCTAAAGTTTTGACTGCGCATGTCTAGTCAACGGTAGTTTAATCGAATCTGGTCGAATGGATTTTATTGATGCTCACCAAATGATCATCTATCGGTCCTGTAAAGTTAACTGTGTGGAAAAGCCCACCAATATTGAACTATTTCAGTTTTATAGATAAAGAGATATGGTTACCCTTTATTAGAACGATCCTTCGATCGAATACTTCACATACTACTCGTATACTTGTACCTTTTACTCTATATTATCATTAAATGGCCACCTAGTAAAATGGAATTTACTGTATTATTGAAGCTACATTAGAGTGCATGCAGTACAGTACTGTACTTCTTATAGGAATATGAAGTGAATTATCACCTTTGACATTATTTTTGAAGAATTATCGAAACTACTGACAATACAGAAAATGCCTCTTTTTTCCCCTATTTTTCATACAAATTGTAATGTATATCACAACAATGCAATCTTATATTTTAGATTTTGCCCTCCAATCAAAATAGTCCTTGATTTATTTCATTTTATTGTTATCTTTGTTAAAATAACTATATTCATTCAAGAATATAGCTAGTAATAGTATATTTCCAAATTTCATATCAGTAAAATAGAAGGGTAGGCTTAAGAAAAATGATAAATTTTTTCCTATCGGTTAACATCAGTCAAAGATAGAGATCAACTCTATGGAACACGTAATGCTTAAAAATGAACATTTCTTATAACGAAAAGAATTCGTAGAAGCTTTGCTTCCATTCCATAATGGATATAATATTGATATATCAGATTCAAGATAAATGAAATTTCACTTTTCGCTAGATTTCAGTGTTATCTTTATCGCTAAAAATTTTCGTTTAGCAACAGCCCATAAATACTATAAAAGGCACAAATTTTTACGAATGTAAAAGGTAACAAATATAGAAGTGTATAATTAACTACACAACAGTATGAAATCGAGCAAATACAATAGGGTTCTTTATTTCGGAACTGTGCCGAAGAAATAAGAATAGCGCATTATTCTTTCAATATTTTCTCCTAAAATAGGTTAATTACATGATGGAGATAGGTAATTTTAAGCTCTACCGCTCAATTATAGCTAATAATATAAAAAGCTTCAATACAGGAGTTGTTAAAAAATTTTCATTCAAAATTTTCATGTCTATCAAAAGTTTCTGAAATTCGAAAAATAATTCCAATTAGTGTACAATAGTTAAGTGTCAAGATAGCATAGAATATAACACGAGCATACTTAATCTTATTATTATCGTGGAATTGTATTGTAGAAAGTAATAAATTAAATTCAATTATCAAAGTTTGCTGCGCTCATCAATTGATTAAAGGTTAACATCGTTATCATGACAAAAAATTTACTCATACTCGTATTACTACTAGCATAAAGTGAAATAAATTCTTGTTGCAGTCAATAACAAGCTAAACACTTCTTTTAAGTATAGGTATGGTTACTGATTGATCTACCATAAAATAATACAATGCATGACCGAATACAAGCAGCGGACAATATATAGAATTTTACACACATTTATATCATACGGTAAGAAGGATAATAAAAAAATTATCGTTAGCCTGATACGCGGTGACATTTCATGTAACAATGTCAGTATTAAGCTATACTTCATAGCACTTTTATGAATTAATTAAGTATTATAGGATACCTGATAAGGCTAGTTCGGTTACGCTTAAACTAACCGACTCCAAGTTATTTAAATCTGATGAATTTGTTGGGCCTGTGTCAGGATATGAACGATCTATAAATGTAAAAAAAGGTACTGTTAAGAAACAAATTATAGAAAACCTAAGTAAATAATCTAGATCGCTGATCATGCAAACCTTGAGCAGAAATACTTTCATCAAGATTGTAACTTTGATGAGGAATATATAGTTGATAGTTACTATCATGACCAGGATGAATGTGAATTTGTTGAGGAGCTTTACTCTATAGAAACAACAGGCAACAACAGTATGTATAGCATTGTATTCTCCATAGCTAGGTACCGCATAAAAACCCTACGCTTGTTATACCAAACTCAAATTATTCACCTGTTTGTATCTACGTTTGCTATTTCCGTTACCACCCAATCCTATATTATTCGAAGGTAGTGCATGTAAGGACTTACTGCAAGCAGGTCGTGGAGAGCGCCGCCCTCTAGATGGACTACTGGATAAAGGTGCTTTGCTGCCAGAATCTAACGATTTGGTGCTGCTAGAATGCCAACTGTTTCGGATAGAATATTTCATTAAGAATTCGAATGCAGCCATTAGCAAGATAACAAATAATCGTCAATGTAATATTTTTACAAAAAACATACTGCCTTCCGTGAGTCCCTCGACGAGACATATTCCATTGTTGTAATAATTTTGAACATTGCTGCTTCCAAGACATCAAACGCTTCTTCTGCGTATTAGTAAATGACTGCAAAGAAGTTACAAATTTCGTTGTCAGTATATTTGTGGTAATAAAGCCCTTTACAAATATATATACACACACACTATATATTCTACACCGTACATATGTTTACTGCCGAACAATTTTACCTCATGAAGTAATGCTTTTTCAATAATTGACAGGTAATTATTTACGATGTCTTCATCTGCCTGAGAGACCAGGATATGTGCACAAACTACGTATAGTCATGATATTGTAGTATTACTTGATATTGCATTTGAAAGCTCGTTCAAAAAATGCCATAAATAGCAAATACGTTTATACATTTTGCACACCTTTACCCATCACTTTAGTAAAAGGACTGGCAATGTCATCAATTTCTGGATTATAATCGATCGCAGCTTGATAACTTTGTGACGACCCATTACGGTTACTGCTTTTAAAATGAAATTCTGATTCTAAAGAAATATTATTATCTACTAGACATTCCATTGAAGGCTTCATTGGAGTAGCTACAATTTGTTTTAATTCAGCCAAGCATTCCTGCAAGTTCCCAGAGTGCTGGATGCTCTATATAAATTGCAAGAAAATTAAAGATGACTATTGATCCACTAGTTAATCAATCAATTATTGAGTATAAGGAATACCTCCTCAACTCGTTGCAAACACATAACACGATCCGGAAGTTTCTTAATGTTGACGAGAATTTTATTTCGAGCGCCTTTTGTAACGTTCTATTAAAATAAAAATAAGTAAATTCTCTTTTCCAGCTAAAGTAGAGGTATTTATTAACAAACCTTTCTCTCCAGTTCATCTTCGGTAAGATTAAGCATTTCAGAATAAGAAAAATGAGCAAAGAGGTGAGAATACTTGTGAAGTCTAAGGCTTTTCAACCATGCTGGCACACCTGTAAAAAAGCATTATTTAAGTGAAATGAGTATTATGTTCTCCTTCCATTTCCGCTTACACAGAAATTAGATGGTTTTATGAAATACTGTTTAAGTTGAATTTTATCTAATATTCCTAGAACTAAATATACCTTTCATTCCAGTAGCTAAATCGTCAAATGCATTCATTGTTTCACTTTCATAATCATTAAAAATTCTAGCGTAATCCCTAATACCACCATACGACGATACCATTGTCTCATTATTGCCAGGAGTAGGCCTATTAATTCGTTCTTCACGGCTATTTGTATTAACTTCATTCTCGTTACTTGTTTTCGACATAGCTGGCATTCCATGAGGATCGCTTGATCGAGGTCCATGCATGCCATGATTAGCAACTTTACCTTTCATTTCATTCAAAGCAGATTCAGATGCAGCAGTATTCCTAATAAGAGTAGAGCAATTGCGCAGATTTGGCATCGATTCGCGAAGTTCAACCCCATTCCTGTGGTTATGAATACTGTTAAAACTATCGAAAATTGTTGATGCAGTCGCATAGCCTTGATCCATATCTACAACAGTGAAAATCAAGTAAATTATTTTAAATAGTAAATCATAAAATTTTGTATAAGACAAGTCATACTTAGATAGATACAGTATACACATACTGCAACATATGTTATATAAAGTTTTTACGATTTTGAAATTTCAGTTAGCTCTACAAAAGTTGAGCTAAACTTTAACATTATAAGGCATATTAAGCACTAATTCTTCTAGCACGTCTAGAGTGCGAACAGCTAAAAGATACTACTTACAATAAACTTACCAATAAACTACCTATAATTGATCATTATAAATAAACTGTAAACAGAGTATTATAGCACCAGTATTAAACAGTCACATAATCATTATCGTAACTATTGTAATTGGTTAACAATGAAGACATTTTAAAGTACGTACTAAAAAGTTGTTTAAATCAATCGTATCGAGAATTCATGATAACTTTTTCTCATTATGGAGTTAGTATTCACCTTGGACTATCTGTAAACTTTTATTTTCCACAGAACTTCTGTCAAGCCTGTCCAACCAATACGATAAACAATTTCTTTCCTCTTTAAGGAACGCAGGATGTACTGTTGCAAGTGATAATAATTGGCGACATTTTGGCAAATATTTTCCTTTTTCTATTGAATGTAAGATTAGTCTTGGTATAATCCGTAGATATTCTCTTCGCACATCACTTGCCCCCGGACGTAAGAGTGGTAAATGGGCAAGTAACTGGTTCAAGGCATTTTCCATTGTTTCCCGACGCAATTGGCTTAGGAATTCTAATAGCAAAAAGTTCATATTGTCAGTTACACTAATGTGAAATAGTAATCCTTTATTTAGAATACATGTATCGCCTGATACGTGTACGTTAGATGATATATTAATCCAATCCTGCTATCCTAGTGATTACGAAATTTCAAAATCAGCTAGCCCAAGGCATCAACAATTATGCTACATTACGTAAGACATTGTTCTTCATGATTAAAAATAGGTTACTGTTAACCCTTAAAATATTCATCTATGGCGGCTACATTATTAGGAAAGCTGAGAATATCAAAATTTAAGATGAATAGCAACTTTTACTTCCATTTATATAACTAATTTGCCTTAAATCACATTGCCAGTCAGTAACCCGACAGCCATTTGACTAGCCCTAATTTATTATAGGCAAGTTGACGATGTTGCGTATTGTAAATTACAAACGAATGTGCCACCTTGTGTAGCATAAAAATAACTTCCTCTGTTCAGTAGTCTTTGTCGTTTAGTATTCCATAAAACTACGAATCACAATAATTTATGCGTATTCAGTCGTTCCAAAGTCTTGCACTATTCGTAAATAGCAAAGTAAAATGGAATATCGACATTGGTGCAATAGTGTCAGCTACAGTAGTAATGTATGTAGAGAGAGAGATGCTTAAATAACATATACGCGTATTAGCATCAAATTCTTCCCATTATTACAAAGAAAATAGACAATACTAAATGTTGAAATATTTTTTTCGATAGCATAGAACTTCTTTAATCTTTAAAAAGAGTTTATTATTATCGAAAACGGTACCCAATATCTATGATAGAAACCGAGAGCCACTAACTCTATGTTTTTATTATAATTCAAGAGCATTAGCAATTTAGAGAATAGCTAAAACTTCTTTCAAAAATGTCCAGCAGTTAACAGTAATAGCAAAATGACCGATGACAGACTACAGGACTGGACGAGAGTTCTTTACGTGAGTCATAACCTAAATTAACGATTTTAACCCCCGTTGAGAGAGTCAACCAATAAGTATTGTATAGTATAATTAATGAGAACTGCATTAGTGGATAGCAATCTTAGTAAGTGACGATGGAAATAATATTATGCACATCACACCTAGCAAATGTTATTTAGATAGCTTTTATATGATCTCAGTTGTCGTTGATAGATTTTTTATCATCACTAGGATGCAAGTAATGCTGGCATTCTGATCTGGTCAATAACAAGATTACCATAATTCATCGTAAATTGCTATATGAGTAGAATCTAACTTTGTCATAATCAAGTTGAGCAAACTGTGATTTGATTAACCAGATCAGCAGGAAGCCATTATGAATATGCGTTCTGCGTATACTAGCATTGAATGCATTTATCTTTTCTTTTCCCTCATTTATCATCTATAAGGATAACTTGCTGTCATTGCAATTAATAAGTCTCGGCTGCACATAGTACAGCCGATTGTTAGGCCAGTTTACGTGAACTACATACTAATTACATGATGCTACATCGTGCAGTAATTTTCATGATGTAAAATTATAAAATGTACGGTATATTTTTTGAAGATTGTATAGTATCTGCACTGCATTATATGAAGGTAGAATTTTCGTTTTTTTGTCTGACTATTACTGCATCCTGTTCAAAGTACAAATTATGACTCATGCAGTTTCAATATAAATGCACTCGTATCAAGTATCCAACTTTGAACTCATAATTACTAACCCCTACAGTAGGTCATCAAACTTTTAATAAGCTCGTTCATCCTCATTTTAGAGCAGTTCTTGATATCGACCAACTATGCGTCCATTAAATTATTACCATTTGTCAGTAACACAACTAGTAGACTAGTTTACTGCAGTACGTCCTTGCTTCGTCAGCATAAATAATACTGCACATCCTGCACTGTAATAATAAACTCTTTTACTGTAATGTTCTTAGTTTGTAGTAGTACCCCAAATGAAAAAGTATTCTACTATAATACAAAGTTTACGAGGGTCAACCGTGTGTATAAGACTTAAGATTATAGCACAATTTGGAAATTTCAGTATCTCAGGGAATAAATACAAATTGCATACATGAAATTTACCACAGCACAGATTCATATCGACAATAGTTGTGATTAATTTTTGCTTTTACAGTACAGCGAAGGTAGAAAATTTATTTCTAGTGTGTGGCATGTCAGGTGGTGCATGATCATTAACATAATTATTATATATTAATAAAAAGCAAAATTAAAGTAGAGATACACTAGATGACTGCTATAGACATATGCAGACTTCAAACTTTAGTCTTGACTGTAAGGTCATAATTGTTTTCAAATTATCACTCTGGTAATGTGTCTAATGACCCGCAATTTGTCAAAGAGCTGCAGAAAACACTATATGGCAGAGTATGGTGTTTATTTGTGCAATCTAAGTGCGCCACCGCATCTTTTGTTCTAACCATATGAGATTGGAACAGAAATACGAATAACACAGCATCTGTGCGGTATGGTAGATGTAGTCGTATGTAAATACGTAACTGTCTACGAATCATGACTGAATCTAAGCAATTTTTATAGTCCGCGTATATAGTCTAATCCCTGTACCATCACAATATACAGTAGAAATCGATCCTAATCTTGATGACAAAAGCCACTGAGTGTTAAAAGGCAGCGAAGGCAGTTATACTACATTACTGTCATAGCACTAAATCGCAATGACTACTAGATCATTGAAGCGCACTAAGTTCAAGATTTCAAAGGATAGTCGATATTTGCCATATATGTACACTTCAAATCTATGTACCGTCCAAAAAAGACTATATGCAAAGACAGACACAGTATTTTCATACTTTCAGGCAAGGTAAATAAAAATAAATAATAATAATAATTAATTGATAAATACAGTACTGTACATGTAGAATGGGACATTCTACTAACAAATGGGATCCAATACTAGGATCATCGTCTATGACCGCTATTATTCAATAATCATAATATTATCAAGTGAAGAAATCAATGGAAAAAAAATGGAGAGAATAACCCTAGTGTAACAGCTAGTAGCAACGAGAACTAACCGGTGCTATTGGCTTCGCGTTCAAGGCACTGAATTTCTATTGAATCTTCGAATGTATTCTGGATGACCAAGCTAAGGAATCTTGCCTGCGTTGAAGTGATACGGGTCAATAACGAGTAGAGGGCTATAGTTTGTTCGCAGAGGTTCCAATTGGAAAACCAGCCAGCTAACATACTAATTTGATCGCCAAACTGAGAAGGATCCATAACGACTGTCATTGAAAGAGAATCCATGTCAGTTAGTTTTCCAATCGCCACTAAGCACTGCAAAGCAGACATTAAATAGAGGGTAACAAAATTTTAAGGGGTTGTCAAACCCTAGAGGTTCGAGTACAGTGTACAGTGTACAGTACTGCACAGTGCGTACTGTAGCTAATGTACTGTACTGTCATACTGTAATCGTCGTCAAAGTGGAGTTGACGAGTACAGTAGTAGTACAGCCAGCTAACATACTAATTTGATCGCCAAACTGAGAAGGATCCATTACGACTGTCATTGAAAGAGGATCCATGTCAGTTAGTCTTCCAATTGTCACTAAGTACTGCAAAGCAGACATTGAATAGAGGGTAACAAAATTCTGAAGGGTTGTCAAACCCTAGTGGTTCGAGTACAGTGTACAGTACAGTACTGCACAGTACGTACTGTAGCTAGTGTACTGTACTGTCATACTGTAGTCGTCGTCAAAGTGGAGTTGACGCGTACAGTATGTGTCACATACAGTACAACACAGACAGCTGCAGACTCTGAGTGTGGAACTGTCGAAAATTACTGTACTGAGGAGATAATCTACTCATTTAGAACGTCAGACCATTCTATAAGGACAAACCTACTGTATGGGTACGTTTGCCTCCAATATTGAAAAAGCAAATAAAGGAATTATTGAAAGCTCGGCATGAAAATATTATACTACTTGCCTTGACGGTTGAAGAACTGTGAACTAATCAAGGAGGAATATTTCGGTTTTAACTCTTGAAAAAGGATAAAAGAGTAAAGTTGCTATACACGCCTATGCCCTATCAACGACAGGTGATTTACGACCGTGAAATACAGTAGTTTCCAGTCCATGCTATGCTATGATACTGTGTTGAAGTGACGTAATATCAGGCACCAATCGTTGGGTCAACGTTGATTGTATATTTACGAAACTACAGTATCTCTTTCTTGGTCAGTCGATCAAATCTCTACTAGGCTAGTACCATGCTAAACAAACTTGCCAATTTATTTACGTAGTACAACATAAATCATTTTCTACGCTTGATCAAGACAAATATCTTTGCAGGAATGGAACTGATTTTAATAATGGACAGTACAGTGTACTCCATTGAAAGTATGACCCCAATACTGTATGGCAAAAGTAGGCAGTGCCAGCAACTGGCTTAACACAGATACTGATTACTGATTGCTGTAGTTCATTGATATTTCAATAAATGGAACTATTGAGGGTAAAAGACTATACATGATAACTTCCAAGCACTCCTAAATTGATCCACTTTAATCCTATCCGGTCGCAATAGAATCTTTCAAACGGATGATCTATGCTCACTGTAGGATTAGGATTACAAGATTTGTAGTACCTGCGTTCCAAAACTAATGATAACTGCATATTGGAATTATGATTGGAACAGTTAACCTACAGGGTTTACCAAAATTTACCTGATAGCTGACGTCTGAAAGTTAACCTGCAAGAAAGGAAAATATGTTCTAGTCCACAAGTAGCGACCAGCTAGCAGATCAATGCTATGGCACCGTAATATTGTATTGGGTGGTGACCGGCGCTGGGCGTTCAATATCCAATTGCTTGTCCAGTAGAGTGCATCTACAGTATTGTTAATGAAAGTTAATTTATCCAATTCGTATTTAACGGCAACTCTTTGAGGAGATACTGGTAACTTTTGCTTTGGTGTCCGTACAGTTTGTAGGTTGCGGCGTTGATTAGTCGACAGAATTACTTCTATACCGGCACTTTCTACCCCTTGTGTTTTAGAATTGAAGCTGTCGGCTTCCTCGATTTCGCTGAGATGATTTCATCTCGGTATAGTATCGCAATTTTGTACGCTAAAAGGCAGCAGGGTCAACACTCCACACTCAATATCAGGTCAATATTATTCTGATTCGAGGGTAGTACCAGGTACAATATGTCCAGTACAGTGTACAGTATTGTAACCGGGTACAGTTCATAGTACTGTACATTACAGTACACTTTACTGTAGTAGTCTTCTGTAGTTGTACAGTACAGTATACAGTATGACACAGTCCAATGGAAGCTTTTGTCATGGACTTCCAAAGAGAAAAGAAATCAATTTCACCAAATTTTACACAAAAACGATACTTTTATTCTCTGATGGGAATGACAGTTATGACTTGGAAGAATTTCCTTTTACAAGTCCTGCTCTATTTTTATGTGTGAGATGCAGAGAACTACTGTACTGTGCTTAGTCATGGACTACTAGTATTTTTTTCCAGTAGTTCATGGCTTGGTGTACTACTACTGGATGTATGAAAGTGAAATACCAACACTGACCCTTGTCTTTCAACAAAACTAATGCAATACCAGTATGCGAGTTGGTATTTGGAACATATCGCCCTTTACCATTAGTCTGTTACTCAGTTTTGTTACACTTTATTGTTGAATCTCCTAATCCGGAATGAGGTAAAGTGTTCAATACAAATTTAGCTTTATGGTATACGTAATGACGAAATAAACTCATTCCATCGATTAATGCACTCCACGATAAATAGAAAAAAGGCAAATTCCCGGTGGGCGTCGGGTATGGGGCCCTGTGGATGAGACTGATTATAAACTATACGTCTACAATACGATAATTAGAATGATAGAATTGCGCTGAATGGTAACAGTACGTTTTAGATACGTTTGATGCGATTTGATAAAGTAAATGGATTATAAGTATGAGCAGTTGGAAGTCAACACTGAAATATTTGATTACTGATAAGTATTCTTATTTACCGGTAATAAATTGAATACATTAGCCGAAGTATCTCATTAAACTACGGTTACGTGTCCAGATGTACGCTTATAAAATATCCTAACTAATATACCACATAACATTCTTGAATTTCTATAATATAAATTGTAATTCAATTGTAATTTTTAACGGATATGCCTTTGTTTAAAGTATGCTATTTTTAACAGATTAATATAATCGATCAATTTAAATGAAGAAAATATCATTTCATCCAATAAACAGTACTCATGTATAAAATATCTCAAATTACATTTATCGGCATTATAATCGATTTGCAATCATCACTATACATTATACAAGTATGTTTACAACTAGTAATGATAGGGTCGCCAGGCATAGTAATTAATAGTTTATTTTTCAAGATGCGACATAAAGTACAATACAGCGTTATACGTAATTATTTTGGGTATTTATTTCATATACAGTGATACCTCCTCAAAGTATCTACAGTAATTAGTATTGAGGGTAATCATCAAAAATTGGCAATGACGTAATCAAAGATTCATCATGAAACAGTTGAAGAATGGTACACCATTCCTCAACTCAAGCTACAACAGCATAAACATTATTATTATTGTTAATGATATAATTACCAGTCGTAATAAATGATACGAGGAACTGTAAAGCTTACTGAAAACCTAATTATTAGTAATCAGAGACTATGAGAAATTGTCTTCTCATTACCGCATACATTTTTACAATTCACAAATTGAAAAGTTGCGCCTTTCAAAGCTAGATAATCATAGCTATATCTATCTCCTTTTAATGTTATACACGTATAGTATAATAAATCATATAGAGGTATTATACCGCCTTATTATAGTGATTTTATCATCAGCTACAATAGTATCACTTTGGCAGACTTTGTGATGTCACGATGCAACAGTCGTATTAGCACAATACTGTATTTACATATTTCAGACAAACAAAAATCACACACTAAGAAATTTCTAATAAATAATAAATCTATCAATAATAGCAAACATAGCAGGTGGCTAAAGATTTGTCAAAACTGCGAAACTGGGATGATACTAGCGAGAAAGAAAGCATCAAATTGATCATTTGAGTCTTTAATATTACTAATTAACGGTAGCTATTTTATCAGCTGACAGCTTTAAATGGAAAGAATAACTTGCTACAACAGCCGGCAACACTGAATTTGCTCCTGCTTTGAGTTATAACTTTCAACGTTAACTTATGCTTTATAAGTTCAGTAATAAAATTGAAATATAATATCACCTATTCAACGAAAACAATTCCTTATCGTGAAATGTTATAATGCAGCAAAATGCTCTTTTAACTGTGACAGCAAATTTCGAGATTCAATATGATCCGTGAAGGAAGTAAGCGCCTTATTAACCGATACATAGCTGCTATGCAAATCGCCAGACTACAAACATTCAATTAAATAAGAACAATATGTTGATTAGCAATAAAATAAATATGCTTCACGATACTTCTTACATTGCATAAAAATGCTTTTTTAAATTTACTGTATGAATAAATACTTTAAATTACATACCTTTTCAGCAAGTACACTAAAATTGTAATGTGGCTCGTACATATGTGATCCCAAAGAGGCAGCACTCTGAAAAAATGCTCTTGCCTATAATTATTTAAGATATTATATAGGTTTTACCGGTATATAAAAACCATTCACTGCTATTATAACTTTAATTATTTAAGTAAAAAACCATGCATATCAAATTCTACTAAGTCTACGGTATCTACTGTAATCATAATCGATAATTACTCGACCTGCTCATTATTTGCTTTTCTTAATTCTAAAACTCCAAGATTGTTATATGATTCAGCATGATTGTTATTCGATGTTAATGACAACTTAAAGCACTGATATGCTACAGTCATATCACCTATTCCCTGTATTAAAAATAGAAAGAAGATATTGTATTATAATTGCTAATTTTTTGTTTTAAATAAATGTATCACTAGATACTAATTAATAACTAACACATTAATACGTGCTTTTTTCGCTATAACTGATATGCTAAATCTATTGATGCCGACGGATTCATTCTAGTAGCTAAGTAATAGCATCTCAGCCACAATAGTATTGCATTCAATTATACTACTTTGCAAAGTTTACTTTCATATCACGTAAAAGTAAATTTTCGCAATACTAGGATTTTAAAAGTAGTTTAAATTTTAGCAATACAAAAACGATATCATTAGTGATAACTTATAGCCCAAATTATAGTTACATTCTGTATAGACGTTTACAAACTATATTTGGATCGCATTTTTAAAAGGCGAAAATACAGCCGTCTAAGAATCATGATATTTGTATATGATTCGTAAAATGTAATTTTATTAATACTACACATATGATAAGATATCGATCTTATCTTTAGTTTTGTGGTTGAATTTTCGTACCAAGGCTACATGGCCAAGATTATACCAAACATCATCCATTTCTTCATCCGATGCTAATTGTAGTGCTCGCTCAAAACAATTTAATGTCATATCATATTGTTGAGCATAAAAGCAGCACAAGCCAAGATTATTGAAGAGTTGTGTATTATAAACTCCCATTTGTAATAACCGTCTGAATGAAAAGACAGAAAAATGATTATGAACAATTTTGCATAATGGGTATAAAAGTAGCTTTCAGTAGTACTAAGATTCTTAATTAGTATACTGATATGTTTATAATTTTATGCTGTTTCAAAATGAAATATACCGAGAGAGGTAGATCAACACGCATATAAACATCAAATCTTTATGTCTGTCTCACGCAAGTTTAAGTAAAGCAAAGAGACTGTAGATACAAGACAATTTGAATTATATTACAATAAGCTACTGCTAACGCCTTATAAACTACCCATCTATCCGTAACACTAATCATAATCTTAACACATTACGGCATCATTGATATTGCTGCTTTACAAGAGTGGAGTAAATAACAAATTGCGCTATTGCGGTCTTTAGTGTTATCGAGCTATCTATAGCCATAATTTTAAAACGATATAAATAAATTAAGAATAAAGGGCCATGATGGCTATACCTGAAAAATCTTAACGCAATTTCTGGTTGATCTGAGTAAAAATGATTGGTAGCTATACAAGCAATAGCTTCGACATGGGTATTGTCATGATGCAAGACTGATTTGTAATATTTAACAGCACTCGTCAAATCATTAATTCCCTAAATTGAAAAATAAATTGATTCTATGTAAGTAAAATCAATCTTTAAAGCTCATGACAAACTTGTGCTCATTTTACCTCATAAATTCGAGCAATTCCCGTCAATAATGTGCTTTCTCCTGGAAAAACTTCGATTCCCTATTCATTAAGGAAAATATATTAAATTTTACGATCCCCGTACGTAAAACATGTAATAAAATCTTGCTAGGCAACATTTTACTGACCTTATTAAATACTTCTAGAGCCTTTTGCGGTTGATCAAGACGAACATAGACCTTGGCCAAGTATAAAAATGTATCTACCATATCAATCATATTTAAAGCCGACTTAAATTGCTTTTCTGCTTCACGTAACAATCCTAGCCTATTGCAAATAATAAAAAAATTTCATTAAGATAGATCTCACATTATTTAGCGTTAACGCATTAATAGCATCTTTGATTTCTGATTAATTGACATGAAAGTATATTAGATATGAAAGATACCTGTAATAACACTTTCCTAATTGGACTTTCCACCACCAATCCTTAAACTGGCATGCCTCAGTGGTTAAAGCTGCTAACTCCAAAGCCTATTACAAATGAGACAAAATTTAAGTTCTTTTCCTTTATTATCGTCCGCTAAATACAGCATAAATCAATATGAAAACTTACGCTACGTATATCGTTCTCATGATGAAATAGATATTCGAAAAGAACCTATAACATAAATATTTAGATACACCATGAGATATAGTTATCGTTATGTATGAAGCATTTCTGAATTATATCTTTATCAGATTGCTTTACTTTGCTAAGATTTGGTCTGCTTGCATATTTTGATAAATTCAAACGAGCTACATTGATAAAAGGCCCATCCGGTTGTGATAACATTGATGCCTATGTGTGACCATAGAATAAAATCGTAGATCGTCAAATCATTTCATATGTCGCCATAGGTTCTAAAATAAGCTAATAAACGTTTACATCTAGTAATGATATTTTCGTACCGTTCCAAGCCTTACATAGCGACCAGAAGCACTAGTAACTGGTCTAAAGTATTAGTCATGTATAGGAACTGTATTAGTCGATCAAACGATACAGCTAATAAAAAATATCAGTAATAAATTATAAACAAATCTATAAGAGAGACCTTGCAGTATGTGCTGTTCTTGGTGTCCGTATTGCTTGTTCCATTGTGCCTGGTCGGCCACCTTGAGTACCTGGCCTTAGAAACCCACTTAGTGGCCTACCTGATTGAGTTGTCGGCCGTACGCTTGGGCTCGGGCCACCAGAACTTGTTGTAGGTTTATTAAATGATGTCCCTGGCCCTTTTAATTGCATAAATTGGAAATTATCCATTTTTGAATAAATTAAGAAATTTAACACACTGACCTATACGATGACTAAAATAGCATTACAGTAGTTATCGAATTTTACATTAGAAAGAATTAATTTCAACTCTACGATAATATTCCAATAAAAGTAGCTATATTTCTCGTTATAGTATTCTCTTGTTTACAGCTGAGATATAGGTATAACATAATGTAAAAGTTTATATTACTTGCGACTTTTGCTATAGCATTGTCATCCATTAACATCTCAGCGATTCCTTCTTCATCATAATCAACTTCATCTACATAAACTTGTTCTGTAAGCGCGCGGGCCTTTAAATACCAGAAAGCCTTTCAAAAATCAAGAATAACAGTCCATATTTCATTAAGTGTTCACTATGTACGTACATAAAATAAATGTACGCTTATAATTTCCACATATAGTAAATATGCATTAAGAAATTATATGAAGTGATAATTAAACCTGCTTAGCTTTACGAAAGATAATCTGTTAATTAGGTTTACTGTACGATTACATCGTCAAGCTACATAGTTGCATGCAAACTAGATTAATCAACAAATAATATGGAAACAAGCGTAGATACGCAAACTAAAGGCTATGATATACTTCTAAAACCGCGTTTAAAGAACTACTTCTCTGTTCTTCTTACTGTACTGTAAATGATCTACTAGCACCTGATCCAACTATTATGATACAGTACTACTCAACATTATGAAGATTTGAATTATTTGGATATCGAAATTCGTGTTTATCACAGCTTTATTCTCAAATTGTCGCTACCTCATAGACGACGATTACTGATGAACTCAATACAAAATAACAAACTTAAGAGCAGATTTTTATAGCAGTATTATATTATCTCTATCATAATATCCCTACTTGTTCATACGGATTTTTTTGCAAGACTTTATTGCAGAGTTCGACGCAATCATCAAAGCGTCGACGTCGAAAGTAACTATTAGCGAGAAATAGCGGATCCATTTTTTTTTTTTTTTTGATTAACAGTTAGTATCTAGGAAACCAACGGAGACTAAAGCCAATCAATGTACAGTACTGTACTGTAGCATGCATTTAAATCAGCGCAGTATTTTTCATACTGTACCCTGTATATCTTGCTATACGCCATAAACTGTACTAACCCACTGTAAAATCCCAGGTTTGTTTGGCCTGTATTGTACTGTACAGTATTAATGCACTGCACTGTACTGTATGTACTGTACAGTACAGTACAATACAGTACTGTACTGTACCAAGGACTACTAACACTGTAAATCCCGCATACAGTATACTGTACTGTACAGTGTACAGTAAACTTTAACCTTATACACATACAGTATTACTAGCTAACTATTACTAACCATAACTTATACAAAGTGAATAAAATTTGCCCAAAATCTTGCATTTCCAGCTCAGTCATGGATCCTGATAAAGCTAAGAGCTTATTTGAAGAGGGTGCAGTTATCATCGTAGAAGATATGCCAGTTGGTAATGAATTTGGGATTGATTACAACTGGTGGAACACCGGTCAAAAATTTCAAGGATTGAAAATGATACCAGCTGGACTTCACTTTATTTTTAGCCGAGCTTCTGTGACGTCGCAGACGAACAAAACTAATAACACACTTAATGCTAATATCAGTAATGCAGATTTAGGATCTCGCTGTGGCTTTTTCCATTTTTTTAAAAAGAGAGAGATTATGTGGCTGCAATGGCATAAGCGGAATGAAATATTAGTTCATAAAGATAGTAGTCAAGAAGACTTAGAAAGAATTAGGTGCAATTTGAGAGATTTAGATCAAAATCTTGGACCCTATCCATTTGAAAATCATGAAAAATGGCGTTGTCTGTCTGATCATATTACTGAAGAAATAATTCTTAAAATGCAACCATTGAATATCATGATAACCTCAGTATCACAATATTTACCAAAGTCTTATAAATCATCTAGGTTGGTAGTTTCTTGTTATGATATGCATGGAAATATACGTATAAACAATTAATTGTACAAATTACATAATACGTTGTATATTTGTTTATATTCTTCCTAAATTGTCAGTACTCTTCAATAAATGGAGATATAATAATCGTGAATTCATACTACTGCTTTGCAATATAACAGTCTTCGCTCTACTTATAATTATTATGATCATAGCAAACCCTTACTTGTATTTTATCCGTTAAATTAGGCAAAACAGATATGAAGCCAAATCAGAAGATAATATTGATATCAAACTAGATCCTAATTGTATATTAAGATTTTCCGATATACCAAAACGTAAATTTCCTAATTCGTCAACGCCAAGCGAAATCACAATTCACAGCATGGATAAGAGTTATACGCTGGATTACGTTATTGAGAACTGCCACAACAATAGTAAGTATTTTTATATGAATTTTTGCAAATTCGATTTATAGAATAACTGATTCCTTCAAATGAAAATTTGGCTACATTTAATATCGTTCGTTTTCGTAAGACTATTGCTGCAAGGTAGATTTCCTTTATATTGCAATACATGCAGTACGTATGCGGTGCTAGGTCACAGGCCTTCGTATACATCGGTAGCATTTAGTAATTTACTTTACAGTGCTATTAATTAGCATTAGGTGCGGCAGTAAAACACTATGAATTATCTATTAACAATTAGAATACGCGAGGCTAATAAGTAAAAACTACTGATTTTGCAATAGGATTGCCTGTATACTAGTAAATTTTTTCCGCTTATATATAAACACCATTCATTTAGAAGTTAGCCAGATCTATTTAACTGATACTATATTTTTTGCTTTACCAGATGAAAATCAACTACTTGGAGAATTACAATTATCGTTTATCTGTTTCCTTGTTGCGCAAGTTTATGAAGGTTTTGAGCAATGGAAACGAATTGTAGATTTACTTTGTTCATGTCAAAGTATAGTCAGTAAAAGAGCAGAATTATATAGGAGTTTTTTACGTAAGTAAAATAATATACATCTTCTACCTATTGAATATGCGTAAGAGTAAAAATTCTAACTTTTTAAATTCTAGAAAACGATGTATGTCCATGTAGAATCTCTCAATGAGAAAATAAATTATGTTCGCTAATATACACTTTCTCCTTCTCGTGGCCAAATAGGAATATTTAGTGATCAATTACGAGAAGTACCCGAAGATTTTTTTGTTGATATTGTTACGAGGGATAACTTCCTAGTTACCAAGTTGAATGAACTATTTTCAACTCTACAAGATTCCTCTTTAACCAATACAGAACTAATGACTGAGGCCAACGACTTTCGTCAGACTCTAACGGCTCGATTTCAATGGGATTTTGAAAGTGAACCTGACGAATTTGCTCCAATTGTTGTAATGGAATGACTTCATTGTCATGTTGTATTGTAGATAGTCTTTAGAGTAATTTTATTTATTGAAATCTTGGAACTAATAAAAAGGTCACAATTTTGATAAAAATGCGATACCAGAGTAAAAATATATGTTTCCCGTATCAACTATTTTGATGATTTATATACTATACGCGTAATTTGATAAGTTTTATACAAAGCGAATATATTAGTTGCTACAAAGTCATTACGACCTGAACTTCGCTATTGACTATTTATGCTAGTTTTAAAATAACCCCATCAACACGCGGACAGAGCACCTTCAGATAACGGTAATTATACTGACGATAATCATGCATATTTTTACGGGCTACCGATAAGGCATATTCTATTGGCTTCGAATTTACAAGTCTATTGCATCTCGAATGGCGTATTTAAAATCTTTGCATTTTCCTCTTTGTGTATTGCGCCGATGCCAACTGCGGGACAAGCAAGAGCTTCACGACCGGTATATAACAGCTAAAGAAGATGAATAAAAGAGAAATTAACAAGCAAACGGCTAATGAAAGAAAAATATTTCATGTACCTTTACGCCGAGTTGTTTTTCGAATCTAGGAGCTACAAAACTCCAGGGACCCATATTCTGATGTTCTTCTTGGCTCCAAATGAATACTGTCGTACACATCAATATTAATAAATTACCTCTAATAATATAATTAAATGCCTGCGTACACACTAAGCTACGTAGATGATCACATGTACAAACCTTTTGCGTTTTTGTAGCGGGATAATTCTTTCTCAATCAGCTGAGTCGGGAAAGGACACAGAGACTAAAAAAATTTATTTTAACAATAGACTGTGATCACAGGTAATTACAACGTTATCAACATCACCTTACGAATTAAGTTATTTTGCCATACCTCTAATCGGATAATAGCTACATTCTTAGCATCTAAACTTTGTCGTTGTTTATCAAGAGCATAGTAGTGCTTCCCTGAACAAAGTATGACCCTCTCTACTTTGTCAGAACTTACACTATGGTCACCCAGAACTGGTTGAAAGAAGGTACTAGGTGTCATTTCTGTCAGAGTAGAAACGGCATCCTAACAAATTATGGATCAAATAAGTCTTAGGCCGTATACACTCGTGTTAAATTAGTATAAAGCTAATCTCTATATTATTAGCATTTGTAGTAGTATTCATATTTACAGGATATCGCAGTAAGATTTTTGGAGAGGCGACGATTAGAGGCTTTCTAAAATTTCGAAGCATCTATGGATTTTGCAAGGACATGATAAGTTTTTAATAATATTTATTGACAATATTTAGGTAATCACCTCTATTGATTCTAATTTTTGCTGAATACATCATTAAGAAGTGACGCAAAAGTCTTTACCTGCCGTCTTAAGAGATGATAGTACTGTGCTGGTGTCGTTGGATGAACAATACCAATATTTACATCGTCTCCATCGATCTGATCCTCTTTACTGTCACATAGCTTGATAGGCACAATTAAAAAAATTGATTATCTATCTAAGGTCATTGTGTAATAGCTACAAAAATTGTCCTTCATTTGAACTCGTAAGTATGCAGTTACAGTTGTATAAGATACAAGATAAAATACCTGTAAAAAGCGTTCGATCCGACAGGAAGTATGTTCAGGCCCAGCACCATCATATCCGTGGGGTAATAACATTACCAAACCACTTTGTAATAACCACTTAGCTATTAATAGTTAGTAATTAGTTACTGCTATCATTTCATTTACATATTGGAATAAGTGTAATGTTTGCTAAATTAATTATTTTCCTCTGTAGTTTCGATTCTCATAAATTAATTGGACGATAGATAAATACTTATGGCCATATCATTATATAGCGTTATTTTTTACTGATATGTACAACGTACAGTAAGAAAATATTACTTACTTTCACCAGATGTGATGAAGGCATCAATAATTATTTGAGCTCCGTTGAAAAAGTCGCCAAATTGAGCTTCCCAAATGACCAAATTTCGTGGTGATTCTATACTCATACCATATTCAAAACCAAGGACAGCTTCTTCTGATAGTGTACTGTTAGCAATCTGCTTCGACACATAAACCGAAATGAATTAGGCATAATTGAGTTTTACAAAAAAAATCTGAGAATTTCAAACCTCGATAAATCCTTTTTGATCAGGTGCAATATTATTAAGTGGTATATATACTTCATCTGTTTTTTGATCTACCAACATCACATGTCTGTGACTGAAGGTACCTCGACCAACATCTTGTCCACTAATGCGAACGTTATATCCTAACACATATTTAAAATAACAAATAGAAAATACGGAAATATAAAATATCAAGCAATTAACGAAAACAAGCAATACTGCAGTAATATACCCTGAAATAATAAAGTCCCAAATGCCAAAGCTTCTGCTGTAGCCCAATCGATACTCGCCGAGGTCTTCAATTTTTCAAATCTATTTTCAATAAACGTTCTTTGCAAGCGAGGGTGCACCGTCTAAAATGCGATTATTTCGCGATTTAAAAACGTCATTATTTAATGGACTTATTATATAAATTATCGTTATAATGAAAGGATCTACAACAATACCATAGATTCAGGCACTTCAACGGACTTTGCTCCAACATATAATAACGTATTTAGATCACAGCCTGCATAGATTTTAAAAGAGTAACTAATTTAGTGATGACTGTTAAAGGCCAGTGACACAGCCAGCATCAAAATTGGGAATAGTTTTTATATCGTCAGGTTGATTGCATTGAATTTTAGTTAATACAAACCTGTATCCCACGTTGTATTTTCGTGAGACGCTTGCACGTATCCAGACCATTGCTTTTGCAAGTGAGACATCTAGAAAAGTTTCGCAATTTTATAAATTCAACAATACTCTGAATAACAATATTTGATATCAACAATTGAGGGCAAAAATAATGAATACCTCAATTTTCGAGATCTTTTCTACATTTTTTAATTCAGAATTTAAAGTAGAAGTATATTCATTCTTTAAAGCGGTTACGCGATCATTTGAGATAATTTTATCATCCTATATAATATAAATGAAATGATTAGAATTTGCTAAATAATGAACAGGCCGAAAAATCTACACAAACTTCTAAATTTTCTGCGTAAGAATCCGGGACACTCTTTTTGGAATAAATTGCATTATACATAATCGGCTGAGTGAAAGCAGGTTCATCCATCTCATTGTGACCCCTATTAACAACATTACAAGTAACTAAGAAATGTACGTCTATTACAGGCAAATTGGAACTTAAATTTGTAATATCTATTTGGTAGTACAGTATGATAGTACCATAGTCTGAAGCAAATTAAATCAATAATGATGTCTTTGGCAAATTTTTGCTTATACAACAATGCTAATTTTGTTGCGCGAGCCAAGTCCTAATTTCGGTAGGTAATAAATGATTTACAATTTATATACATATAAGATGAAACTGATTTTTTACAACTCAGAAAAATCGCTAGCTCTCTATTATCGTTATTTACCTCTGGATTGTCACCGTTCACATGTATGACTGGACAATCGATTATTTTACCGACGTCACTTGAGTACAGAGATGATCTATCACGGTATAAAAAATATCAATGGAAAAAAACGTATATCGCCACAACGGCAGCATCGTTGATAAAAATTTTAATACCTTCCTCTTTCTGGCTCTGTCGTAAAACCAATCTGGTTATTTACAATAAGATGAATAGAGCCTCCCGTTCGAAAATGAGGTACTTCAGAAAGCATTAATGTTTCCGGAATAATTCCCTGTTGTTTGCAATAAAATGAAACAAATAAAAATTAATGATTTACAACATAAAGTCTAAGATCTAGATTCTAAAATTATAGTAAAATTGTATAAACAGAACCATTCATTATGTCACTTATACATAAATTTATATGAAAAATCTGCATATTATTGCATTGTACGAGTTCTGTGTTAATAGGAAATAGCTTCTACGTCCTATACCTGTCCAGCAAAGGATGCATCTCCATGTACTTGCAGGCACATCGTCTAAAATTAAGTAGTTAATATACGTACAAAATATCTTAGATAGTACTTTAATATCATTTTAATGTACATTCTTTTCATTAAATTTTATTTTTAACCTTATTAGATAAGCCACTTTCACTATAATCGGCATCCCCTATTGACAGCTGACGAGCTCTAGTTTTACCACATGCAACAGGATTGCAAGCCTTTCGTAAGAATTAAAGAAGTAAATATACAACACACACTTGTCATTCTTTTATGCGGAAAAAAAGCGTGTAAAAGTATTCTCAACCTAAACTCGTGAAAGGCTACAGTAGACGAAATCTTAAGGTTAAATTTACCTCTAAATGAGAAGGGTTCGGTAACAAACTAAGATGTAAGTTACTATCTCCCATAGTTAAGTCTATTGTCTTGACTGCGTAGGAAAAGAGCATGTTAGTTCAAATAAAGTGACAATAACGATGTCGCTAGAAACACATTACTAAATCTGAGGGATATTGCATATTACCACTTGGCAGTAACAAAAAACCTACTACTTACATAAATGAGACAACACATCTCCAGTTCCTTTCGCTGAAGGAGGTAGCTCAGATCTTCCCATCATCTATGTTGACCAGAAAATTTCGATCTAAGACATAATATTCTTTTAGATAGCAACGACAAAACATTTTCGAAAGACTCGAACCTTGGAAAACATAGCGGCTGGTTGGTAATGAAGAAGACCAGTCATAAAATTTAATCTACCCCGATGGGGCATGCTAATAATAACATTCTCAATACCGTCTAAAATTGTTAAAAGCATTTGATGACCTTAGCGTTAGTTCACTTCAGTACATACAGAACATGCAATACTCTCCTGGTGTTTCCAGTATACTTTACTTATACGTATATGCACTCTAGCATATAATTTATAGCAAATCTGTACATTACACAATTCGTTAATTGCGCATGTAAATAATGTACTATAGTAACAGCAGGAATTAAAAAAATATAATCAAGAATTATTTGTTTCAATCTGGGAAAGCATACACTAACCTTGCATCGCGTGATTAAATACTTCATCAAAAAATACCATCATACTTTCTGCACCTTCACCTCCGTAACGTTTAACAGAGGGAAATTTCTTAGCCAGAAATTGATCAAAAGTCTGTACAATTAATAAAAATAATATCCACATTTGTTAAAAGATCTGGCAAGTAAAGCTTGTAACATTCGAGCGCATTACCTGAGATTTGATAAGCATCTCCATAATACGACATTTATGCTCTGAAGAAATTTCATGTTTATGCCATTTTTCGTAGTTGCGCCTAAACCATTCTTTTTCTTCGTTATCCTTCATTGAATATAAAATTAATACTGATTTAATAACATATAATAAATTGTATTGTTTTCAACAATTTACATATTACAAAGAAATATGTCTGTTATCAATACTCAATCGTGTGTTTTAGGCAAACCTTGATATAAGTAAACTCAACCGCTACAGAATTGCAGTAAACTTCTTTTAAGTAATCAACAATTTCTTTAATAGTGGCCTCTTGTTCGCTAAAATCGATAATACCTGCTTACACATAATCAGTTTACATAGTTAGCTTACTATAAGTGCAAAAGATATCAGGATATAATGTAGCATTATCTATGTGTTTCTATCATCTGGTTAAGAAGCATAATATCTTTTACCAGTATTTCAATTCCGTCATGCATATCATTATATGGAGTATAAGAGAAAATCACATCTAAATTTTCATTTGCATTATGTAGAAATAACGTTATATAAGCCTACCGTTGACGGAATATTTAGTTGAATCTTCTAAATTCAAGCCATAGTTTTCAATGGCTAACTCGGATATACTATAATGGATTGTGAAATAATATTCAATAACGACAGAGTCATAATTTTGGATATAATCGACTATACAAGTTTTAAAGTGGTAATTGTTTAGATAATCCTATTTTATGATTGTTTGACGATATCTATTTCAATCTACGCATGGGAATATAATACCATATTAAGTCAATATCATAATTGCAGTAAAGGTTCTACCAACGTCAGTTCCATTAAAATAAATTTTTTAAACAAGAGCAAAGTAGCAGGTAATAAGTAATTTATTAAAATGGCCTGATTTATGTAATAACCATAATTATAGTTATCATTATCAGAATCGGCTCCAGTCGCAAGATCAAATTCGATTAACCATCAGTTCTACTCAACTTCAGTCCTCAGGTAAGTAACTTACTATATGAGAGCATCTTAAGCACTGAAATACGATTTCTATCGTGTTTGAAAATATCTACTCACTTTGCTGCATTATTATTTGTTAGCTCTAAAGGATCTAGCTTAGCAATACGATGTCCATGATCATGATAGGCGGTAACAAGACGATACAAGTTGCTATTTTTAATTCTGTTGTTGATGACATCAGTAGATTCTATAATATTGATTATTAAAATTTAAAAAACAGTTATTAAATTATGAAGAGGTTACAGTTTAATAATACAAGCTCACTAAACTTATTTTCTATACGATATTTGATTTTAAGAGAAATCCTTTTATCAAAATGAAAGAAACACAATATCAGTAGTCTCAGTGAAGACTATTAAACTGCTACAAGGATAATCTCTGCGTATATCATTATAATCGTTCCATGAACGAATAAAAGTCAACACATCGGATAAAGCGGCGAGTGCAATAAGGTTATTCTATCCGTATAAAACATGGAGTGTTATTATCAATACAGAAATAGTAATTCATTTGCTTTACTCATGCAAATAAATACCCAAACATAACAGTTTTATACGCGTATATCCAACCAATTAAAAGACTGGACAATTAACTTTGAGAATTACTTTCGATACATTTAATTAATTAACTTATCAATAGCAATATGACTATACAGGTACAGAAAGATCCTCTAATAACTAATAATTGTTACATGGACTATTGATTCACGCATTGATTCTTTCAGAATTACTGTAGTTGATCTATCCTGTACAGTATGCATATATCAAACCTGTTAAAAAAATATCATGTAAGAATTTATCATGACCGCGTAGGCAGCTAACAGTAGCTCTACTGTATTCTCAGTTCATATGAAACTAATCCGTAATCTATACATTTGATTCATGATATGGATCAAAGTATCAATTATAAAGTAATATGCTACAGAATAATAGGAGCGTACAAAGGCCATCCGTTTTTCGTTAATATACGAAATCAGCTACGCTTTCTGGATCAGTCTATCATGTTACCATTTTAGAAGTGACAATTTAAGTTAACAGTTTGTAGGTTAGATTTCACTGATAAATGAATTGATCGGAGTTACCTTTTGTACTATATAGGCAATACAATATAAATCGAAGATTTACTATTTATCATAACTGAACTTTCTTTCCAATTTTCATTACAGTATACGCGTAGTACTAACACTGTTGAGGGCTACTTGAGCCATGAAAAGAAGCTGTCCTAACAATATCGTTGTCTATTTTGGCAGTCTACATTGGTAATCAGTCATGTTTACAGTATGTTACTAATATACTGTAATACTGTTAAATTAGAAAAAGAAGGTGCCTTGGCACCATGGTATCTTAATCTATTTTGACAGCGTATATAGGCAATCAATTATATTTGATTATCTTTAATGGTATAATATAATCTTAAGCATACGATATGAAAATGACTTCATAAATTGATATGGTGATAATCCTCTAAAAATAAGATATTCTACGTACGCGTTAACAAGTATATCATGCAATATAAATTGAGATTTTGCTATTTATCATAACGAAACTTGCTCTCCAATTTCCACTACAGTATAATACTACGTAATAAAGTTGAAGTAGAAAAAGAAGCTGTCCTAACAATATCTTATATCTATTTAGACAGCATACATTAGCAATCAGTCATGTCTGACTAGACCATGATTGCATAATCATGACCATACGACAAGCTAATAGCATCATAAATTAATACTATTACATAGGTTTACAACCATACTAGTAAAGCGTTGTCTACCACAGCGTAACAGATTCTCTTATAAATCTATCGTAAAACGTGTTGGTTAATACTCAAATAGATGACGATTACACTGTATTTCATAAAGTATGGCAGCTGCAACGACAAGGTGTATCACACCAGTCGACAATATGGACAGACAAGTTAGTACTGTACAGTAGTGTATTCGTTGTGGAGAAACTGCTGTGTATTATTTCAATTCTGAGCTTTTAGGCTATAATATATTACGTCAATATACTGTACATTGAAAAGGTTTCAATGATATTTTAATTCAACATTAGCTCTACTATTCTATTCTTTCTTGGATATCTTTCGCTATCATAGCAGATTTTCAAGCCATTTATTTCAGCCATTCCTTACTTTCAACAACAGCAACTTAACAACACTTGATCCCTTTTTTTACCATACCTTGAAATGGTTTTCCTTGCCTATCAACAGGTTTATAACCGAAACATCCTTGCCTTGTATGATAGCAGCGAAAATTGAAAATTTTACCGCCGTTAGGAATTAATTTTCTATTTAAACGCCACATATCCAAATTTTTGAAAATTTTTTTTTCACTGAGCGCTTTAATTTCCTCCACTGGATGTGGCGAATCGAGCAGTGAGCGACACGATCTCAAACAAGTGTAACGTTCAGATGAGTGTCACTAGTTATTAAGTGTCACCGCATCGGTGTGTCACGCTTCCTGTCTGCAGTATTTGCATAGTTTGACACTGTTTTTAACCAAAAGTTGCCTCAGCAATAACAGTAAATAAAAACAAACAATCAACATTTCTATAGAATATGCGCTTTGTTTAAAACGCTCTACTACCCAGATGAACACTAGTTACAGTACTATATTAAAGTAACTTTACTTTACTTCTACACGTGTATGTATCCTATGGTCAGTATTAAAATAACTGCGACAGCCACTGCCCACCAAGAAATGAATGAATGGAATCAAATTTGACTCGTCCCTCCAATCCTCCATCAACAATACGATGGAAATCAAGTTGTTGATCATGGCTGATCAAAGACTTTTAAACATCTTAGGCACTCTAATACAAGGAATAACTTTAACTGGTAGTCAAGTAATCGGCCAGAGGACTGGCTGATCAACCGTTCCAATCAGAAAGTATCTTTTCAAATCTTTTAGCCAATCAGGGAAATGCCATGCAGCCAGGCAGCCACATTTCCCCACCTAAATAACCTCCCTCTGGTCGAGTATTCTTATTCATTTTATTATAATTTCTTGATACGTATCGGCACATACCACATTCATACGAGTATGATCAATTACTTAGTATATAAAAACAAAACCAACAATGTTTCAATCTTCCAAAATAAAACTTTCCTAATATAATTATATCTACAATACACCATGATAAGCATAGAATTTGTTGAATAACCGATACTGTAGGTATCTTTAAAATGTTAAATTGTATTCTTTATCAGATTATACAGTCATACATAAAAACATAAATATTTTCTTGGCTGTATCTATTGAAAAGCTTCTATTTATAGCAATTGAGAACTTTCCATTAGTCAAAGATTTGGCAATAAACCGTTATAATTGCATAATTTTCTAAATCAAGCACAGGAATTATGGTCGTACAAACATTTGAAGCATCAGTTTTATCTGTTTCTTGGAAAAAATCTTTAATACCTATCGCACGGCATCAAGAGAAAATAGATTTTAAAAAACTTAAAGTCACTTTAATAGAGCCAATTAATTAATAACAAAAATTCAATTAAATATGACTTATAATACTTTGCATGTATTTTTAGTATATTGCTGTTATAGGTAGCCATAATACACTTTCATGCAGATAGACATAGTAAAGTACATCGTCAATACAAACCTAATTGGATCGATTTTTCTTGTTCATCAATCTCGGACTTGTTATAAAATATCTTTACACATAAAATTTGTTGCCAACTACGATGGCTCTGCTGCAATGCTGAATGCAGTTGACGATAGAGAGCAGAAGTGATTTTTCTAATATCAAACGTACACGTCCCGCTATCTTTTTCTCCATTAAAATCTAAATAATATATGCATACACGTACCAATACATAAGGATCGAGATAATCTATCATCCATTAAATTTAATAATCAAAAAATAAATCAGCAACTTACATAAAGAACTTAAGTATAGGCATGATTTATTGTAATCATGCATATAGCTCTTTGTGATAATCTTGAATGGTTCTATTTTGCTATCCAAGACTAATTTCACTATTTTCAATTGACAATTAAAAAGATAATGAATTCACGTATATGCTTGCAGATTAATTAATACTTTAAACAAGTTTAGCTATTATATATGTAGAATATTAACTTCGATAATTTCCTTCTCTGCAAGCAATAATTTGCCATTCGATATTGGCATTTTTTGGAAGGTCTGGTATAACAACAATAACCATTGGACACGTAGCTTTGTCTATATCCACCTAATTGAGAATGAAAACCATTAACTGATATCAAATAAGACAGATATGCACATCATTTATCCTTTCAGTCAAACCAACTAACATCTTTTAGATACTTCTCTTGCATAAAAATCCATATTTCACGAGCTATACGCATATATCCAGATTTAGTTACATAACAAATGGCAAAGACTACATCTGCGAGTGAAATATCACTATCGATCTTGCCAAGGATTTGATTGGTATTATAAAGTGACGCGACGCCTTCGTCCCTAATATCTCCCATAATCAATTTCATCGATCCTGGCACAAGACCGATTTGTCCAGCCACAAATATTGTATTACGGAGCTAATTAAAAGAATTTAAATGTTACGTTAGTTCATAAGATTATATATTTATTTAGAATTCTCTACCATTTATGTAATTCAAAAAAACTATGCATCTTAACCCTATGAGCTTGACTATATGGTCCAATATTTGCTGGTGCCCAATGAGAAATACTCTGAACATGTAGAACATCATGGATAGCATTCAATTCCGAATTATCATCTTTACTCGTAAAGCTTGAATCAGCTAAATACTTGAATATCAAACATTCCAAACTTAATTTTGCATCCATCAATTCAACCTCTATACACGCTCTAAAATACAATTAGAAAAATCAGTAAGAAGTTTATTTCAATTATCAACTGAATAACAGCTATACCTTGCTGGAGGATTTAAATTGAAGAACTTTTTGTACGTAAGATTGATACTTCCAAATTCTCTCATGTCACTTGTATATAAATTAACAAAAAGGATATCATCCAGGTTTAGATTTTGTTTCTGTAATATGTCTTTAATGATTAAAAAAGAATAATACAGCAATTAAATCCTAGCTTTAACGATAAACAAAGCATTACATTGTATTGTATCAACGCTATGTTCTGGCATAGTTAACTAACTAATCAGAAGTTCCATGACTCGCTGCGTTTCCTCCGATGCAGTTCCTCGAATATCAGACTTTAAACCGTGCACATAGTGGTAACACCCACAAGATTTGAGGGCTACAACATATTTAAATTTACCACAGTTATAAAATCAATCAAACTCCATGCTCGGCAACCAAAAACAAAACCATGCGATATGGAAATGTACAGTAGTATAACAACCTGGGAAACTGCAATTCATAACATTCACATCACTTTCAACCGCTCTTAATTCATGATACTCGCTCTCCAAATAATTATTCTAGTATGTAACATCAAATGTGTTAAGTAACCATATCAAATTATAAAATATCATCGTCCTACTGGAACCAATCAGCAATCGTGCTATTGCCATAAAGGTGTACAAAGAATGATTTCAGAATACTCACAGTGCTTATTTCGCAACATTTGCGTAAATTAGCAACCGCTGTAGCCCAGGGATTCTCTTGAGCCGAAACCACCGGTTGTGGTATACCCTAGTAGTAGAAAGTCGAACGCGATATCATCAAGGATATTCTTTTATCATGCAATTATTAAAAAAGTCTTACATCTTTAGCCTGCAAATGCATTTCCTGAAATCTTAAATACCCTACAGGCGCGAAAGCATCATCTGAATGTATCAATATTTCCTGCCTATCACTGTTTATTAAATTAAGGAATTAAGCAATACAACTAAAAAAGAATATTTTCCTTTCCTATGATGAAGTTATTGATGACTTACATAATAATTTTTTGAGTAAAAAGTGGACAATCCAGTGTAAATGTTTCATATTCTCCACCTTCACCACATATGTTTAATCCATACTTTTGATTCTAAAGAAGTTATCGTTAAACAATCATATCTAGTCAATCTAAGGAGAGAAACAAAGCGACATAGATAAGCTTACAAATCTTCTCATCACTGGAGCTATTTCTTGAAGACTTTTACCAAGGTGCTTCTGAGGCTCTAAGCCTAAAAAGTAGAAAGTCAAACAATTTATTTAAATAATCACATCTTTTATTATAGTTATCAGAAGGGTCAACTGAGACAAATAATATGAAGAAGTAACATTAAATTCATTCATAGTTAAATACAATAGCTAATGGAATGTTTTAATTCAAAAATTACTACTAGAATATTTAAGAAAACGTCATAGTTGTCAGATTATGATAATTTATTATTTGTATAATGGTATGAAGTACCACGATCTACTGTACTTCTTTAAATACCTAATGCTGCAACTTTGATTATTCGAGCATCTATGCCATCGTCGATCATCTCCATAAGAAGATCTTGTTGGTCCCTTTGCCATAAATATGCTAGACTAACTAATCCAAGTCGGGAACACCTATGCGGAAGTGATTTCATTACGTGCTTACCTAACATTTCAAACTATCACCAATTACTTATTCCAATAAATTACACTCACACATTTTCTACTCTAACCCTTTGATAATTAGATAGTATGGCACCAACAGAGACTGCTTCAATTTCGATATCGTTCTTGTTTCGGTTAAATAAAAGATAAATGCAGTCTGAAATTATCTAAAGTATATATATCCTAATTTCGTCGAATATTACTCGAAAAGTTGCAATTTACCTAATAAGGTACAGTAACGCTTTTTTGCTTAACTCAAAATACACGATATCATAGATAAGAAATTAAATTGAAATTTCATATACTGTCAGTAAATTTGAATAATTTCCAAATGCATTGCGAATTAAGAGGTTGACGGGCATCATTACGCAATAGATACCAGCAAAAATTTTTTATTTATATACGTATGTATAATGTACTTTGCACATACTACATATTGTATTTATGTATGCGTAATAGTTTGCACAGTTGTGTGCGCGTATACAATGCGCTAGCACAGAATACTCTAAGCTTTGTAATTTTTTATTTTAAATACTTGTGCACTCAAGGTTTCTCCGTATCGTATTGTACGAACAAATGACTTTACTATTGCTTTGCAGATTACTAAATAACTACCAAAGCTTACAATTATTCTATAATCCAATAAATCAGGTAACCTATTGAAGCAATGACGATCAATATATTAGTCATTATAATTATTTTACATACTTGTACTTCTTTCAGTAACTCATACAAATCTTCCACTTCGTCTTTTGCAGTAGGTGAGTAGTAACGATCAGTTGCAATAGAGGAACCTTTGAGAGGGTGACGATACAGCGGTAAATTCATTGCGTCGGCATATAAGTGGATAGCTTGATGACCAACCGTTTGAAACATATAACTATCTAATTCATCTAAGAGAAAATTTCACGAATTAGGAATAAATCGGTGGTTGACTATTCAACATATTGCGCTCATTATTGTATATTATATTTTTTACCTTGACTTCCATCCGGGTACAAATTAGCTAATGCAACTATCTGATGACCATGCCGTACACATTCTAGCATGTTATAGCAGCTATCTTTACCCCCGCTTGAAGTGTAGTACAAAGAATGCAATATATTAATTAATAAATAGCTAGTATTAGACTACCATTGAACCAAGTAGTATAGTACATTCTTTGTACCGTGTAACTCAAATGATACTGCGGTATCATAGTTTAAAAAATAGCTAACACTTGAGTAAACTCATCATAAATATAGGAATACGGCAACATGTCCGCAACTACAAGTACAGTGGGCTAAGAAATCCATTTTATGCGAAACTGATTAACTCTGTATGACATTGCAACATCGAAGTTTCGGTACTAAGTACTATGTTTTAATAAAAATAAGAGTAAATAAATATTGTAAACAAATAGTTGGACGACTGAAGTCGTACGAATTATTAATTATTATTAATCCATACCTTGTATACTATCAATATTTTCAAATCATGTTTACTACCGTTACCTTATCAAGGCTACTGTTTTCATCTTAGCACGTTTTTATCCTTCTTTTACCTATATACAAATATATAGAGAGTGGATGTATTCAGCGCTTCCGTTGTCAGAGTTTGCAGTTTGATCATAATTTTACGGGACCAATCAGTGTAATAAATTAATAGCTAGTAACAGCGTTTAAGGTTATCAATATACATGTATATATGGATAGTTATAGTTTATAAATTATAGCTAAATGATCAACAGTAACCTCTGCATTGCAATAATCGTATTTATTAATCGCATTTAATCGTATATACGCACTAAAATGAAAGCGAGTAAGATTGAGCTTTCTAACTTAGCGGGTATTACCGATGAGATAAAAATGCAACTGGTTCAATAAAAAAAATTAAGGTTATCAAGATGCAGCTAAATACGAGTAGTTTGCAAATTGCAAATAAATGACTAACAGTAACCTACACATTACAATAATGGTCCTTAGCACAGCATTTAACTGCATTCGATGCATAAAGTGAAAGTAGTTATAAAGCGAGCCTCTGGTCGAGTATCAATCAACGAGTTAGGCGAAATTACAAAATACTAAATGATCGAATTTAGGTTATCAAGGTGCAGCTAATACAATACGATTAGTATCGTTTGTTTACAAATTGCAACTCTATGATCAACAGTAGGTTATACGTTACAGTAATCATATTTTAGTATCTATGATCACATATCCTCACTAAGTGAAAAGGAGTAAGAGTGAGCTTTCTTATCGATTATTACCAAAGTGAGTTAAGGAAAAATTACAAATTCCTCTGCTGTAGTATGTAATCCAATGTCCTGTATATCTAAAGGTTATCGCGATATGACGATGCAGCAAAGTACGGTGAGAGTTGTAGTTTGCAGATCATCGTTTGCAAATACTAGTTTAAATATTAGTTTACAAGATTGCAAATTTAATTCATTATCAACAGTAGTCCTAGAGATTAGAATTACCGTTTTTAGTATCGTATCTAATCGCATATACTTACTAAATGAAAGCGAATGAGAAGAGTTGCTTGGTATTGAGCAGCTGCAATAAGCTCAATTGTGATAGCTTGAATACTGTGCTCTAGATATAGATACTATCTAGATAGGATACGTAAATCACTCACTAGTCTATAGTGGTGTATTATGACGCTTCCTGGATTGTTCTAGCGGTAATTGTTAGTCTGTCATGCGCAATAGGCTAATCTATCAGTACTGTAAGGAAGCGATTATAGTGACATTATTTTTGCTAGTGACTCATACTATACAAAGTATAACGTATATTCTGTGGTCAAAATTAACGATTATTATAGTATTAAGCAATAGATAAGTATATCGTGGCAAAAATAGTGTCACTACCGGAAGACCATCCTGCTATACGTACTGATATCCATACAGTACGCTTAGACCTGACGTACGCCACGTCAGAGTACAAGAGCACAGTACTAAAATCACAGTATTGTACATACCGTACTGTACACTGTACACTGTACGGTACAGTACGGTACGGTATAGTACAGTACAGTACTGTACTAACTGTACTGTACTGGCATCCTCAGTCAACAAAGCTACACTGCCAGCCCAAGATGGAGGAAAGGCTTTCACTCTGTGCAAGATAATCCATCCTATATACGTTTGAGAGCAATTTCGTACTGGAAATTACTGCAACCTATCCATTAATTAACTCTACGTTGGAAAGATTAATTGAAATTTTGATGATCGTATTTGGTATTCTCTTCCTTTGATTTATAGACGATTAGAAAAGCTCAGTTACGTCCAAACTTTGATCAAGTTTTCATCTAGTCTTGACACCAGTCTACGTTCATCCATAACCTTAAAAAGCCAAGATGTCGTGGCTTTCCGGTTTAGCTGATAAAGCCGAAGGTCTATTAAATAACTTAGATCAATCAGCAGCCAGTGCATTAAATGAATCTAATCTCAATCGATCTACTGATTCTCCAATGGCTAAAAATACTGGCAATCAAGATTTGAAATCAGGCGGATTTCAATCTATCGGCCTCAATGCTGGTATGACTTCCTTACAATCCAATGTACAGCCAAACGTGCAGTCTGATCGTGCAAAGGATGCGAATAATAGCAAATATTTGTCACAAATGAGCGCACCTCGAGTAATTCGTCCTGGATCAAAGAGTAATATGCCAACTTCCAATAAACGCAAAAGTGAAGATAAATTATTCGAATTTTTAAATAGTAATGATACTGATGTCAAGTCTAATGTTAACGTTCTCAATGATAAACGTCATGCTAGCAATAGTAGTATGAATAGCAATAGTCGTAGTACTTCTCCAAATCCTGTTAAAAACAGTAAAAGTAGCTCGCGAAGAACGAGTGAGGAAGATAATAACGGCATTACTTTTAATGCTGATGGTAAAGCTAGTTCTGGAAATGATCCTATAACTGGTAAGGGCATGAGTTCAATTTATCTTCATTCAAGTCTTGACTTCAATGTCTATTTCAATCGTTATATTTTCTTGTATTAATTAAGAACCAACTAAATGATAATAACTGTAATTTGTGGGATATAATATATAGCACAGGTACAAGTATGATCCTAGTAATGGGCAATTCTTAAAGTGAACTATATTGCCATTAAACATGAACTGCATAATCATGCTTATACATTTGCCATACATGATATCCTACAAATTACAATGTATTGATGTTAACATAATTATGCTATCAAGCAATTTCTTGCTATAATTTACTGTAGGCTTCAGTAAATACCATAGAAGCAAAGTTTAAAATACGTTTTACAACACTTAAGAGCTGGTGATTCTTTAGTTAATATTATCCATTTGATTTGATCATATTTACTTATCTTATAATTACGAAAGCTGCCATTAAGACTATCAAGTAATATAGTCCATGGGAAAATTTATGGGATTAAGAAACTGCACTTATCATTTCATACATTTTCACGAAGAACATTTACCGTCAATAGTAATCTTCACGTTATCATGTATACAAAATTTTAAGGCCCTTTGACGTAATGATGGTCATACTGTATTACACTTACCAATGGGATAAAAAGTAACAAACATATTTCAAGAAATTGCAGGATAGTTAGTATTGTAAGACTAAGTGCAGTATAATATGTTCTGCAGCCATTCGGATAGATTTACCATCATGTATTCGGTACGTTTGTTATATTATGAATAGAAGAGCGCCTATAAAAATTTATATCGATGCCAAAACTATCAAAAGTGGCATCAGTGTATTCTAAACGCATACAGTATATTTATAATGTTATAATGGTATGATGAACTGCAGATTCTCAGTTATTAATACTATATCATTTCGCTCATTCCTCAAATTTTACTAACTGTAGACTTATATTCTTACGTATCTTTAAGATCGTACTAAAGATACTAGGGCGGATAATGTGGATAGCAATGACACTAATAATGATGGCCACACCATATCTGGAAATAATGATCGAGCTCGTCGTAATAATCATAATACAGCACAGACAAAGAAAACTATAGAACGGCAAAATGGTATGGAATTGGAGATTAAATTACTAAAAAAGGAAATTTCGTCACTAAACGAAGAATTACATGGCAAATCTGAAAAGTTCAAGTATAACCTAGACTGTACGTAACTAACCTTATTCTTAGTGAAAAAAGTATGTTCCGCTAGGTAACCATTTACGATTGTTTTAATTTATTAGCCTTAACTAAAGCTGAGAACGATATCGAACAATTAAAACTTAAGCTGAAGGAAGCCGATAGTAACTTTAATCATTTAAGTATCAGTAATCATGATATGAAGATGAGTATCGATGCTAAAGATTCGCAATTAGCAGTCTTAAAAATTAGATTGAAAGAAGCTGACGATGAACTACGGAAGAAGAATGAAACTCTTGATAAAATACAACAAGAGAGAGACAGGTACTTCTGTAAAATAGAAATTGCTGAGTATAGTACAATACAGTATATTCAATCTTATTATTGGTCTGTGCGATCTTGTACTCAAATTAACTACAGGCATTAAAGTAGCTTTTACTATTGTTTGTAAATAGGGTTCTCCAGCATCACAATAATTCAACGGATGCACATAGTGAAGCTTTGGAACTCTTAAAAGTTAAGTTAAAAGAAAGTGAAGAAATTTATCAGCGTGAAAAATCTGATCATGACGCACTGAAGGTATGCAAAATTAAATATAGACAATTATAATCATACATAGTAGTGTGTGTTTAGGATATCAGAAATAAACTTGTAAAAAATTAATTCTGTATTGATAGAGCGATACGATGGAGAGACAGCATCAACTCGAAATGGAGAAAATATCCCTAGCCGAAGAACTTACTGCTTTACGACTTAAAATAGATGAGGGCCAAAGTAGGATATAACCGTACGAACACTGTAATCATGTGATATATACGGCATAATAATGCATATCCTGTATTACACTTTAGAGAGAATTGAAGAATTAAATGGTCAATTGCGAACATCAAAAGCTACCATAGATTCAATTCGTCAAGAAAATGCTGATTATAAAGTTAAAGCCACAAGAATATTACAAGTAAAACACCTCATTGTACTTGTGTTATTCATAATTTTATAAATTATTAATTATAATTTACCTTTAACAGTCCAAAGATAAGGTCATCACCAAATTACAGGATGGTATTGACAGTGATGACAAAAATGCATTTATTAATCTTGGACTTGAGGAAATGAGGAAAGAAAAAGACATGATTAGAGAAGAGCTAAGCCAGCGTCAAACTGAAAATGATGAACTTAGACGTGAATTACAGGTATTACAGCATATAAAAGGAAATTTTTTCTATTATTATACAAATTAATGAGAACTACGTAATGTTGTAATACGATAATTTAGGAAATCGAGCAGAATTACCAGGATGAGCTCATATCGCTACGTGATCATATTAGTAGCCTAGAAGATAGTCTGAATGAAGAAAAACAGAGACGAGATGATTCTGAGCAAGATGCTGTTAAGCTACAAATGGTAAATTAGACTACTCTAACAGAACTAATGTTCTTCAGGGTTACAGCTAGTGATAACGTCTCTATTGCACATTTTTATAGCAAGTTCAGTATCTTCAAAATGAACTTATGGTTCAGAAAACAAATCTTCATCAACAGAAACAGGTATTGCATACCGTATATGCATACAATATAATCTTAGTATCAGTTTTACATTTTACTTTCCACTTAGGCGACGATTATCATACAATAGTTAATACTTCTATTATTTTTTTTAGAAATATGAGGATGAAATTGAAAGGCTAAAACTTCGTGTAAGACGCTTGAGAGATAACTCAGCCTTGGAATATAGTTAAAATATTCGATATCTTGTTGTAGAATGTAGATTCGCCTAAAAATCAACGAAAGGATACTGAACTTGAGGACAGAATTAAAAGCTTAACTGAAAATCTAATTCAGAAACAGACTATTATTGAAACTCTGAATACAGAAAAGAATTCTCTAGTATTACAAATGGAACGATTAGAGGTATTATTTCTTTAGAGTAGACAAATAAAACTAATTAATTATTAAAGTCGATCCAAATCGATACGCACCAACTTTCAGAAACAGTACCGCGACATTATTAAATATAACGAGGGGCAAAACAAAATTACAATTGAAATGCCGGAAGCGCAAAATGACGTTGTAGATGAAGGAGGTGAGATATTTTTGATCTTATTTTAAGCTGTATAGTATCCATTACACCAATTTACTTACAAATATTGCTATACATTAGGTGTCCGTATGAGATCAATATCATCAATTATACCCGGAGATGATTCATTTTCTGCAACTCAAAGCACAATTTCGCATCGTGTTAAAAATGCTGCTAATGCCTTAGATAGCGCCAGGTAGGTTTTATCAATAAGATTAAAAGATAACAGCTTTTCTAAATTTTTAACTATGCCTTGCCACTACCTCTAGTGCCAGAATTGGCCGATACTTAAGATATTATCCTGTAGCTCGCCTTTTCAGTATATTCTATGTGGTAAGTACAATTCTCCATATTTGAAATGAACTTGATCTAATGTTGTCTAATCGTTTATCTTTACCTTTATTTCGATAGATTCTTTTACATCTATGGGTAATGTTCGTATTGCTGACGTATAGTCCCGAAATACATAACGCGCACAATCCTCCGCCTAAATCCAACTGAAAATGTACTTAGCTTAATTTTTACTGTAACTAAAAGCTATTTCTGCATAATTTATACCAAGATATTAAAATACCCTATAAAAAATTTTATGTTGTAAAATATTTCAAAGATCATTTACATTTTAAAGAATAATATTGAATGAAATTCACCTGCTTACTAGATATCTTAAGAATATTATCAAGATTGTTTGATAATGTTATTTGTTGCATATCGAATCACTACCTAAATATGAATATCTTTGAAATTAATTTACATTTAAAATGTATATATACCAAACGTACATATACACTTACGTAACGTAGTTGAAAGCAATCTCTGTGGCGCATATGTTTTAAATTCAGTCTAATGTAATCTGTGATCGTAGAGCAGTAACTAAAGTTATACCATTTTATGGCGTCATCCTGTAAGATACGAAAATGAATGCTGAGTATTTATGGCCTGAAAGATATAAAATACTTCAGGTTTTTTTCATCTTATGGTATTAAACTTTCGAATATTTTCGAAAAATTATCGTATTTAGCCTGAAAATCTGAAAAGAAATCCAACCGTAGCATCACTATATTGTCAATATCTCCAGCGTATGCTATGTTTTTGCTGGTTGACTTTAGGGTTAATTGGAATTATTCAGACCGTTATTACTTGACTCGATTCAACACAGTATTATAACTTCATCTTTATTGAATAATTTTTATTATTTGCCGAAGTTCTAAGATATAGCATTAGCATTTGTTGACTATTCATGACAGAATGTTGCACACCGTCATATCGTAGCTAAAATCCACTGAGTGTGGCTTCGTCCAATAAAAACGCTAATTGTTTGCTTTAACAACGTAACTGCAGCTGTTACTGGAGCAGCGTTAATAAAATTAAACACTATTACTACTATGTGAAGTAAAAGACGATTCATTAGTTATAGGTCTTTCGATTATTAATTATTAGCAATCCAATGGTATTAAGATAATGTATATATAATTAACTGTGAGTACATAATTTTAAGTATTGCACGTAAATTTAGTAATATTTTTCTACCATACATTACAGATACGTACATATAGCAATGTTTACGAAGGGCAATATAGGTTTTTATATGTCCTATTATACATTCATGACTTTCGAAACAATCTGGTCAATGATAACTTTTTCGTTAGCATTATACTGCATATAAAATTTTCTGCAATTTTTTAGAACGATTAAAATTTCGTAACTTTTACTGCATAACATGAGCAATATCTTAAACCATAAAGACAACAAATATAATGAAAAAAATCATTAATACACCAAATATCTTAATCATTAGCCAACGATTAGACGAAATGGATTGAAAATATTTTAAAATTTCACTATGAGCAGCTTCTACATTTGCTTGTGTATCTTCAACGTTTGCATCGATCCTATTGAAATCGTAGTCAATTAATTCTATTTATAAGTGGGAAAAATGACGGTATCAAATATACCTCAGAACTTGCTCTTCCTGCTCTTTCACCATAGTAGCTAATTGTTGAAATATACCACCTAATTCTACAATAGTAGACTCAATATTTTCCATCGTTTCAGCCCTGTCTTGTATGTAATTATCCTAAAAGAGGTAGTAGAAAATATAAGATGTTCCAGATGTTAGCTGCGTCGTAGCGTATTATCATCGGTATTTTACGCTAATAGTAAATACCTGTTGATCTATTAACTGCATTTGGTGATGGGGACTATCCAATGAATCCATATTTATGGAAACTGACGAATTATTTCTTCGTAGTAACACTATAAAAAAAATAATTGATGAAAGACAGATACGAATTTGCTTACATTAAAAAAAATATTTATATCTACCAGATTGTTCGTTATTATCCGTTGGTGTGTACATTGGTACCGGAGCAGTAGAGAATTGTTCACGTCGCTCCTTCTGTTGTTTTAGATTCTAAAAATTGATTATATGTGCCTAATTTAAATTCTAATCGACATCCTTTTTTAAATCATAAATATATACTTGTTCATTAATTATTAATTGTAACTAAATTCTACTTACGGCGGTACGGATCTCTAAAACACCTTTAAAATCTTTCGACATAGAGGCTAACCTAGACTGTTGACAATCAACAAAATGTAATTAAATTAAGGGCTACATTGATATAATACAGTTGTTTAGTCATCAATAAGTATATCATAATACTTCGTTATTAACCATAATATCATGATAGCACTTAAATTTTGGAATACATACAGCTTCCATAATTGAATGACTATTTAATTGTTTGTATATAAATTTAGTACGATAATGTCAACAATGTCACTACAAGGATTCTGTATTTTATTGTGCCCGTACTTTTACTGCTAGATATTATAAATTTTAACAACGAACCTGTAAAGAATATAAAACGGAATTAGAGTGTGTTTGTATATGCCGACCATTATGCATGTTCTTTAACCTGGCGATCTGAAAGGTTATACGTTAGTTAACGATTGAATAGTAATTGTTAAAAGTTAAAAATTACAATCAAAATCTATGAATATCAATAACAGAATAAGAGAGTTGAACTTTGGTTCTACACTTACTTCTCGTAGTTGTGCTATTTGTCTATTTAGGTCATTAATATCCTGTCAAAACAATTACGCTCGTTTATTTCAGAATAAATCGCTTCCAAGTCAGTACAAATTAAATGTTACTATATTATTGTATCATGTTTATAACTGGATTAAACATATAAAAATAAGTACGTTTAAGCAAGAATTTAACTTGATAACAATTATACCACTTCGTATATTAATACATATACGTCTATATCCTATAGCTAGTACAACATACCTAAACATGTTACTAAGTTTATCAATTATTTCATACATATGATAATGAGGAATGTCACAATGTAGTTATTTTACCTGTTTAATTATATTAGTTAGCTGTTGTATTTCTAATGGTTTATCATCGAATAATGACATCTTCTTCGCCACTATGAATAAACAGAAATCAATGCAGCACAATTATTTATAGTCTTTGGCTACATGTGCAGTTAAAACCGATACAGTGATCTCAAAACTTTACGTTGCAGTAAAACTATACAATGTCAGTAAGGCAAAAGGACTTTTTTTAAGATATGTATAATAAAACATATCCTTTACATACAAGGAAGTTATTCATAACACATAACAGGATGCACATATAATTCATTGATTCAACAGTTTTTCTACATATAACTATCTTCAGTATTTAGTGGAAAACCATTACGCCACTATGATTATGTTGATTCATATACTACTGTGACTACATACTATAGGCAATAGCAACGGATAAGATTATGTCTGATTAATCTAATACCACTTCTTTACTCGATTTTTATAAAAACCTGATATTCAATTTTTAACTATCTTGATATTATACGATTTTCAACAGAATTATCGACCATATAAGAAAAATTTTTTCAATTTTTAAAAAAACTATCAAGAGGAACAATATGAGAACATGAAACCGTCCATTTGCCAACATTATCTCTATCGTAAATGCTTTTTAGAAATGATACTTACGATTTGCTAATTTCTCCAATTTTTTAAAAGTATTTGCGATATCGTTGCCGATACGCCTAAAATAATATACAGACAAAGATTAATTAATAATAATAATTAATGTATATCCAATAAAATTTACTGCTATTGAAAATAAAAATTATTGATGTTTGTTTAGAATCAACGTTAAATTTGAAACGGTCATTCCTAATAGTATCGCCAATGATACGGTATTGAAATAACTAGTCACAGTGAAATTCAATACTCAGTTCTACCTAAGTGATGAATACGTCTGTACTGTTATGTCAGAAGGTTAATCCTTCTAATTAATCATCAGCATGAAATGGGAATTTATAATGACGCTTCATAAATTCAATTAAAGCTATACTCTGCAAATGGCCTATAATGCAAACAACAAATCCTTACTTTGCTACAATAGAGAACTCGCTAGGATTGGCATGTCGTGACTGACTTCGAGAGTTCATTCCATCTTTATTCTACAAATTTCAAGCCAGATCAAAAAAATAATAACACATTTTTAGAGAACTGCGTACAGTATGTGTATATCAGTAGACAGTAAACAGTCGTGTAATATAAAATTGGAAGCTAGAACACCAATAGTAAAAAGGATGATACCGTCGTATTATTACCAACTTCTTATAACCGTATTCTGCTGTAGTTGCATACTGTACTACCGTACTGTACATACTACAGCTTCCAATTTTAACAAATTATGATGTGGTAAAATTTTCAATGAATGTAGAATACTCAAGGAAATAGTACCACAATTTATCTTTTATGTCACCGAATTTCAATGAATCAATACTGATGTATTGATACAGTACAATTTTTTTTTTTGAAGGGGGGAGGAAAGAGGGATAAATGCAGTTGTTTCATGATCATTTAAAAATTTCAGTCAAGATATTCTACCAACTCTATTTACAACGCTATACAGGAGTTGATTCATCATCCTATTACCTGTTTGTTTTGTAAGGTCTTGGCCACTAGCATGAATTCGGCAGTTCTATCTCGACTGGATGAGTTGGAGATTCCGGAGAAGAAATTTAATGAATTTACGCTTTGATCTTTATCGTTGGACATCCCCGATGAATTTAAGTTACGCCGACGAGCAATTGCTAATGTAAAGTAATAGAATATTAGTAGATAAAATGACTTGTTCCATCGATTCAATATCATTTACTGTATGTATATAGTTTCTACCGTCGCCTTGAAAATGAGTGGACAACGGCAATCGGTTTATTTATGAATATGATCGATTGCTATACATTCATGCATGTCTTCCACGATCTGCCCATCCTGAATAGGCATTGTACAGTATTTTGAAGATATAGTTGGACCGATCGTTATGCCGTACTACCAGTAATTTTTATTGTAGCGATAAGTATAATCTTCCATTCAATTGAACACTATTAGTCCTTTCTTTCTATACGATGAATCACTTCTAACTTGTTTCAATTTCAAGAAGAACATTGATTGAAAAAATGGCTACCAACTACATTGTAAAATGCACTACTGAAACAGTGCAGGCTGTGTACTGTACAGTACTGTAGTACACCGTTGAAAATCTTATCTACCATATTCTTCCTACCCTAGCAGCAAGGTTATGACTACGGCTAAAGTTGCGAGTTCATATTCAATTCGTTATTAATTCAATCTTACCATCCATAATTATAGTTGATCTCTGTTAAATAGGATATAGAATAATGAGATGAAACCACTACTCCCAACTGCTTACGGCTAATCAAAATTTAGAAGCATATTTTGGGGGAACAACACGCAGCCACAATGACGTGGAAGATGCAGTATCGTATTGGATTGCACAGCGTCTGGTCATCCCGTCCAGTCCAGTCCGTTTTTACAGTACATTGCACAGTAGCCGTACAGTACGGTGTACTGTACTGTAGTGTACTGTACACTGTACTCTTCTACTGCTGCTAAATCGGTGCATACTGTACTGTGTCATTCTAACATGGACTACTGTACTAAAAGAAGACTTGGACAGATCACTTGAGCGGATGGACATTTTCGGCCTCATCTCGTTAAAGTAGAGTATGTACGTATTTTGCCAAACACGTCGTTATGGCAGTACTTTAGTATGCAGACGGTTGATTTGAATTTGACAGATATTTTCTCAATTAAATAATAATAATTGAATATTACATTGAATCTTATTCTACTATACACTGCACAGTGTACAGCACAGTGGTTATTTTCCCCTATTTGAATTTGACTGATACTTTCTCAATTAAATAAATAATATTACATTGAATCTTATTCCACTGTTCACTGCACAGTGTACAGCACAGTGATCATTTTTTCCTATTTAAATTTGACTGATATTTTCTCAATTAAATAATATTACATTGAATCTTATTCTACTGTACACTGCACAGTGGTTATTTTTCCCTATTTGAATTTGACCGATATTTTCTCAATTAAATAATATATTACATTGAATCATGGTCACTTTTCCATATTTACGTCCTCATTTGGTAAGAAAAGTCCGTCTGTCTATAAGACAGTCTGTATAGTGTACCATAGCGTACTGTACCTACTGTACCTACTGTACCGTACGGTGCACTACAAAGTACTGCAGATTACAGTACTCTGTACTGTACTGCATTCAAAGAAAGAGTACTGTACAGTACTACTGTACAGTACACTGAGTGTACAGTCTGTATCTGTGACTCGAAGCGGATGGACAGAGCGGACCGACTGGATTTGGCGCCAACTTTGAATGACTGATACCCCTTGTTCAGTCAGCGAACAGGAGCAAGGCAGTTGCCGCGGCCTATACTGTACTGTAGACGAAACCTTTCCAAGTTGGCAGCCTGCTCACGGCCTAGGACAATTTATAGCCTGTAAAAGATTATGTTTCATGCAACTTTATCGATTCCTCGTTCACTGGATAGCTAGCTCAAACTCAACCATTCAAAATTATAGAAAGAATTGAATCAAAAAATTTCTTTCTACACGCGTATCTTGGCCTTGCAACTTTCTACGAAGAAGCGAACGAGAAAAGATGGTCACCGATGCAGAAATTCTATCACAGGTTCAATTTTGGGGGGGGAGGGTTATCTTGATATTGTTGAACTACAGCAAATAAATTAAACTATCTTGACTGTCATCGTATAGTAAGATACAACTCTGAATATTCAATTTCTGATCTTGACACAAAATGACTATTTATACTCAACTTAAAAATAGGCAAATAATAGTGTAATCATGATGATGATTTTTATTAACCAGGCAATACAATCCGAACAACACTTAGATGATACTGACGGCGAAAATGTCAGTACTCCTCCACCACAGAGTAGCCCTACTACACAAGCAAAAGAAGACAACAACCTCCAATGGGATGATCAATGGCCTGGTGAACATGAAAGCGATTCTGACGATAGTGAAGTGAATTTCACAAGAAAGAAAAAGATTCAACGAAGTAAAAAATCACCTGCTAAAGAAAATACCAAGTCCAAGGTAACGATGATGAATTAGCCTGTAGATTAAATTAAAATCGAATGATCAATATCATTCGTAGAGTGGGAATACAATGTACGTGTATTAATTTAATAGGAATCTTTGATGGTATCGATTTCATACTAGTTGTATTTAGCGACTTTGAATCCAAGCAAAGATGAATATTAAGCATATGTAAAATTCAATTTCCAAATTTTTACAACCATGCAACATTTATTATACCACAGTACAGTATATATCGTACAAATAATACACTTGTGTAGAACTGATTATTTTACGGAATAATACAATCACGTATTCCTGACTGTCATTACAAGGCACAGTTAAATATTTCTGTACAACATTGAATTAAATGATATTTGTTACTGCATCCAATTCATTAGTACAGTGATACTATATGCACAAATACAACATACAACGGCTCTTAGAGTAAATATACCATATCTATATTAATTGCAATCATCAAAAGTACAGGAAACGCAAATTAATAGCATTTTATATTTTTTGATGTGACTATTTAACCAACTCAAGCATAATAGCTAATTTTTCACTTTCATATTTATTTAAACAGTCGCCACACAATCGGAAAGCCAAATTACAACAACTACATAGTCAATCGCAAAAGCTTATCCGAGGTGAGTTACAAGTGAACAATCTATTCATTGTATATTTGTGTAGCATCTTTAAAGTCCGCAAAGATTTAATACATTATGTGACTATAAATCTTTTCCTAAAACCCAGATAGTTTACATTTTACGTAAATTTTTAATAATACGATCAAATTATTGTATCTAAGATTTCCCTTACCTTATTACTATAAACTGAAGTTTTTCTATTGGTATCACACATTTAGAATCGGACTTGAACATTCCTCGCTATACACCAGCGGTAAAACCTTTAAGTGATTGTCTAGCTAAAATTCAGCAGCTTCAGGATCCTGAGAAGTATGTTAACACTACTTCATGATTAATTTAAACAATTAAGTAAAATATCTTCTGCAGCATTTTATATCATTCGCCTTATTTATAATCAAGTACTGTAGCACATTTCTTTATAAATAGCCATTATTATAATAAGGATAAGCTTACACTGAATTGTTATAAATTTACAATATACCGCAAATAATCTTCCATCATAGGATGCCGATTCAAAAATAAAATTAAATCATTGCAAAGATATATAACTACAATCAAAATAGTTTTAATTTTTACTAATAAATATCCAACTAAATTTGTTCGCTCTATCTATCAGGAATAAATCTACAGGTTTTCATCTCAGATCAGTCAGCCAACTCCGTAAAAACATCAAACTTGAGAGGATAGCCCCCAAAATTTTACCAAGTCTTACTAAGCCATCTAACGATGTTCTAATTTTATCGAATGCAGGTCAGCTATATGATGTTAATCTAATAATTTACCTTGCTTTGCTTAAAATACCGATAAAATCATTTGACCATAAACCAGATTCAGTAACACCACAATCCAGAAAATAATGACTTTCAATATTTTTCAACATTTCCATAATAGATAATAAATGTGATAATGCGATTAATCGCTTTAAAAACCGATTCAATAAGCATAATCCAGTAAAATCACGGAAAGCTTCAGGTAAGTTAGCTCAATATGATTAAATTTGCCCAATTCGAAATCTAAATAGCAATCGCCGTCAAGTCATGTTGCTTCTATTAACGATAATTACAGAACGTGCCAAAGTCAATATTTTAGTGAAAGAGAAAGATCAGCTACAAACATTGGAACTAGAATTGCCGGAGAATAACGATAAAATTAGCTCTATTCTAAAGCCAGACGAAATTGATACCATCAAAACGCCAGGTATGGAGATCAGGTGTACCTATACCTAATATAGATAAGTTTATTTTATTTCTCAAAAATCTTTAAAATTATAATTCTAGGAGCCAAAAAAGCCATTGTTAAAACTAGGTTACATGCAAAGATGGTAGAACGACGAAGAAATGAACGACTGGCTATGGAAGAAGAGCAAAAAATTGATGAGGAAGAGTTTGACGATGAGGAGGAAGAATTGACGCCTGATGACCAAGACGACTTTGATACTGATGTTGTCGACGAAGAGGACGAAGACGAAAACAAGGATAGCAACGAAGATACCGACGATGAAGAACTTCTCAATAGTTATATTCATGTAGGAATGAATAGTAATAAGTCGCCTATATCAAACTCATTGGACAAGAATGTTATGGAAATGTCTACCATAGATGAAAAACGTAAAATAATTTTACTTTTAAAGATTTCCATAGCAGTAATCTCAACTTTATTATTAACTAATTTATCAAACGGATTAATTTTATCTTTACTGCAATATAACGTATATTAATTAAATTATACGATGCAAATTATATTCTATTAGAGAACCAACCAGCTAAAGATAATACTCTAGATCTATTCAACAAGAATAGCAATTCAGACGCGGTAAATAATGATTCCCGAGACAAATGGGACAGCACAAACTTTCTACGACAGCAAAGTATTCATTTAACATGGGACGGAACTCAGACATTTGATTATAACGACAATTTGGAACAAGGTCTGCAACTTATTTGACTGATTTATGTAATGGAATTTATTGCTTCACCTTAAATGCTATAATTTGATTAAATACTAGATATAGATCAAGGCTCTAATAAAAATGAGAAAGGAGACGAAAGCAATATACCATCTAGCTTTGACTATTTTAGTTTACCTCCTGCTCAAATCCCGAAAAATTTTACCAAACCTAAAAGTGCACGTTGTTCTCCAGATTTATTCCTGTCGCCTCAAATTGTAGATAAAACACCTACAGCCGAACTTAAGGCAAGTATAATAAATTATTATGATACATACTTTCTCAATTCACTTTAACAGTAGCTTTGACTAATTTTAACTGAATGTATGTTATAATTCCCCAGTCAACAAGACTTGCCGAACTAACTTTACCAGTGGAAGACTCTCAAGTAATAAACCCCAAATAGTTATATATAAAAATTTTCCAGAAAAAATACTTTGATTATTAAATCATTAAATGCTAGCGCTCGCTACTACGGCTGATCCAATATGTAGAAATCATTAATTTATTAACTGTCAGTTGCACAATTCTTTAGGATTTATATGAGTCGGAATCATCGGCTGCTACCCTTAATGAATCATTTCAATTAGGAGAAGAACCTTCATCACTACGACTTCAAAAGTATGTAACACAGTATAACTTATATCACTACTTACCAATCGTCCTACTAAAGAAAAGTATCTCTCACAGAGTTTCAGCGGGATCGATCGGAGGTCGATCGTCCTTTGATCAGTTATTTGCCCAAGCAACTGTTGATCCCCAGGATAACATGGATGAATTACTAGAGCTATGTTCTGGTCAATTTTCGAATGAAACTACCCGACAAACATTCAAGAGCGCCTTTAGTAAAGTAAAAACAGCTGCGCAAAAGGAATTTTTAATCCCTGATGATGATGATAACAACGACATGGGAGATTCCGAAGTATCTACTAAAGAACTTAGGGAGGAAAACGACTGTGATGATAATTCGGTAAATGAGGACGCAACGAGCGAGAGCAACAGTCAAGAAGTTGATAAAACGAAGAGGTACTATACTAATTAGCACTACTTGTTGATTGAGACTTCCCACTGAATGGTAAACGGATGCAATATTACTAAATTGAAACCTTGTTATGCGTTTAGTACGATATCCGAACTGAAAAAAAACAAATTCCTTGACATGGAAGCAGAATTATCTGGTAGCGAAGTAAGTTCTGATGAGGACGACGATGGAGGTAGTGAACAATCAGAGTACGAGCGCGACTCAGATAATGATATGATATCAGACGAAGAAAAGTTAGCCGATGAAATCGCAAAAGTTCACAAGTATGATCATACGATTATTCTATGTTCTCTCATTTAAGTACTAGTGAATAGTAACCAGTATTCAAAGTATCACTATTTATTCATTCTTACTACCTTTAATTCGAACGGCAACGTTTATAGCAAAAAATTGCTAATTGAAGATAAAGCAAATCTTAGAGCTTTCCAGGAAAGATTTTTAGAAGGTTCGAAAAATATACTTTCTATTTATCTCGTTGTGAACTCTTGAATAAAAATTATCGGTAATATTTATTACAGATGGTGATTTATATGCCGAGGGTGGTAGAACTAGGCGTTTCAAGTGGAACAATCTAGGTACTTTTATGACTGTTATAATTATTTTTTAAAACGGTATGACTCACAAAATTTTTCCTATAGCGTCAGAAGATTCCCAGTTGGACTTATTTGGCGGAAATGATAGCGAAAACGAAAATGCCGTTAGCGAAATTATTTCTCAATCTGAAGTAAAGAAGCGTCGTGAGCGATTTGAGCGAGACACTTATGTTCGAGACAACTTGGTACAACAATATCTTGTATCATACACATTGATTTAAGATCACCCACTCAAACTTATTTGTTTTCTTGATACGAAACAACAGGCACACGAAAAAAAAATTGACCACATAGACGAGAACAGCCAAAGCATTTTAAGTCTCATAAAAGATGTCAGTAAAGGCCATGGTTAGTATCTTCTGGTAAAATTTTTATTTTTAGATTTTACTATGATATAATCTTTACCTGAAATAAAGTTAGTAAGCAAGCTCTGTCTATTTTTCAGTGCCTGCTAAGCCACAACCCTTAGAAAATGATTCGAAACCGGAAACTCCTAAGAAAATACTGGTAATGTACCTTTACTATATACTTATGCAAGATAATAATCATAACACTTATAGTGAAATGCTTAATTTAGAAACGGCGAGGCTCTTTTCTCAATTTAAAGAAGCAAGCCCTATCTCGAATTTCCATATTTACATCAAATGGTAACTGCGTAAGTGGATCTACTTCCAAAACGTTTGTTTTTAAATCGTTATCAGAAGGTGAATATAATGCCACTAGCGAAACGAGTGTAAGTAACCAAGCAAATCCAAGATAAACTGTAGCACAATAATAGTACTGTATAACAATCGCTTACGTAGGTCCTAGCGCTCGAATTTAAATAATTAATGAATTATCTTTGCTTTATAGCAAAAGAGAAAAATTGAAGCCGATGGTTGTAACGATAAAAAAAGACCTCTATTACTAGATAGATCAAACAGCATATTTAATCAACTGTAATAAAATGAATAAATTTATTGATATACGTATATAAACGTACATATACATGTGTTTTGCTTGTTTAGTTCATTCCAAGTACTGTAATTTTTGCTGTAAAGTACCTAAACATTGTGCTCATTATTATACAATACTACGATGGTCCATCGATGTGTGACGAAATCGATACCGATTTCAATTGTAAGTTTTGATATACGTATGTATATGCGTACATACAGATATATATTTCATGTAAAATTATAAATAATTACAGTGACCATCATAAGCTGTTAATACGGTATTACGATTTATTTCAGTGTGCATATAACGTCACAACATTGATTGGAGAAAAAATGGCCATTTTAAATAAAATTTTTTAAATGTTATTACAACTAATTCTAGAGTCATATACTTGTACTTGCGCCAAAGCCTGGAGGGTCACCCAAACCTGGATATACCATGCATGCAACCTTGAACCTTAGACCCATTTTATTTGGATTGATTAACATATAATATGCAGATAGCAAATCATCTCTTTGACTCTTTTCCAGCTCTTTGATAAGCATCTAGTAATGTTGAAGGCAAACTTGCAATTTCAGTCACTACTGATTAATTCTATTTATAGAGTCTAATATTCCTAGTAACACCGTACAGTACCAAATTTATTTCAATGTCTGCTTTCATAATAACTATCTACGCGTACATGTATAATAAGTTAACCGAAGTGAACTACCGTTAACAGTAAAACCGTTCCTACGATCAAAATTTCTAGTTATAGCAAACCTTTAATCGAGCTTGAATACCCATTTGTAACAGGAATTGCCCTTGGGGGATAGGTCCGTAAAATTTAACTATAAAGCAATATTTTTTTTCTCATTTCTGTTACTCTAAATTCCTCTGTATGTGGCTAAAAAATAACAAAATCATATTCAAAATATCCTCTACCGGTATTTTCCACAGTGTACTTTAAGAAAGCAAAATCGACATCTGCCGTCAAGTCTGCGGAACCAGGGGCATCAAGCACGTGTACTTGTTTATGCTTTCGAAAGGCCTTAAAATATTACAGTGAGTAAAAGTAACTATCAGTATATTTTTTAAAATATTACTTTAATTCACTCTAACTTATTAAAACATTCTAGAAATTATTTATAATAGCCTACTCTAATCGTGTCGGTACCGGTCCCGAATTCACCATAATCAACAATTAGGGCGCATCCACCGTGCACTCGCAGACGATCCGCAATCTCCTTATAAATAGTAGCTGAGTCTGGACTAACTTCCATGATATCTTTCACTTTGGAACTCTTAGCAAACATTACATCCTAACAAATTTAATGCATAAGTATGCTAAATAACTATGATAGCATAAAATGCCATTTTCATTAAAAATCTCGTATTCGCCATAACTATGTAACAAATAGAGCTAACGATCTACGGATATTTTATTACCTGTGTGTACAATTTCGTTTGTAACGTTGGCTTAGGAGCTAACACAAACTTTAGGTGATGCTTCCTGATGAGACAAAAATATTATGTAATTGTATTGCCTTCAATAACTGAATCACGCATAAGTTCATCAATACCCATCTCCTTCGTCTACATCGATCATAACCTCATTCCAATTACCATTAACTTTCTAGACCGTTAAAATAACGTATAATGTAAGTTATAAACTTAATAAGTAAAAAGAAAGTATCTGACAACTTTAGCTCAATGAAATGTAGTTACAAAAATTAACATTAATAGTCCACTAGATTTAGTCGCATCGCTGCTTTGAACTTCAGACATGGCTTATGGTATATGCTATAATTCCCATATTTTGCTTACACGAAATTGATGTATAGGAAGGGCATCAAAGAATTCGTTAGCCACAACCAGCGAATAGTCTGTAAAAAGGTGACAGTTTAGTCTTAGTAAGTTACCCACAATAAATCGTATCCCTGAAATGAATGTATCAACACAGCCTTGCAAAGTTATATACTACTACCGTTATTAGGAACGTCTTTCAAATGATAGTACCAATAAATTGGTATACCATCGCTACTCATCAGTGCTTTATAACATCCTGCTGGTTTCACATCTAATTCTTTCACTGATTGAGTCGTTTTCGTATCGTGCATGCAAATAGTATCTTCCTGTATCTTACTTAATTTTGGACTTATCTCTACTAGATGAAGAGACAATCCTTCTTGCAGATTACGAAATTGTTTAATTGTCTGAAGCACAACGAGAAATATATAAAAAATAAATGTCATATGACGAATTATAATACTGTAGCTAAAAAATTATGAAAATATAATAATAATAAGTACATGATAAAGCTATTATGAGTCAATCTTACACGTAATATATCAGCAGAAAGAGTTCCTCTTCCCGGACCTAACTCAATAATTTGAGCATGAGATTTCGGTCGAGTTTGCATCCATTGATAATATAACCATATTCCAATAAGCTGATGTTAGTAACGAACAAATAAGTTACGATAAATCAGCATCCATTTTTAAATATACGCACAGTGTAAATTAATTCACCTAAACTATGACGAATCTCGCTCTACTTAAATTTTCGAGACAAACATGTTAAAATATTGTGCAGTACTAGTTTATCAGAGATATACGCATATACACTTATAATACAATATAAGCAAAGATAGAGAGATAATCTGATATACCTCTCCAAACATTTGATTTACTTCAGGTGAAGTTGTAAAGTCTCCTTTAGACCCAAATACGTCTGAACTCATATAATACCCCTAAGGATGAGATTATAACCTATTGTAATACTTATTTTAACAACAAACAATATAATAAATTGCAATCAACCTACTCCCATAGGCCCTGTTAAGACTTGTCTCATGTAACTGGCAATTGAAATTGGGCCATCAGCCTACAAAGAAACCGTTGACAGATTTAGTGTCAGCTCGCCTAGTTTAAGTATAAATATATAAATCGTAGAAATACGTATCTAATTAACCGCTTTTCATTACTATAATAAAAACAGATGGCATTATTAGTTTAAACTAATATCCATTTATTTGATAACTACTGTATTATTAAATCAAGATACGTATTTGTACATTATAGTAATCACTTGAAGAATTATCCAGCAACAAAGACTAAGAATATTGACCTATAATTCATTGTCTGTTCTTACAAGAGTATATTGCCTAAGTGTTAACCTTAATCTGACTTATTAAATCCTTGACCAACGGTGTCTTTTCCGATTTTACTGGATAAGTACCGTATAATCTTTCAATATACCGACAGCTATTTATCCATTTTACTGCATCATAAATAAATTAATTATTTAAAAAAATTAACTCTTAATAGAATAGCTATTTTTAAGGCAAAACTAGGTAATACTACGAATCCTATTTTACTATACACATAAACTCACATTTTCTGTTTAAATTGCATCGTTGAAGTGCTATCGAGCCATAACGTAGCCAGCTTAGATTATTGCAGGCGTACCTCAAGCTAGACATCATGCAAGAACGAGCTATACTCTAATATCACTAAGCTCCACTAATTAATTTAGATAGGCCAGCTGCATGTGTAATCTGAATTGTTCTCGATCAGGTACAAATTATTAATAATAAGCGGATACTCTGATCTCGCAAAAATTGTACACTAGTTATGTTGGCAATTACAGGGCACTTGATAACACCAATATCAACATAGGTCGGAGCAATATGACAGGAATGACAGCAAATTAGTATTTCTTGCAGAAATTCTTCAGGTACCTGCTTAGGTGCAAGAGGTAGCAAAAGCTAAGTTCTAGTTCTCAGTACTGCACTCAAGTAGTCCCTATTTCTGTCGTTCTGTGCTGTACTGTACCGCACGTTACACTCACTCAACTGGTACAGTACTGTACAGTTACCGTTGCTAGATTGAACTGCGCAGTGCGCAGAGTCGCTGAAGACGGTACAGTACCGATACATTACGTTAACTGTATTTACCACAAGCTAAATGAAATCCTTGGCTCCAACATCTTTCCTGCAGCATGCAGCAAAGCTGAAAAAAATCCGATCAAATCAACAAATCTTCTCTTTGGCCTATTTAAACTTGGACAAGGACTACAGTATTCTAGATATATTCTTTAATCGATTATAACATTGCTTGTATTTAAAGAAACGATCATCGGAATTGGTATCACGAGAAGGAACATGGATGATACGCGAGCTATTTATTGCCTGGGTTGCAAGACCTCGTCATATCAAAATCCCAAGTTAAAATTTTTAGTTAATGCTTGTGGCCATCGTTTGTAAGTCATCGATGAAGAAATCAATTAATGAATTATACTATTTAAATCATGTTGCAGTAATACTGCGTCGTGTCGAGATTTACATATTTGTATATATTTACTGCCAACACATTAGTCTACGTACAGTTTTCATTCCATTTACCAAAGTTACAAAATGTCACCTACCTAAATATTATCGAACAGATCAAGTTTCAACTTTTTCTTACTGCAGGTGTGATGGTTGCATCAAGGCTATGTTCGTTAGACCTTCGGCTCCTTGTCCTCAATGCGGAACCATATTAAAACGTAGCGAATTTCGCGATCACCTTTTTGATGATGCTCACGTTGAAAAAGAGATAGATATTCGCAAAAAGATCTTAAAAGTGTAAGTTAAATTAATCCATTACGGATCTAGGTTTTGTAAATACGCGTATATGGGATCAAATTATATTGTAGCAATAAAAATCAAATTCGCATTGCACAATTGATAGAATAATTTGATACTAATATTCATATGTAATATGTATGAGATATCGATTTCGAAATACCTTCACGCAAATGAATGGCTCTTAAATAAGTTATGCTCTCTTATTCAGATACAATAAACAAGAAGACGACTTTAAACTTACCTCAGACTATGATGATTATTTGGAAGCAATAGAAAGTATAAGTACGTTGTAAAACATAATTCTTATGCTTAATAATATTAGTAAATAAATCATGCCAATAAAGAAAATAATATTATCTACCTTTAATATCATTATCGTCGATCGACATGTAATTACAATAATATATAATTAAGCATAATGATATGAAATAGAAAATTAAAAAGCGTGGCTAGAGATTAAATTTTGATGTAATAATATTCCGCGAACTTAGTATATAACCTCACAAATGGCATTAATGTTGATGAAACGAAGGCTAAGGTCGAAAAATACAAAAAAGATAATCAAGCACTCATTGCTAGAAACAGGTCAAGACTGGTAAGCATCATAACCCAAGTATTATACTATCTCATCAACATAAGATCGTAATAGAAATCAATCTAATTTTTGGGCATTAGAATTTGGAACAAGAACGAATAACTACTATGGTTAAAACAGAATTAGATGAAATAGAGAAAAAAAAAGAAAAACTACTATTAGAAGAAAAAGAAGAACTTAGAAAACGCAGATCTGATAAAGAAGCATTATTAAATGATCTAGTAAATTATTTTTATTATGAAAATATGCTACGTCGTCTAAATGCCATTGTATCAACTTTCAGTATATGTTTTAATGGTGAATTCTCATTTTCTCTAGACGTATGCTGATGCGCCTGTTGACACAGTTCTGGCTAATTATAAGAAAACCCATACGGAGCAAATGAACAAGAAAAATTTGTTGAACAAGAATGTAGGCATTCGTATTTATTTCTAATAAAGATACATATTTTCTATTACAAATTACGTAAAATTATTAATAATATATTTATCGCGACTGCATAGTATAAATGTTGCCAAGGATAAATTTTAGAATGCAAGTATATCCTAACGAACAATTTGTTACTGCCCACATTGTAGTGTAGATTTATATTATATACGAGTATAGGTAAATACTTGTAACAGATTAACGGTAAAGAACTAACGAAAATTCTTTATAATAATTTAGATGGATGAAAAGGTTGTCTTTTTCACAACCGACAATAAAGAAGAGGGTTACACTTACATTCCATTTAACGAAGATAACCTAGGACCTAAAGCACCATCTCCAGCGGAACTATTGAAAGAGAAGTATGGACTATTGATCATTTTGACTTTAGAGCCTTACTATTACATCAATATCATAGCAATATTTTATCAATAATTGATTAAATGTGATCGAGAATAATCATTAGCATATATCACTTGAAGAAAGACGATTGTAATCCTTACTTCTCCAATTCTGGTTCGAACTAGGTACGTAAGGAACGTTCACATATCAGAAGAACTCAAAGGCGGAGGATTTACTACACTGATTGTCTGCAACCGGGCTATACAAGAAGCTTTCAGTTGCTTACTCGATTAAAAGACTTTATTCTGATCAACATAAATTTAATCGGTATCGCTTATTTTAAATGCCCCTATATGCGGACGATATACGATACCGAATTATTTTCATGTTACCTTACAATTATGGATTCCCGTGCGATTAATCCTGCCATTCAAATCTATACATATGTGCATAAGTGAACTATAACGAAATGATTTAAGAAATTCGAAGTTATGGTATTTTGATCTTTCTGTACCTGTATTATATTAAATTCAAACTATATGGCATAGCTAAAATGTAGTTAAAGTAGCTAGATACTATCACTCATTAACTTCCAATAATCTTTGGCACGTTATGATGTTAAAGCCACAACATATTTGTAGTACAGTGTCACCTTTGGAATTAAGAAAATCGAGAAGAATTTAGAAAGCAAAACTATAATACATCGCCTGCGAGCTTTAATCAACCCATGATAGAAACCATTATTTCAAAGAAACTCTCTCTGAGAACCTCCGTCGTTGTAGTCAGATGTAATTACTTGACTGTCCATCTAAAAACTAATCTTGAAATAAGCTCTATTGTAAGATAAGATTGTATGTACTGTACCTGGTATAGGTTTTACTTTTGATCTGATATTTAAGTATAATTTAATACTTACTAATGCATAAATATATTAAGGATGTAACGGCATCTAATGTATATTCGTATTTATATTTACAGTAATAAAACATGCGATAACACGAGCTCTAAATATTTAATGATTAACTTTCTATATTAATGAAGTATTAACTTTTGTTGTAATCTATGTGACTTATGATCTGGAAACTATGTAATCATACGAAATTCCTACTATATGTTAGGCATCAAAATTTAATGAGTTTGAAAAAACTAGGGGCTAAACTCGATTTTATGTGAAATAAGTAATTGCATCAATAGGTAATCCTAACCATAGATCTTATAGTTTACTATATTTAGAAATTTACTGATTTGAAGCGATAAGTATAAGTTGTAAATTCTATGATTTGTCAGGTTTAGAGATTGATTTCATTGATCAAGGCTAGAATTAGGATTGCATTTGATCATACTAAGGCTAAATTAGAAGACAGAACCTACCGCCCTTTTTACTAAAAGTAAATCATAAATTGCAAATTCTGTGATTTGTCATATTCCGAGATTGATCGTTTAATGTTTTTGAGCTAGGGTTGCGGTCAGTATTCGAAAATAGTAGGGTAAAATTAGACTTCACATGTAATGATTAGGTATCTGCACATGACCGTAATCTTTATGGTATGGATATTTTTATTTGCAACCTTTTAATTATTACTGCTAACTTAACGACTGAAGTAAGTAATTATAACAGATTTTACGTGTTTTTTCATTGAAGCAAATGACCTTCAACATGCGCAATAAAATTATTGAAACTTATAAAACACTCAGAGTAGTAATAGTGTTAACTTAAGAAATGCAATCAGTGTGCGCCCACCGGCTCATACGAGTATGACCGCTTTGTGCCCCAAATATTACTAATAACATATTTTAAGAGAAATAAAAGTGCAATATCGTGTCCATTAATTAATATAAATATAAGATTTTATACAACTACTATGCAAGGGAACGCTACACCAAAAATTTTAATCAATTTACGGATACTAAAGGCAGAAGATAAATTCTTGGGAAGGTATTTACGTTTTTGTTGCTTTGCTATCATTGAATATCTTATCTTATTTAGTGCGCAATATATGATAATTTCCATTTATGAAAGCCTAGATAGTATACACTAACAATAAGAATATTTAATAAATTATGGTATTTAAGAGTATAACAGATACTTTATAACATCTAATCCGTGGTAACTCGTGATACTCTGATCAAATATTTCTTCCGGCCACGTATATGAACTGATGTAACAAAAATAAAGAAAAGGAAGCGGTTAATCTTGTAAATTCTTTCACCACATCACTTCCTATTACTTCACTATATATAATTGTCATTAAATCTATCCTACTGAAAGTTAGATAGAGGAGACCTATCTGAAGTTCAAAATGAAAAAAATCTAAGGAAATGTCTTTTACTGTCATTATTTTATGAGGAAGCTTATCCAGGAATGTGCTAATAACGATTTATCGATGAATTTTTTACGTTCGTTTATAGACAGATACATTCACTTATAATAATATCATCGGAGTATTGATAACTGATGTTAACAAGGCAATACTGTATGAACTTGTAGATTTTCAATAAAAGTTCAATTGTTTAGTTTTGAAAAGACGTATAGTTTACTATAATCGCCTAATGATGAAGGAGATCGTCAGTATTTATAATCGTAATGCAGCAATTTCTGGTAATGGCTATTTCTTCGATATCAACTCCGGTTTGTAGGGCAATGAAAATCGAACGCATGAGAGTTCTGTTATATCATATCTTACGAAGTATTGTTATCTAAGGAGTAATCAATTTAATTATTTGTTACTTTTATTTAAATGCATGATTAATTTACGTAGGACATTTACACTAAAAAGAGAAATCAACGAGTGGGTTTTACGGTATATGAAATGCAAAGTATTTAATACTCATACCTACGTATATATGCCTAATTCTTGAGTTAGAACTATGTACTAATGTTAGTACATCAAGGACTCCCTTAAAAATAAATGTAGATTTCAATTAATTATAATACTGTAACATGGCCCTCAGTTATATCGAAAGTGGCGTGATATCGATGACTCTCTTTACACATACTAATGTTAATTAACATATGGTATTTCTATAATAGAATCTGTGCAATCTGTAGTAATGCGGTGACTCGTTTCCATTAGCCAGGTAATAAGGGTGATAACAAATCGCACTGATAGACTCAGTTTATCATTAATAACAAACAGATTCATATAAGCAGATAGAAAGATAAGGATTGAATCAAACATTTATTCTTAATAAGATTTAGACCGGGACATTCCAATGGTATGATTAATGTTAATCCCTTTGATTAAACTTATGCTGATGTTAAGTATCTCTTTTTAAGATATAAGCGCAGCTATTTATTTAGTACTGGTATTACTAGGTATTATTATAATTCTACAAGTTGGCTTACTTTAGTCCGATATTTAATCTGATCAAAATCACTCTAATTCGATTAGATTAAAACAATTAATATGATCTCTTTACATATGGAAGCCAATTAGTAATTACCAAATTAGCTTACGTGTATAAGAGATGATCAATATGATAACTGTTCATCTTAAGCTGAACAACTTATTCATTGATCCAAGCCAAGCGATATTCGTACGACTGTACTTGACTAACCTCTATTTATTGATAGCTATCTTATTAAAATGTAGATAATCTTTTCAGATCTTCATAATTAATTTAGTTCTAATCTAGTGTAAATTTCTAAGCCATATTATCTCGAAATTTCACGTTGTAACCAAATCTCCTCTTTGATGATTTTTTAACTTTCCGGTTTCATAATTTTCTTACTTCCATTTAATATCGCCATATAATATAGAACGAATGAGTAAGGTGAAGGTATTGATGTATTGTTAAAGAATTTAAAGTATAAGAATGGATTACATTTTGTTTTTAAATATAAGTAAATATTTTATTAACATCAAAAACCATGCAACATGTTTTGCTACAGTTAGTAAACATTCAATAATCTAATATGAAATACGTGACGCATATAGGTGTGGTTACGATAAATTGCAGTTCGAGCCTTAGCTATATCAATCTAACATTTTTAGGTATTCTAAACTCTATTTTTATTGAATGCTGTCAGGTAGGATGCCATAGATTAGGCATTATACTGTATAGGAATGTACATATGATAGGTACTAGCGAGAGTCAAATTATATACTCTTATTGTATTGATATATCATTTTAATACGATTTCAAAATACAACTAATTGCAAAATTGTGCTTTGATTATTAATTGATCGTAAAAAATCCTGTCACGTTTTCGTTGTCAGGTAATAAAATTTTATAACCATCACTATAGTATCGGTAAATAAAAATTAAGTAGTCATGACGACTACTTAATTTCAATTCTTAAATCTTAAATTTGTAAACTTAAGGAAGGAATTGTATCTAAACTATTTCAATAACTCATATCTTTAAATAAAATTCCTCAAGCGATAATATAGCAAATAATATTTACTATAAGGCTACTGTATTCAAGCTAGTATATAATCTACTATTGATATATTTTTGATATAAAGACTACGAATATAACTTTAATTACAACATTCAACCAATACTTCCATATGAATACTCGTATGTACGTTTAATGTCAAAGTAAAGAAACTATGTTATTTATATCAGCCTTAACCAAATTATTGGGGTATTAGGACAGCAATAAAGAGCATCTTTTAATTAGTCTAAATAATATTTATTGCATCCTTCAGAATTATTCCATTAATCAAGACTTTGATAATTTACAGCACTTCAAATTCCAGTAATAGTACAATGATTTGACATATAAACGTATGCACATTATAACTCTACGTCAAGGCTCATTTATATTTATATATTTGTATAAATATATCTATAGAACTCCCCTAAGTAACAATTATTAATAATAATATTGTCAATATCCAATCAACTAAGACACAATAGACGCTACTGGAATTGTTTTACCTCGTCTAATGCTATCAACTCAGAAAAAAACATTTAATTGTGTTTTGTTCATATTACTACAGTTTTCAGAGTCTTTGTCAGTATTTTCAAACATATGCTTTGATTTCTTAATGGCAATACCAATGGTTATCTGTCTCAACTTAAATTATTATTAGCAAAACTGTCTATCACACTCCTAATTGAATCAAATAGGATAAAACTATTAATCTTATTGTCTTACTTTTAATTATAAGCTATAACTCATCATGACTCATGCTGCTTTATTTGCAATATCTATCTAATTATTTCAAATTGGCTATTTCAATTTTATAGTACAAATGTAATTTTTTCGAATAATTCCTGATAGTATAGTATATCTATCTCGAATTATACTGATTCGTAAGAGAATAAGCACTATTCGTAGCAAT